CCCCCTAAAAACTCTGATACCCCATTTTTAAATACAATATACTCCCGTAGAGACTCCTTACACTGCGTTTAAAACCAAAATCGCATTTAGATAGAAACTGTTTCTCAGGCAGCTAGTCCTAGTCTTTATAACCCTATACCTTCCTCCAGAAGGCAGAAGCTGAAAGAGATCATTTCCGGGGTGCGCACTATCCTGCGCACCACAAAGCACTGTCACCCGCCCTCAACTCAGATGGCCACTCCAGAAGGATACTGTTGTGGTCAATGAGCCACTGAGAGAGCCACTGAGAGAGGGCAAGGAGAATTAACAGGGACACATTACCCCTGTTTCCGAGCACAATTCAAAGTGTTGGTGCTGACCTTTAAAGCCCTCAACGGTCTCGGTCCAGTAGACCTGAAGGAGCATCTCCACCCCCATCATTCAGCCCAGACACTGAGATCCAGCGCCGAGGGCCTTTAGGTGGTTCCCTCACTGCGAGAATCGAAGTTACAGGGAACCAGGCAGAAGGCCTTCTCAGTAGTGACACCCGCCCTGTGGAACGCCCTCCCATCGGATGTCGAGGAAATAAACAACTATCTGACTTTTAGAATGCAGCCCTGTTTTTAATGTTTGATGTTTTATTGTCATTTTAATATTTTGTTGGAAGCTGCCCAGAGTGGCTGGAGAAACCCAGCCAGATGGGTGGGGTATAAAGAAGAACAATAGTAATAATAGTAATAATAGTAATAATAATAATAATTACTGTCTCTCCCCCAACAAAAGTCATCAAACAGGGTGACCAAAGCAGTTTCTGTGCCCAAACCGAGCCTAAACCCCGATTGAAATGAATCTAGCATGTTGTACTTGGTCAATTTAAAACAAGACTGATAGGCCACAAGGAATCAAGTAAAAGTGACTCACTCAAGCCTGAAGATTGCTGTCCTTGCCTCACAGGACTATATATGGAAGAGGTTAACCAAGAGTAGTGTCAGTCGGTTCAGACTTAGGAGGATATGAAACATAGCTTCAGAGCATTATGAAACTCATGTTGCCTCCTCAAACACTGGCATGAACTTCTGCATAGTTCATGATACTGCCTGCCATTCAAACGTGAACAGAAGCTTGCTTGGTTTGAAAGGTCTGGATACATTGAATTGAATTGTCTGGATGCATCTATATTCTGGCTTTCCCCACTGATCCAACTTTGGCAGGCATCAGACACGACAATAAAGGACTGAGCAGCAGAATGGTATGTCTACAAGTGTTTCATAGTCGCAAAACAAATTAAGAAAAGCCAGTCACGATTGCAATGGCTTCCCCCCCACTTCTGCCATGAAGTTATATATGAATGTTTGGGGGCGGGGGGTTTGCTGTGGAAACTTTTATATCAAATGTCATCTCAAAAGCAATGAACGCACACACACCAGAAATCTGTGAATAAGATGAAATCAGCTTCCTACAAAAAAGACAGTATTTCTTCATGAAAAACTTTGGGGGAAATTTGGTATTCAAAGATTTCTCTGCTCAAGCCTGCTTCAACTGCATTAACTATACATCCTACCAAAAAAAAAAGCACTTCCTTTCTGACTAAAGTTATCCTGCTGTGCTAGTCAATGAGACATTTCAAATAGCATGCATCATTTTCTGAAGTCTTCCTCGTTCGCATTCCCACAGGGTGACAGCTATTTTATATTTTAAGTGATTTCCCCCCTCCTCCCCTGGTATTTTTGTCTTCTGCAATTTTACAAAGAAAATCCATCTGAAGTCAAGACTCTTTTATTTTCTTTAAAAAAAAAATAGAAAGAAAGAAAGCTGTCAAAAATGTTAAGGTACAAAACATAGAGCCCGAAAAGAAAACCAGAACAGGTGTTCTTATGACACTTCTTTTAAGGACACAAAATAAAAAATCTTTTTGATATATTTCAAAAACAGCTGCATGTTGGCATGTATCCATGAAGCTTCTTGCATCTTTCCTTTGCCTCTCCACCCGGATCACCAACAGCACCTTGAGGGCTGTCCCTAGGGCCTTGCAGGGCCCAGGGAAAATCATTTTGTGGGGGGTCTGCCTTTTACCTTCATCTCCCCTTCATGGTCTCTCACCCTGGCTTATCTTTTGCTGAGGTGGTGGGGTTTTGCTGCCATCACCACATTCCCCCTCTCCTTGCTTCAGTGGCAACAGGGCTAGTTAAGTCTTTTGCCTCCACCTCCTCCCTCCCTCCCCAATCTGGTAGGCAGGAGGTGGAAAACCTCGTTGAGAAATTAAGCTGCGGGCAGGGGTGGACTCCAAGATCTTAGAAAGCAGAGACATCACCTTGACGACCAAGGTCCATATAGTTAAAGCTATGGTTTTCCCAGTAGTGATGTATGGAAGTGAGAGCTGGACCATAAAGAAGGCTGATCGCCGAAGAATTGATGCTTTTGAATTACGGTGCTGGAGGAGACTCTTGAGAGTCCCATGGACTGCAAGAAGATCAAACCTCTCCATTCTGAAGGAAATCATCCCTGAGTGCTCACTGGAAGGACAGATTGTGAAGCTGAGGCTCCAATACTTTGGCCACCTCATGAGAAGAGAACATTCCATGGAAAAGACCCTGATGTTGGGAAAGATGGAGGGCACAAGGAGAAGGGGACGACAGAGGACGAGATGGTTGGACAGTGTTCTCGAAGCTACCAGCATGAGTTTGACCAAGCCCCAGGAGGCAGTGGAAGACAGGAGTGCCTGGCGTGCTCTGGTCCATGGGGTCACGAAGAGTCGGACACGACTAAGCGACTAAACAACAAGGGGTAGCCTCACCCTGGAGCTTCTGTGTTGCACCCCCTCGGCTTGGCGCCCTGTGCGGGGGAACTATCCACACTGCTACATTGGGTACTGCTGTGGTTTGTGGCCACCACTACCAGGCATGAGGTGCATGAACTGGGACAATTGTCCTAATGGTCCTGAGCACCTCTCCTATGCTGTATTAACAAGGTTTTTTGTTTTGTTTTGTTTTAACTAGCTATGTGGTTTGCATTATAGGTGGCAATGGGTGGGGGAGAGAGAGCTGTTTAAGATAATCCTGTTTCCTGCTACTCACAGGCTATAGTCTAGAGAGAGCAGGTACTGTCATAGATTGGTGCTATTACTGGGATGTTGCCTTGCTATAGAACTGTCATTGATCAAAAGTTAATGTGATAAGATGCCATGATCATTGGCACTATGGTTATGCCATGTTCTCAGGGGTGCTGTTAGCTTGGCATGAACTGCGGAAGAAGCTGTTACTGCTTCTAACTAACATGCTATTGTAACTGTGAGCTTCAGGTATTGTTGGTTCAGGGCAATGAAAAACTAGCGACTGGATTGGCACACCCAAACTCCTCTAGAAACAATTCATGTGTGCACTGAGTGGCGTGCCTACACTTCTTTTGGCTATTTGCATCACCTATAACAGGTGATGCTTAAACATTTGATCCAGTCTTAGTAAAGCAAGGAGGTTGAAATCCCAGTCTCACTGATGGGTGAGTAAGCCCAACTGAATTCAATAGGACTTACTTCTGAATAGACTTGGTTAGGATGGGAGCCTAACTCCAGTGCCATTTTTGATCCTCATGTGCCTAGAGAAACTTACTAATGCTTAAGCTTTTAAAATTCAAGTAACATATAGGAGAGTGCAAGGCAGAAATTATACTATGTAGTCTGTTTTAGCTCAGCATTTAGAACCAAGTAGAAATCCTATTTTCTAGCTGGCTATGTTAGTAGCCCAGCTAGGTGTTCCACTTGTTCCTTTTTTTACTGCCAGCTTTGCCAACTGCGTCCTTCTTAATTTATCTCAAAATTATATTACTTTAGTAGCAGAGAGATGAAATGTAACAGTGTGTTCTTCCAAATTATGCTCATGCAAAGCTCTGAATACAGTATAGTGCATACACCGTATTAGTTATAGTCCAGTGGGTACATTTTTTTGTAGAAATTATAGGCTCATGTAACAGTCATGCAGACTACTAAATCTTTATATATTTTTCTTAGGTATCTAAAGCATTTCAGGTGACTTTTGGTCTGTGGTTATGTTTTAGCTGCTTCAGACTAAGACAGGAGCCAGATTCTGTAACTGATCAATTTTAGCCTAGCAACAAGGAAGATTTTCATTCTCACCATCAGTTAATAAATTATCACTGGTGAACTAGCCAGGACATTTCTGTGGGTATATAGAGAAGCACACATATGTACACAAGTAAATTAAGCTTGCATTTGGCAGGCAAAGATACATTTTCTTGGCTGCCTTTCTCCCCAATTCAAGCCTGTGATTCAGTGGTGTGAAGAGGAAATATAATTCTCACAACACAACTTTCTGTCCCATATGTAGCTTTGAATGCTCTGTGCCGGAATTCTGGCCTCAACAATAATTTATATAGAATATTTATATCTGACTCAATAGCCCTGAGAACTTTACCCCCCCCCAAATAAACAAATCTCAAAATAAAATCACACTCAAGTCTAGTACGGGAAAAGAAATTATATGGTGTCCATATGGAGGCAGGATTGTGCAGGCAGCATTTCCTGCCCTTGCAACTCCCTTCAAAATCCTCAGAGGCAAGAGACTGGGGCTGAGCAGCTGGATCGCACTCAGCCCACAAGGGATGCAAGTTTTCCCTGCTGGCAGCTGGCTGTCTCCAGGCAACAATGGTCTCCCAAGGTCCTTTGAGGCAAGAGAGTAGGGCTGAGCAGCTGGAACTGGTGAGCTTCATGCCTCGCATTTTGATAGTCAGGTGTTTAAAATGTCCACTTGTTAGACTTTTCTAGCAGTTGGTGCATTGTGGGCTTTGCGTGTGTCAGATTTCATCTCTGATGGTGATCTGGAAGTCCCTTAGCCACGTAGGGGTATACTTTGCCACATGTTGTTGTTTGGTCGTTTAGTCGTGTCTGACTCTTCGTGACCCCATGGACCAGAGCACGCCAGGCACTCCTGTCTTCCACTGCCTCCCGCAGTTTGGTCAAACTCATGCTGGTAGCTTCGAGAACACTGTCCAACCATCTCACCCTCTGCCGTCCCCTTCTCCTTGTGCCCTCCATCTTTCCCACATCAGGGTCTTTTCCAGGGAGTCTTCTCTTCTCATGAGGTGGCCAAAGTATTGGAGCCTCAGCTTCAGGATCTGTCCTTCCAGTGAGCACTCAGGGCTGATTTCCTTCAGAATGGATCGGTTTGATCTTCTTGCAGTCCATGGGACTCTCAAGAGTCTCCTCCAGCACCAGAATTCAAAAGCATCAATTCTTCAGCGATCAGCCTTCTTTATGGTCCTGCTCTCACTTCCATACATCACTACTGGGAAAACCATAGCTTTAACTATACAGTGGTACCTCGGGTTAAGTACTTAATTCGCTCCGGAGGTCTGTACTTAACCTGAAACCGTTCTTAACCTGAAGCACCACTTTAGCTAATGGGGCCTTCCACTGCCGCCTCGCCGCCGCACGATTTCTGTTCTCATCCTGAAGCAAAGTTCTTAACCTGAAGCACTATTTCTGGGTTAGCGGAGTCTGTAACCTGAAGTGTATGTAACCTGAAGCATATGTAACCCGAGGTACCACTGTACTTAATTCGTTCCAGAGATCCGTTCTTAACCTGAAACTGTTCTTAACCTGAAGCACCACTTTAGCTAATGGGGCCTCCTGCTGCTGCTGCTGCGCAGCTGGAGCACAATTTCTGTTCTCATCCTGAAGCAAAGCTCTTAACCCGAGGTACTATTTCTGGGTTAGCGGAGTCTGTAACCTGAAGCGTATGTAACGTGAAGTGTATGTAACCTGAGGTACCACTGTATAAATAAATAATAATAATAATAATTATTATTATTTCACGGGTGATTTCTTTTCTGCAGCGAGCCGAGGTCTTAATTCTTGAGAAGCAGCAGTGAGGTCATGCAGGGTTTCGCTCACGCTGACGAAACTTTTCCTCGCAAATGAGGAAAGGCTGCTTCAACGGAGTTCTCAGCACCCGAATGAGATCACGGGCACCTCCCGGAAGTGCCTTAATTGCACCTCGCCTGAGGCCAAAGAGCAGGAAGGAACGCCAGGCCTTATATGGGGCTATATGGTATAAGAGACACACAACAAAAGTAGCCCTTGGGCGGGAAGTCCGCGCCCGCCTTCCCTCCGAGGACAAAGCGAAACCAAAGCAGTTTCGCCATGTGACCGGAATCCCAAACTCTCCCCTGAAAACTTTCCCCCTGATTCATTCCCTATAGGGCAGCTGAGGCGGACTCTCCTCCCCACACAAGCCAGGTGCGCGGCTCCGTCAGGTGTTGCGTGAGGTAAATTTCGTTACCTTCTCAGGTAGGCGGAGGGCGGTGCTGGGGAACAGCCGGCCGGACGACGGCCCGAGGGCGGCGCTTGGGAAGAGCCGGCGTCGTTGCGGAGGGCGGTGCTGGGAAGAGCCAGGCCGGGAGGAGGCGGTGGCGGCGGCCAGGAGGGGGGAGGCGCCCGGAAGAGCCCGTTCCCTAGCCGCCTCCTTCGCAGACTCCGTGGCTCGGCTCGGGACAGGGCGCGGCGGCGGCAAGCGAAAGGCCCAGACGGACGGGAGTCAAAGCGGCCGGTACTTCACGGGTGAGGGGTCGGGATGTGGGGGGGGGGGAGTTGTTGTTTTTTTCCCCCCCTGAGGTAAACAAGCGCCCCCGGTGCGGAAGGTTTGGGTGGGTTTTCTGAGGTAAATCACGTTCCCCTGAGGAGGAGCGGCCCGCCTCAGGTAACTTTCCACTCAGGCGTCGCCACTTTTCGCCCGCCTGGGCCTCCTCAGGCCGAGTTAGAAACTTTCAACTTCCGAAGGTGGCTTTTAAAAGGGCGGCGGCCTGGGCGCGGCGCCCCGTCTTTCCCCCTCGCCCCGGATATATTCTCTCGCTCCCCTTTCGAAGTGGGACACGGAACTGCCGTGCGTGTGAATGGGGGGGGGGAGATAATCCCCTCCGACGCTCGAGGCCTTTTCCTCGCTTCCCCTCCCCCCCTTTCTGGGCGGCGCCCTCATTCCAGGGATTTGTGAGCTGCTATCTATGGAAGGGAGGAAGCACACACACAGAGAGAGAGGATCTGGTTTTCTTCCCCAGTAGTTAGTTAAGGAGGAAGTAGGGGTTTGGGTCTCTTTTCTATCGCCCAGGCTTTATCTCTGGTTTTTTTTTTAATGTTGGTGGTTTTTTGCCCGCTTGTGTGTGTGGCGAAATGTGCAAATGCACAGCAGTGGAGAGGTGGTTGCACCCCATCAGCTACTGAACTTGCCTTGGATCCTCGCCCACAAAGTTAGGATGGAAGTTAGGAGTAAAGAAAAGAAAAAAGCAAGCTTTTTGCTGCTCCGCTTGACTTCACCTTGAACCAGCAAACTCCTCCTGTAGCCTCCCGACACACCTTAAATCCAATTATAAGCCTAGGGTGATCTGATAAACATTGACAATCGAGATCTTGTGCGCGTCAATAGTAGTAGTGTTCGGATCATTTCTTTCAAATGCTGTGGCCGCCTGCCATAAATTTACTTTTCTCAATCTTGGTTTAGTTCACATGCGTTGCGTTAATTTGCCCATTAGCAAAACATCCCATATTTTAATAAATCCAATCTGTCTCCTGTTAATAGCCAGGATGAGTTCCATTGTTGGGCTACAAGCATCTGTGCTGCAAGTAACATATGTTGTATTGATTTTTTTGTAGGAAGGAACAAGTGGCATGTTAAGTGTTCAGAAAGTATTTATATAGTACTGTAATCCTGGGCAGGTTTGCTTGGACTAAGCTGCAACTCGCCCTGCCCTGAGGACTTAAGATAGGTTGATGTGTATGAGGTAGGTTAGGGTAGGGTTGCCATATTTCAGGAAGTGGAAATCTGGACGCAAAAGTTGGGGCAAAGTCACCCACCAAGCTTGGTTGCTGAGTGGTGACTTGAACCATTACAAATTTGGATAATAGCCAGATCAGCAAGCACCGCACCGCCCACCATGCTGTTGTTTCCTGTTCTAGAATAAAAAACAAATACTGTATGAATTGCTGGGTGCATGGTTGTTGTTGGCCAAGGTGTTCAGAGCTACTGTACTTATCTGAGCAGTGGGCAGCCTTTTGAGTCTCCCCTTTGCCTTGGAAAAGGGTCAGGAGTGGGCAAGCACAATTTTTGACTTTGTGACCAAGGCCAGCCAGAAATTATGGACCCATGTGTGGAAGTTAAGGTGTAAAGAACTGGTGCAGGAGTGCAGAGTTACTTTGCAATCCCAGCTGCTGTTTATGAACAGCAAATATTGTACCTCCCAGAACTCTGTCCTATAACCGCTGCAGTGCCATAAGAGTAGCATTTCATATTATTGAACTCACTTCCATTTAAATTACAAAACTACATCTAAAAGCATATTTTAAGAGCCTTGCCTTTTTGTTGTGCTTTATCATGTGGTACATTTTCCTTTAGAAACAATTTTTCTTACAATATAGTGTTTTGTAAACATTAGCATAGAGAATACAGTTCTAAAGTAGCACATTAAGCAGTAAGTTATGTTTGTCATATGTCAAATTGTTATTGATACGATAAATCCAAGAAGAAGAGTGTAGCACATAATGGTTACTCCCAATGTCACCTAAAACATGGTTTAGTAAAATATGAACAAGCCTAGCCTCCTCCTGGACTTGTGTGCTCCCTCCCACCGTTCCCACCCAGGAGGAGTTAAAATACTTTTTGTTTAACCGTGGTTTGGCATACAGTATTAGATTTGAAACTTTGGTTAATTATCTAGTGGTTAACAAACTAGTCAGCTTCATACCACTGTATCTGAAGTGGCTTCTTTGAAACGAAGTGTTGAATGTTAACCACAGTGACGGGTCTGGACAACATGACAAACTGCAATTAACCAAAAGCAGAAGTGAAAGCTTCCAAACTCCTTAGTGGAGGGGGTAGAAGGAATGCATAAGCCCAGAGGATGCTAGCCTCATTCATATCTTGCTAAATTGTATAATACTGGAATACAGTAATACGTGTTAATATTTTGTTCCTGGGATCCCATGGATTATGTAGGTTTCCCCTGTTCTATACTTCTTGGAGACAGTATCTCATTTTTTCACTTTGTTTATAGAACCACTGAGTAAAAGTTACAGGTGTTTTGAGAATTGAACATAGCTGTTATAAAACACTGTACACAGGCTTACCTCCTGGGTGATGACTAACTTTAGCTCCCCAAATTTTGGCCTGGCTTGCGTAGCAGGAACATTAGTTGCACTCCTAGATATTGGTATAGTTCAAATCTAATTAATTGTTGCTTCCAATAGAAAGAGTATTGCTTATTGTGTTGTATCAATGTACATGGTTAGTTTTTCAAAGAAGCCACTTTCAGAAAGCCTGCGAAGTTGACTAGTTTGAAACCAACTGCTAATTTGTTCAACACAGTTGCAGGTTTGACAACATGACAAACGATTATGAAGTAAAAACAGGTAGGACAGGGCCCTACCCAGATAGTTTACAATCTCTAATTCAACACACAGGAAGGGAGTGGGAAGTGGAGAAGGAAAGAATGTCCCATTTGAGTACCTTCACTTTTCATTGAGAAGAGGTTAATGGAATCTAAGAAGGCTTTGATGTATTGTAACAATGAAATCCAGGGTGGGGTGAGGGCTTTGGTGTCTTGTCTTTGAAGTCTTTTTGGCTACTGTGCAGGAATTACATGAAATTCAGGGAGATTCATATTTTGTTGAAGCTGTAGGGGGCAGCTTTTGTTGCCAGCACACCACTGTACTTCAATAACCCCTAAAAGGAGCAACCGCATGGTTGCCCAGATAATTTGACTAATTTCCATGGTATCACCAGCACCCTCGGAAATGCTGATGTGGGAAGCAACTATCTCAACCCTGTGGTTACTTCTCATAGGTATTATTGGGGTTTCATGATATTGAGGCACCTGGAAGCAGCTCTGTGCTGTTCCTATAGCACAAATTAGCAAACACACTTTGCTTTCTTCCCTGGAGATAAGCAGTCTGTCCTCAGCTTGTGTCTTTGGCACAAAGGGGACTTTAAGTCTGAGAGCACTGTTACATCCCTTCTTGTTCAAGAAATCTCTCTGAAAAGGAAAGAAACCTTTCTTGGCATTTCTTTGCAGAACGGCTTGCTTTCAACTGTTTTTTGGATTCTTAAAAATTCATTCTGGTTCAGATTTGGCCCTGGCTGCACCCATTTTCAGAGTAATCAGTTTTTCCTTTGCAGCATACTGCCCAATGTACACACCACAATGTACACACCACTGTGTATCATTGAAAATAGCGCACGAAACTTGGTTAGGTTCTGAATTGTACCTAGTGAAATAGATTTGGGGAGCAAGAAACAGGATTAGTTTATCTCATTGGATGAACTATTCATATCATAGGATAAATATTTCCAAGTCAGGTTGAAATTTGATTTTGTTTCTGCATCGTTCCATTATATGTTAGGCAACATTTTCTTACCTCTGTGACTGTTACACTGGGTGTGGGAGGAAGGATGTTGGGAAGGACCATACTTAAAAGATGAAAGTTTTTTATGATTGAAACATGATAGCAGATACATTGTATTGCAGACTTCTAAAGTGTGGAGTAAGGACTATTTGACATAAAGTTAGTGGGCAGTGTTCTGAGTTGAGGGACAGAGTAGGGCAAGAGATTTTGTTTCCTCTTCCAGCTTGGGTGTATATTGTAAAACATTATAAACATCCATCGGAACTGAAAATTTATGTGTCAATCTCTGGTATTTTGGTCTGTCTGCAAAAAGTTGAAGCTGGCATAGTATTATCTTCTGACTCACCAGTGTCAAAATTTTTAGAGGCCTGTGATTTTAGAGGCCCTTTTAAGAATGTTAGGGGGTGCGTAGGGGAAGGCCTACTAGACCATGTAGAAAATGAACATTGTATTTTAGCTGCAGTTCATTTTCAGCTTTGTATTCTTGTTATAAAAAAGTGTGCCTAGACATTCTGTTGTTGTGCCCATAACCTAGATTTAAGGTGCCGTTTAGCTCCTAGCTTTCATATCTCAGTTTCTAACACTGTATGGAGGTGATTGCTACATTAATTTTAGCAGAAAGGTGCTAGTACAAACGGACTCATTAAAATTCTGCTACTTGAGGGAGGGAGCCAATCCTAATAAGGGAGAAATGAGCCTCAACAGTTTCTTCTGACCTCTTTGGTAAAGTGGTCTCTATTTTGAACATCATTTTTGTTTCTTTTTCTTCTTTGTTTTTTTGGATGTATCAAGCCATAGCCAGTACAACATTACTTTTTAAATCACTTCTATTAAATTCATGTAAGCTTTATTCCTGCATGCTGCATGCATGCGTAGAATTACTCATTTTGGTGTACCTACTTGGAAATTTAGTTTCCTACCCCCAATTACAAATGCCATACTGTGATTCCACATTTTCTGTTAGGGCAAACAGGAGGGACAGGTAATGTTAAAAGTTCTGTCATGGGTGGATAAAATTGCTAGGCAGTGTAATTTTAGGGTGTACTTTGCATATATGTGTTCTTTCTGGAATAACTGGTTTCTCTTGTCCCCCTACAACTGCTTCTCTACGGAATCAGTCAGCATTAAGAGGATGTGTTGCCATTCTTTCTTTCCTTTTTACTGTTTGTTGAAGGCACTGCCTAGAATATGTGTGTGATGTGTAGTCAAAGTTCTTTGGATAGGATGATTAATGTCTGGTATGTAGTCTGCCAGACAAGTACAGTACTTGCATTAATGCAGTCATTTAATTGTCATCTAGGCCTCCTGCCAAAACTGATGCATTGCTCTATTCAATGTTGGAGGTGGTCCCGTCCCCCCCTGTATTCTCTCTGACTGGAATGGAAGCAGCATAGAAGAACAAAAGTTTGAGACTCTTGAGTGAAAAGATGACATCACTGCACAGATATTCCTTTTCAGCAACCATTGCCTTCCTCTTAAACTGATATCGTGAGCTGATTTCATTGTGAAATCTGTGGCACAGATTCTTTCTCCCTGATAGAAGCCAATATGGTTTAGTGGTTAGATTGTTGGGCTCATATCTCAGAAGATGAGGGTTCATATCCCTACTCACTGAGTAACCTTGGGTCTTAGCATAATCTATTTCCCAAAAGGTTGTTGTGAAGATAAAATGGGGCAGGAGGAGAACCATGTACAGTGCCTTGAGCTCTTTAGTGGAAAGGCGATCTATAAATGAACAAATAATGCACTTTCTTCTATTTAAATTTCTGCAGATGATGCTTAGTTTGCTACCTGTTCAACCTACTGTGAACCTAGGAGTCCAGAGATAATGTGGCTGAATGAGATCTGGTGGTGGGCTTAGAACTCAAAGGATCAATGAAAGCCAAGACTGAATGAAAAGAAGGGTGTAGTAGATAGGAGGGACAAAACAAAGCACACAGTGGGTAGACCTTGCAAAGATTTCCAAGAAACAGAATTGATACCACAATTCTGTAGTATTGGCAGGAACATTAATGAGGTAGAAAATACTGCACTTGTGGAAGGGGGTGGAGTGTGTGACTAGAATCATGTTGTGTGGGTAGGGGAAGACTTTGTAAAGCTGTAATGTCTGCTAAATTCACGTGGTAATGGACTCATTCTCTGGCCTCCATGCACCATGCCCATCCTTTGCGCGGAGTGTAATAGAAAGTGTGAGGGAAATTTTGCTAAGCTTAGAACTACTGCTTCAAAGGTGAACTTAGCAATGCACCATGGTGATAAAAATGGGGGGAAATCAGCACTTTTTAATGCAAGCATGTATTTTAGCAAAATGGCAAAACAGTAGGCAGCTTTGGGAAGTCGTGCCTGTATTGCAATTGGCACCTGTTGCTCAAGGTCCTAAAAACAATTCATGTGGTTTGTGACAAATAAAATAAGCATTTCACGCTATCACTCCCTACAATGACTTTTAAGCCACCATCTTTTGTATGCATTACAGCAGTATGGTGTAGTTTTTAGCAAATTATTGAATTTGATCAGTTTCTGGGTTGTGACTGTGTAGCAGTAAGGATTCATGTCTCATTATCAGAATTGTATTATCTCCCATTTCACATTCAGTTGAGCATATTCTCACTGGATTTTAAAGTTTGTGTCTGTAACTGTGATTGCTAGAGACATCTTTAATGCATGAATGTCATTATGGATTTTTTTAACCATACTAGGGCGATTTATTTATTACACCAACCAAAATATCACAAAATCCTAGCTTGAAACTTGCCTGGCCTAAACCATAATAATAGCTACAGTTTAAGGAGTTATCCTTTTCCCACCCCCTGCTGGGCAATGACAATAAAGATATTATTATTATTATTATGTTGTGATAAGATAGTGGAGTCTTTGTACTGATCAGAGTGGAGAGAATGTGTTACCTGTTCCCACATATCAAAGATTTGTACCTGTGGTCAGGGTCAAATCATGAGGTGGTAAGGTAATATACTAAAAAGTACTTAAGCAGTGATGTTTTGGTCAGCTTTTTCTATATACTTGGCTATGGAAAACGTACAGTATGTGGATGCAGACTTGGTTGTATTATTGACTGTGTCTGTTCTGGAGAGTGTAAAGCCAAATAATCTGTTTTCTACTGTGCCCTGTAATATGGAACTGGATAGTTGGAAGGAGTTAAAGGAGGGCTTCTTAAAGCATTGAAAGTACCACATTGTTTCCAGAGTTTGTGAGAACAGAGAGAGGAAATCCTTGTTTGTCTTCCTATGTTAATGGTGGATGTAGCTATTGTGTAAAATATGAAGGCTGTCTTAGTCCCAGCTGCACTGCATTTGTTGTCAGTCCCTGTCTTCTTTTTCATGAAACTTGAATGTGTGTTCTCTGAGGGTTTCCAGCGAGTACAGATAGGATGCTGCTGCTGTGTTTTTATTACAGCACTTAAGAATCGTGGTAGGAATGACAAGGTGTCTATCCTGCTGTTCAGTCAAGACCATCAACACATTAATTCCTCATAGATCAACCTATGCAATCCACTTGAGAGAGAAATCTATTCTTTCTTTCTTCTCCCAACTGTCATCCAGCTCATTGGTCTTTGACTTGTGGGTTGGAGCAGTGACATATATAATTTTAAGTTTTGTTCTGTTAGGGGTGGCTCTCTTAGCAGAAAAAGACTAAGAAAAACAGTAGATGAATATAAACATAGTGGAGGTATATAGAGAAAAATGCAGGGACGGAAATCAAAAGTAGATCTCATTTTGCAGGTCAGGGCTAAATGATGGCTACTGATCCAACTCTTCCTTTGATGGATAGGACAAGAGTAAATTTTGTCTGCTCTTGCGACAGAGTTCTAGTACTAGAAGTAATTTGTCCTAGCCTGCAGCTGAGGCATTCATTCTATGCATACTTAACTTTTGAGTAAGCCCTGTTGAATTCAGCAAGTCTTCTGAGTTAAAACAATCACCAGTTTGTGCTGTATACAGAATTTTAGTAAGTGAAATAACCAGATAAGTCTCTCTTCTTCCCCAGAAATGACTACCATTAATGCAGGAAACGTTAACTTCAAATGGGATCCGAAAAGTCTGGAGATAAGGACGTTGGCAGTTGAAAGGTTGTTAGAGCCTCTCGTTACACAGGTAACAAAAGCTGTATGTGGTGATTTCTAATAATGTTTTGGATCAATAGCAGTGAGTTGGGTAACTATTAGTTTAATTGTACTGGTCGGTAAGATCTGCATTGGACTTCCAAGTATAAAGTGGGCACCATGGCAAACTTGCAATGTGTAGTCTTCTGCCCACATTTTCTTTTTTGTAAGAAAACTTCAAAATAAAACATGAACAAGTTAAAAAAATCACCTTTTTAAAATAGCTGGTGCATAGCTGGTAAATGTGATCTGATACTATCTTTCATAATGCCTTCTGTGTAAAATATTCTTGAATGTTGAGTTTGAATGGGAGAAATCCAAGTTCAAATCCTTGCTCATCAATGAATTCCACTTGGTGAAACAGTGGGGAAAAACATAGATAGATAGATAGATAGATAGATAATTAAAGCAAATCTTATATTGGTCTCTTAAAATGGAATCTGTGGGCCTCTATTAAAACCACAAACCAATATCAAAGGTATTGTGCTTGATTCAAAATAATTCCTTCCAGTAGCACCTTAGAGACCAACTGCACTGGAAGGATTTTTATTTGTTTGTTTGTTTGTTTGTTTGTTTGTTTCGACTACGGCAGACCAGCACAGCTACCTACCTGATTCAAAATAAATTAGTCTTGTTAATCAGTGAAGATGCATTTGTTTAAATGGGACTTAATTAGTTAAGTTTGTCATTTCAATCAGATTTGAGTGCATCTGTTGAAGATTTTGTCCATAGTACTTGGTGATCTCTAAACTATGTCTGACTTGAGAGACAAGGAGCACCCAACAGTCTCATTCACTCCTCCTGGTGCATGCACTCCTTCCCTCCTTCCCTTTCCCCTTTTCGGTGCTAATGGTTGATACTAATATCTACATTGAATCAAGTGATGATATGGTTAGAAGCATTTTTCAGACACTGAGAATAGATAACTTTAAAGCAGAGATTAAAACCTCCTTCCAATTTATAGCTTCTAATTCTTGTTTAAAGTCAGCTATGAGTAGCATTCAACTTGAGGTAAATGTAATACTCACTGTAATTAGCTCAGGGGAGTGATCATGGAGAATAGCATATGAGCCTGAGTTGGCACATCTGATCCAACCATGATTAAGAGGCTGCAAAATGTCATATCTGCACCGCGCCTCACTCACTGACTCAGTTCCAAATAACATTAGAGTGCTTTTCTGTTCAAAGGAAATCATGACCAAAATATCTCCTTTTTGAGATCAAATGTAAGTGTGGCGCAATAGGTCATGCATATTACAGACAATACTGAGGGTCATGACATGATAAGTTCTCTCAAGTTTTAATATCAATCTCCAGGACAATCCAACCTATATCTCATCACAATAATCTATTAAATTAAGAAAGAGGACAGAGCTGTGCAATCACATTGTGGATATGCGATTTTGTTTCCTACAAAGGTGGGCGTTTCCCACATGGAAATACCTTGTTTTGGACCTTAACTTTCAGCTCTTTGCTTCTAAGAGAGTCTGAGTGCTTGGTCTGTGAGCAAATCACTTTGCTAATTGTTCTTGCATTTACTTTTAATAAACATCCCAAGGCAGCTCTGTTATTTCTTGCAGCTGGCCCTTCCTGATATAGTCCAGCATAGCCTGATCCAAACCACAATTGAAACTTTAAAACAAAATCCAATATAATAAGCAAGCAATAATACAATTTAGCAATACACAATCATTAACAAAGAGTAAATTAGCAATGTTATATATCACAAAATATTTTCGAAAACAGTGAAAAGTAAGTATCCTGTTAGGTAGTGCAAAGGCTTTCTTCTGAGAGCCAGTGTGGTGTAGTGGTTAAGAGCGGTAGTCTCGTAATCTGGGGAACCGGGTTCGCGTCTCCGCTCCTCCACATGCAGCTGCTGGGTGACCTTGGGCCAGTCACACTTCTTTGAAGTCTCTCAGCCCCACTCACCTCACAGAGTGTTTGTTGTGGGGGAGGAAGGGAAAGGAGAATGTTAGCCGCTTTGAGACTCCTTAAAGGGAGTGAAAGGCGGGATATCAAATCCAAACTCTTCTCTTCTTCAAACTCTTTTCTTCAGTTATAAATCAACAGATTTGTGTAATGTTTGATCTCAAAAACTTAGGTATTTCCTCTGTGGTCTCTATGCAGATGCACACTTTCTTTTGCATATCTGTTGAGGAAATATTTGAAACATAAATGGGGAAACTTAAAATTGGTCTATCCTAGTGGGTGGCCTCACCCAAGTAGCTTTCTCTATCTTGCAACTTTATTAGGATAAAATGGAATGGTACCATGAATGCCACCCTGAGCTCTTTAGAGGAAGGAATTCAAACATAAGAAAGCAAAATCCCATGTAACATTAAACTGATGTCTTGTGTATACAAAACAGTGACCTGTTTCCATAATACAGAAAGTAATTGTGAATAACCACAGACATGTAGTATCATGAGAAGAAATTGGCTTGGAAAAGGATGAGAGAAAAGCAGTCTTTGAGAAAAGCAGTATGAATATGGGCAGTGCTTTTTTTCTTAAATGTTTAGGGGTACTCTCATTTTCCTACTCATTTTGAAATACTGCCCCTCAATGAGGCCAAATTTAGAGTCACAAAATGTTTAGGGGTATGCGTACCCTGCATCCCCCCCAGAAAAAAAAGCACTGAATATGGGAGAGGGTGAAATTCAGTGCTAAAGTTCATCAGGGAAAAAGCAGGCAGATGAAAGATCCACAAAGTCAGAGTTTACCAACTAGGTAAGTAAAGATAGAGCTAAAGATGCAGGAGTGAAGAAATAAAGGTGAGAACTGCCTGTAAAAACTGTTCTGGAGCAGAAAACTGAAAATTTGCATTACAGTCTACACTCCTAATCAGCAACTAATGTTTCAGCTACGTAACTGTTTGACATAAAATTCTTTTAAACTTAACAAACTCTTTTAGCTTGATGTGTTGTTTATTTAAAATGCAGTCGATCCTGCTTGAATTGTGATGCTTGTCCAACAAATAAATCTGGAACCATATTAGCAGGGAAGGTTCTTATAGTTTGTCAACTAATAATATGTCCTGTGTGATGCTGCTTTCCAGGTTACAACACTGGTTAATACCAGTAACAAGGGTCCCTCCAACAAAAAAAGAGGTCGATCTAAAAAGGCTCATGTTCTAGCTGCATCAGTTGAGCAGGCAACAGAGAACTTCCTGGAGAAAGGGGACAAAATTGCAAAGGAGAGCCAGTTTCTTAAAGAAGAGCTGGTGGCAGCGGTGGAAGATGTTCGCAAACAAGGTATGTAGTAATATCACATTGTGGTGGGAAGCTGAATTGCTGTCCCAGCCCTGTGAATTAGTTCACTAAAGTTATCAGTCTACAAAACTAGTAGCCTGCCTCTCAATACATGCACATATTTAAAGGTCAGTTTTCATTCCTTTGATTATGAGAAAACAGCCAATTTTAAGTAATTGCACTGATTTTATTTACAGATGTATTTCATTTTAATGTTGCCCTCCCTCCATGGAGCTCAAGGTGGCATGTATAGTCCCCCATCTTCTTCTTATCCTCACAATAATCCTGTGAGGTAGGTTAGTCTGAGAGATAGTGATGGAGCCGAAGTCACCCAATTAGCTTTGTGGAATGCCATTTTCATCTTCAGTAAGACAAGCTACTAAAATTCTGCTTCTAAAATAAACTCAAATAAACTGAAGCTCAAACTATTTAAGACCAAGGCACTGTTAGCAAGTGGTTCCACAGACCTGATGAAGGGGAGGTTATTTTTCGCAAAGTACCAACAACCAAGTTGTTGAGGTTTTTATTGGGGGGGGGGGATTACACAGGGTTCTGGAGCTTTTTAGGGGGAATGCAGAAAATAACTAACACCACTAAAAATGCTGCAAATCAGTCACGTCAGCAAACATGCGCTTCCAACTCACCAACAGCACACCGCCAGCTGGTTCGCTGGCACGGAACTTCACACGACGCGTGCTCTTACGGAACGTTTACTGCTCACAGCCGTGTGGCCCCCCCCCAAAAAAAACTCCCCCCGGCGCCACTGTGGGCAGAGCACACACTGAGGAGTGCTTCCCACCCGCACTGGTGTGGGGGGAGCGGATGGCCACTGTGCTTGCTGGGCCAATAGCCTGCAGAGAGGGCTCTGAGTGCCCACTCTTATCACGCCAGATAGGTTCACCACCACTGCCCTATCTGAACAGGGATAGCCTAATTTATGTTGCCTACCCTCCGGTAATCTCTAGATTAGATCACTTTAGTGTGTTCTATGTCAGAAACCATAGCTGGTGCAGACAGGTTGCTCACTGGGGTAAGATGGTCTGAGCACAGAACACCAACCCAGGCACTAGCTACCAATTACAATTTGAGGTGCTGATTTTGACCTATTAAGTCTTATGTGGTTTAGGACAGCAGTACCTCAAGGACCACTCTCCCCATATGAACTGACATGAACCCTGCAATCTGAGGCCCTTCCATGGGAGGTCTGGAGGGTAGCAACATAAGTATGTGTCTTTTCAGTGGTGGCTCACTGCTTATGGAGTGCTCTCCCCAGGGAGGCTTGCCGTGCACCATTGTTACATATCATTATTAATAAAATTAGGCACCTGCCAAAAACATACCTTTTAATCAGGCTTTTAACTATTGACAGCCTTTTTGCATGGGTGGAATTTTTTTAATCTAGAGTTTTTTTAACGCTGATTTTAATGTATGTATATATGTATGTGTTTGTGTTTTTTGCTTAAAATATTGTAAGTTGCTTTGAGTGGCCGAAAAAGCAACTAATAAATTTAATAAATAATAATAGTAACAATAATGCCCCTTTGTAAAATGAGATCTCAACTGTACAATTTTCTGATAATTACCTTGACCTCTCTGCTTTCGAGAGCATGGTACCAAATTGTCTGATTTGAGAAATTTTCTTTTAATTGAAAGAAATATCTCTGTCTTCCGTCTCTGGGGGGGGGGGGAATCCAGTGCATTATATTTTTCTCTTTTCAGAAGGTGGGATTTATTTTAATTAATTTTAATAGGATGCAATGTCTCTCCTGGCAATTTACAGCTATTTTCATAATTGCAATAGATATTTATTAGGATTCTGCCAGTTTTGTAAGAAAATAGTGCTGTTTCCACATATTCATTTATTGCCATAGGAAGTGTAAACTACCCCATCCAGTGATAATTGGAAAGACTGAAGAAATGTAACCCCTTTTTTGCTAACTTTGTGTACATAGGAGACTTGATGAAGAGTGCCTCTGGAGAATTTGCTGATGACCCATGTTCTTCTGTGAAACGGGGGAACATGGTGAGAGCAGCCCGTGCCCTCCTATCAGCAGTCACCCGGCTGCTCATTTTGGCTGATATGGCAGATGTGTACAAACTGCTTGTTCAACTTAAAGTTGTAAGTAGTGACTCAACTGTGACTTTCTGTCTCTTTTTAATTTGCTTATTATTAAAGTTGTTTAGAATAGTTTTTTGGAATAGCAGGGAAGACGGGACTGCAGTAGGGGAGTGCTTTTGCCTTCATTCCTCTGCTAATGGGCTTCCTAGGAACATCTGGATAAGCACTGTTGAAAACACATTGATGGATTAGATCAGGAGTAGGCAACCTAAGGCCCATGGGCCGGATGCGGCCCAATCACCTCCTCAATCCGGCCCACGGATGGTCCGGGAATCAGCGTGTTTTTACATGAGCAGAATGTCCTTTTATTTAAAATGCATCTCTGGGTTATTTGTGGGACCTGCCTGGTGTTTTGACATGAGTAGAATGTGTGCTTTTATTTAAAATGCGTCTCTGGGTTATTTAGGCATAGGAATTCGTTCATTATTTTTTTCCAAAATATAGTCCGGTCTGAGGGTTGGTGGGCTGGCCCACGGCTGAAAAAGGTTGCTGACCCCTGGATTAGATGGACTAACAGATCTTCCTCTGTGATATGACCCCATATACAAGTCTTGGCTGACATTTTGGCCAATGGGCTAAGTATTACTATGTAAAGTCAGGCTAGAGCTATATGCCATTAAAACAGGCAGGTTGCATTGTCATTCAGATTGCATGCCTGTTTCGTTGGGGGTTGGAGGGGCCCCACAGGTTACTATTGCTTAAGCGCTCTTGGAAGTTACTGGTACTACTTCTATAGAATCTGTATTACATTTTTAAAAGTTGTATAGTCCATATAGCTCAAAATCTGATTTAATCTTCTAGGTAGAAGAAGGCATCATGAAACTAAGAAATGCTGGTACTGAACAAGATTTAGGAATACAGTACAAAGCTCTTAAACCAGAGGTGGATAAGCTTAATATAATGGCAGGCAAAAGACAACAGGTATAGTAACTTTTAGCATGTTTTCAAATATATGGTTGTTTTATATACTGGTATAGTATCTGACAGTATTTGTAACAGAATCACAAGATTACAATGCTATAAATACTTTTTAAGGACTGTGGGTGGGTGGCTTTCATGTCCAGGAAATGGGTGTTCAGCCTCTTCTGGATGGACTTGTAGGTACAATGGGAGGAATTCAATATCACAGTCTTCTGACCATTCCGCCAGTGCAAGTATTTCAGCCTGTCAGAGGAAACAATTCCTTCTCCTCCCTCTGCATCTCATTCTCCCAACACATACCCTGATCTAGTTTTTTTCGGCGGGGGGTGGGGTTGGGGAGAGACCCCATTATGCAAGCAGGGCTTCTGCAGATGGGACTTGTTAGGTGAATCTTACCCTGAGACACTTATAGTTCTATCTCTGTCATATGAGGCTCAATTGGCTTATGTGCCAAGGAGTGCCCATTTCCAGTCTTGCCTATTTCATCAACTACAACTGTTGGGATAGCCTAGCTATAGTTATGCGTACTCTGGTAATCTCCCATCTTGACTTCTGTAATGCTATCTACACAGGGCTGCTCTTGAAGATGGTCAGGAAATTGCTGCTAGTGCAGAATGCTACCATCAGAATACTAACTGACTTTTTGGTGTGCAGACATACAGAATACCTATTTGGCATGATCTTCACTGGCTGCCTGTACTGTATGTTACCAGTAGGATTGGGCCCATGGACAAAAAGTTGTGTTGGGTCAGTTTGCCATGAAATGGCTCTAAAACCCATTCCATAGAATTTAAGGACAAGTCCCTATAAATCCACACAGAGTTCAATTAAAAATTCGGGGGGGGGGGGAGTTGTGAGTGCTGATGAGTTGATCCAAGAACTGACTGTCCTTTAGTATGTTTTTTAATAATTTCAGCTGCCTAAGTGGTTAGCTAGTGTGCAGGACATTTGCTGCTACATGCATTGAAATCTCCATGTAGCAAACTCCCTGGAAGTGACTGCCATCACTCTCAATGGGAGTTCTATTTATTTTAAATTGAACTGCCACTCAGTCTCAGGAATTGGTTCATAATAAGAATCTGTTTTTCTTTGGTTTAAGATTGGAGAAGGAATCACATCTATGTATACCTCCAAGACAGTTGCTGGAAATGGTGTGGGGCAGAAGCCTTAGAAGTTAAGTTCCAGAGTAGGCAAAGAAAATTGCATTCAGTTTTCAAATGACTTCCAATTCCTTGGGCCTATTTACAACCACCTGAACATCATTAGCAAAATATAGAAGAGAGTCCTGTATCCCAATCTGCCCTTTCTTCAAATTACAACTTAGCCACTATTCTTCTCAAACAACAACAAAATAGCAGCTAGCTCTGTGGAGGTGATGCGTGGTGGTTTGTGTTGGTTTTCTGCAGAATTTTAAGCTTCAGTGAGTACATATCATGGTCTGAGAGAATATTGTGTATGTGTATAATTATTAAGATTTGAAACCATAAGAGGCCTGACTGAGACTTTGCTGCTTTACTATTAGAAGCTTCTGATGAAACTTGTGAGACTCTTGCTCATACTTCTCTCTGCTGTCTAGAAGTTTTCTAATTACCTGAACTTCTATTAATGAAACCTAAATTTTCAGGATTATACTGTTGCAAAATAATCATGTTTTGAAAGCCTTGTAGTTTGATATACTTCTTGATGAATGTTATGCTATTACACTACTTGTTCGAAGGGAACAATATGCAATGCTCTGTTAGTTACGGAGGAGTCTTAAGTGCTGACCTGCATCACATTTATCTCTTAACACATCTTGCTATTTGAAATATTCTCTGCAGGAATTAAAAGATATTGGCCATCGTGATCAGATGGCAGCAGCCAGAGGAATCCTTCAGAAAAATATTCCTATACTTTACACTGCTTCCCAAGCATGTCTCCAGCACCCAGATGTAGCTGCTTACAAAGCCAACAGGGATTTGATCTACAAGCAGCTGCAGCAGGCAGTCACAGGAATCTCTAATGCAGCCCAGGCAACAGCTTCTGAAGACTCTGTTCAGCAGCAGAGCGGTGGCGGAGAATTGGCATATGCACTTAACAACTTTGATGTAAGTACTTCATTTTGCAGGGGGGAAATGTATGTTCCCTTTTCATAGTCAGTTGGTCGTAAGTTACCTAGAAACAGTTAGATCTCCTGAGGGTGATGAGTAACCATATCCTTAGTTTACACATGGCTATTCAGAAACTAACAGATTTGTAAACATCTGTACCATCTGTGTGAATATGATGATAAATTTACATTTCTGTAGATACACTTGGGCACCATGAGAACACACACAGTTGATTACATGACTGCTTAAACATCTGGAGATGTGTAGTTGGCAAGACTGGTACTTAGCTCTGGATAAGCCACCTTCCTTATTATGACATGTTGACATGGTTATTTTCAGAGAACTATTAGGGGGTAGCAGTAAGATTTGGTGCTTAGCTTCATTCAAAACAGGGCTGAAATTAGGAAATAAACTCACTTTTCTCAACTTGCGCCATGACCTGATAGGAAAGCTGGAGATTTGAAACAGAATATTTTCCCTATTTAGGTTGCATTTCACATATTCACTTATATGCTCTTTTTTCCTGACAATGTCTTCTCTTCTTCCTCAGTCCTGTATGAATAAGTTACTTCACAGCTCCCCCCACCCTGCTTTGACTCTGTCTCCTTTTAGCTCTGTACTGCTTTCATCCAGCTTTTGCATAGGCTGCTACTACCCCCACCTTGCATTTCAGCTTTCCAGATTTGCCTCCTTGGATCCATTTCCTTAATCCACTTTTGCAAGGGGCAGAAATAAAATTGCCTCTGACAGGAGTGCAGTGTCAGAATCTCCACCCCTTTCCCCAGACCAGGCATAGGCAAACTCGGCCCTCCAGATGTTTTGGGACTACAACTCCCATCATCCCTAGCTAACAGGACCAGTGGTCAGGGATGATGGGAGTTGTAGTCCCAAAACATCTGGAGGGCCGAGTTTGCCTAAGCCTGCCCCAGACCATAGAGAAGAACTGGGACTTCTTGATCCAGAACTGACTTTTGAAGATATTTGAAAAGCAGTAAGGCATCGGGTTCCTTTCAGAATTGCTCTTGGGCTTAGTGCAACAGGGATAAGCCACCTTCACAGATTTGAAGGGAGCAGGGAATTTTGTTACCCCACAGTTACATAGGGGTTCAATATCCCAGACATCTTTGGGTCAAAGGAGCAAGCAGGGTCATAGCAAACACAAAGTTTTCCTGTCTACCAAGGCCAGCAAAAAATGTGTTGCCTACCCTGTATCATACCCTGATCAGCATTTCTATGTCTTCTCTGTGTTCCTGCCAATACCATCCAGCCTTTCCTGTCCTCATCCCTGTTTGAGGCTTCCTCAACATCTTCTAGGAAGCGCTGGCATAGAAAAGTTAACCAACCTATTAAATCAAATCTTGTTTGTCTTCATTGGCCGCAAATACATTCCAGGCTCACTACCAAGTGCTAGTGTAATTTTTAAAACCCGCAACAGCCGTCTTATGGCACTCCTTGACCCAAGTGAAATTGCATTATATGTGAAATTCTTGATCTCGGTCCATTCGTAAAGTTTAGGCTGTGATCTTGCGCCCTCTTACCTGAGAGTAAACCTCATTGAACTCTGTGGTACTTCTGAGTAGATGTGTACTGAATTGTGCTATCAGTAGTGGTCAAAAACCCTTTTCAGTGGCTGTGCTACTGTGTAACAGAATCCCTAAGAGGATTAAACACTGAAAATATTGCAGAGTTGACAAACTGCAACACTTCGTCTGAAGATCCTTTTTAACATGTTAATATGACTCTGAAAAAGATTGAAGTGCAATCTGCTGTAGCTTTAACTTGGTATAAACTATACTGTTGCAAACTCTGTTAAAAAGGCTTTTAAGCTGGAAGGAATTGAGTTTGATGTACTACTTTGTTCTTAGTCCAAGGAATATTTTAGCCCTGCATAGGTTGAAAAGATGAAACTGGGTGACATGCTCGATGTCAAAAGTATGAGTTGCGTTTCCTAATATTTCTAAGCTGTGTTCATCAAACTGACCCAGAGTAGTATGACACTTACTTGGAGTTTAAAACTTTTTCTTCCTGCCAGAAACAAATCATTGTGGATCCTTTGAACTTCAGTGAGGAGCGTTTTAGGCCTTCCCTGGAAGAGCGCCTGGAGAGCATCATTAGTGGTGCAGCCCTAATGGCTGACTCATCCTGCACACGTGATGACCGACGGGAACGCATAGTTGCTGAGTGTAATGCAGTGCGACAAGCCTTGCAAGATCTGCTTTCAGAATACATGGGAAATGTGAGTAACCAAATTATGTTGTGTGTTTATTTGTAAGTGAAATTTGAAGAGAGGCCGTAAAACGGTATGGTTTGAATTTGACTAGAATCTCTTAAGAAATAGAACTGGAAGTAAAGTTGGGTCTTTTGTAACTTTTTTCTTTTGGATATACTCTCTTGGTGTGTTGCTATAACTTTTCCCTAACTTCTAAATTACTCCGTATCTATTGAATTGAAATGAGGGTTGAATGGAAAAGCTGGATGTTGAGTATTCTGTAGCTCCAGCTTCCTGCAGCCCTAAATAAATGTGTTATGGCCTTACATTGTGCAATTACTGTTGTGTATGAAATGGATCTTAAATATAGCAAGAGTCCTGCTGGGGAATATCAGCAGTATATAGTACTTTTGAAGAAGTAGGCTCTTGTCTATAAAAGCTCATGCTACAATTATTTATTTAAAACAGCACAGCTGCTCCTCTGAAACATATGGCGCAGCAATAATAAAGTATTTTTTGTACAGGATGTATTTTCATTCCAATGTGTGGACTATTTCAGTGACCTTCCCACATGCTACACAACTTGCATTGTGAACAAAAACCACTGTTTGGTCAGGTCTTGGTGCAGCTCTAGAGATTCACTGAAGAAACACTCAATGCTTTAAGTCTTCCAGGAATTTTTTTTAACATATGCAGCAGATATTGACAAATACAACCATCTGAATGCATGTTGAGGGTTAAAGTGACTAAAGTGATGTGGTCTTTTAATAAATGACGACATAGCTTAAGATGTTGTCGATGCTGCAAATATAGCATCAGTGACATCTGTTTGCATAAGATACATTTCTGTTCATTCCACATACTGTAAAGAGATTTAAAAGATGGCAAGAGAACTGAAACAATTCAGTGCTGACATCCAACATTTAAGCATTTGAATTTAGGATGGGTTTTTGACAGCAAAATAAAAATCCTTGCTTCAAGTCCACATAAGACTTAACTGCATTGCACAGTGATAACTGTCAAACCTACTGCTGGTATCTGTCATATACTTTCAGACTGAAAATGTTCAGTCTTCCATCAAATGCATATTTGTATATCCTTACAATATTGTAGTAAACTTGTTAAAATTTGTGAAGAGTTTGTGAGGAGAGTTTCCTTCAGCAAATTTGGTGTCAACCCTTAATTACAAATGTAGGAAGTAAAAAAAGATTTGTCTAAGGAGAATGAAGGAACAAAAGGCATGCGCAGTTTGGGTGGCTGCAGTGTCAACTATCTGCTGCTTGGTCTTCCTGTTGCAAGTTCCACTCATTTCTGGATTTTCATGTATCTCCTCTCACCCACGCCCATGAGTACAGACTAAATCCATTAAGACTGCAGTTTGAAAACAACTAGGTTAACGAGCATCTCTTGTTTGCTTTATTGGGAGAATGAGTGTCTGAAATACTTTTACGACATTTACAATTCTTACTGTAAATTGACTTGATGTATAACAACACAGGATGCATGATGATTTTAAAGCGTATGGAAATAACTATGTTTGAAATAAAATTTGAGAACTGATGGTCACTGCCAACAAATAAATTATTGGAGGGGGGAGTTGTCAAATGCCTACGAGACTTAATAGTAGTTATAGATGTAGCTTCGAACGTGTGCATAAAATGGCTCTAAATTAATTTGACCTCATTTACAAAACAGGGCAGAGGGAATTTGGTAAACTGCTGCGCAAATTGTGTTGCAATCCATGAGTGTCAGATGTTTGCTCTAAACTGCAGGCATGGCCAAACTTGGCCCTCCAGCTGTTTTGGGACTACAACTCCTATCGTCCCTAGCTAACAGGACCAGTGGTCAGGGATGATGGGAATTGTAGTCCCAAAACAGCTGGAGGGCTAAGTTTGGCCATGCATGCTCCAAAGCTTTCTTCTGCTTCAGCAGTTAGTAATCTCTGATTGGTCATTGTTGTGTTTATTCCTTCCTAAGTAAAGTGTTAAGAGGAGTAGCAATAAGGCATCATTAGAGAGCTATCTATGGCTGTGCTTGGGTGGGGTGCAAAGAAGGAATAAAAAGAAGGTGGTAGTAGTGGGAAGATTAAAGGCAAGTATATTATAAGCAGGGGAAGACTTGGAGGATTTTGTGCTGGGTGGCACTGTTTTAAAGGTTCAAGTTAGGATTATTGAGATTCCATTGGAGGGGTTGGTCTAGATCAGGCATGGCCAACTCCCATCATCCCTAGCTAACATTACCAGTGGTCAGGGATGATGGGAATTGTAGTCCCCAAACAGCTGGAGGGCCAAGTTTGGCCATGCCTGGGCTGTTAAGGGTCCCTTCCAATTCTATGATTCAAGGAAATCTTAATTCTATAACATGTAAGTGTATTGAGCTGGTCAATAAACTTATTGAGGATGATTGTCAAGCAGTATACCTGGGGTGAAATCTAACAATAGCTGTCCACAACTGAAAGATACTGATGGCATAACAAGATTCCTTCTCCCCCTGTAAGCCCCCAGTATTAGCTGTGAGGGGCAGGGAGGAGGATACTTTACAATTTGTGGGAAGGGAGCTGTAGAATAAAGGTGTCCCCTTGCATAATACCAGATGTTGCCCAACTTCTATTAGAAGCTTTTGGTGAAGAATAGTTATTCTATGAAATGCACATTCATGGTGTAAGTAAATTGACCTATTTATGGATCGGCAGCTAGATTTTAAAAACCGGAAGTCGAGTGTAGGAATCAATTACAGTGGTAGGGAAGCTTCTTCATCTTTGATTTTTTTGCTGCCTTATATGCCCCAGAAACATTCTCCCAAAATTGGACTTCAGGCAGCATTCCAGGAGGTGCCACTACTTCTATGACCATTCCCCCCAATCCAGATCACAGCAAATAGAAGTAGATCTTATTTCATGGGAACATAGCTTTACTGGTTCACCTCATGCAATAACATTCCCAGTGAGCAAAGCTTTCAGATCATTAGCACTATTGCAACAGGTAATATCCATAAAACTTCACCTAAATATAAGCACAAGATAGTAGAGGCAGCAACCGATTTGCACAGGGGTTATTCTGGACCCCTACGTGTGTCACTGGGGCCTACTTAAGGCTGCCCTTTTTGGGACATTTTTGGGACATTTCTGGGTTTGGGCCATGCACATGTTTGCAGTTGCACACATCGGAGAAGCGTAAACCAGTCTTTGCCTCTAGTGTGAATGAAACTTGTGTGATTAAGTAAAATTATTTGGTTCCATGAGAAATCTGAAGATGAAATCTCCATGAAAAACACTTGGCAGAAAGTAATCTTATGGTGTCACTTGGCTTGCATATTGGACAACTGATGGCTAAGGGCGTTTGTGTTGAGACAATTCATTTCTTTCATAAGAAAGCAGAAACCAAAGTGGTTTAATCTAAAACACAATTGGGTATCTGTATCAACGCAACATTAGCAGAATGGTGGTCAGAATCTAGAGAGTTACATTTAAGTGTATCCGAGGCTTTGGGCTTATCCAGTGGAATTTGGCCTGTTTTTCTTTGACTTGCGATCCCCAGGACCATGTAAAAACTACTTGAGAACTCAGAAGTTTCAAACCAGGCTTGCAATAAAGCATGGAAAGGGAGTACTTGAGCACAGATCCAAACTTTTGTTCGATGTATAGAGCTAGCTGCAGTTGTTCAGGTCCTGGACCATATGTCTACTTCATGAAGTCCTCTGTGCCATTCTTTTGTATGTTGAGGGAAGATAAATTACTGAAGAGCTAATTTACCAGGTAATGCTTCGTTTCACAGTGCTTCTGCTTATATTAGAACATTATAATCTTAACTTTGAAATTAAGGCAGAATTGTTTTGTAAAAAACAAACAGAAAAAACCACCCCAACTTTCAGCATCATAGTGAGAAACACTACTTTAACTGACTTGAAATGCATATGAAGGTGAACTTAACCACATTTAGGCACTAAATTAGCAGTGTGTTTGCAAGTGAGACATAGGTGCTAAAGAAAAACAAAATTCTGTAGTTTGCTATGCCATAACAAAATAATACTCATTGCAGCTGTTTTCCTCTCTTCACAACCCCAATCTAGATCTGCATAAAAATAAATAAATAATAGTATTCCATCCATCTGACTGGGTTACCATAGTACCTTGCTCATGCCACATGTGTTTCCGTAAAATCAGGAAATGCAGACTCAGCCCCCTTTTCCCAGTCCTCTCGTCTTACACAAGATTGGGTTGGAGGGTACTGATGGTGAGCACAAATAATGCTTTTAGTATGGCATTACTATCCTACTGGGCAATCCTATCCTTATCAAATGGACTGCCAGCTGTACCCTTGCAAATCAAAACGACATTCGCATTGTCCATGCTAGTTCAATTTAATGGTTGCAGGAAGAGTATTTAATCTTTACCTCTCAGACAGTAGTCTGACATAGAATTCTGAACATCCATTAAAAATGTTAAGTTTTCAACTGTAGGGTCAGGATTCATTATTTGGTTCAGGATAAGATCACAACAGCAGTACAATCACAATTCATACATATATGATAAAAAGATGAAGTAGGTTCCCAAATGCATATTTGGGCTTAAAGCAGATTCGGTGTCTGAAATTTTGAAGACTTCTGCCTGTGAGCATATTGTGAAACTTAAAGGTGAACAGGTAATCCTAGCTAGGCAGATAGAGAAGAGGAAGAGAAATTTTTTTTGACATAGTGACAGATTCACAAAAACCCATTCCTTGGGTTTCCAAACTGTAACTTTAAAATGGAAGCCAGTGCAGTCAAGCTGGCTGAGCTTTAGCAATCACAGCCAGTCTAGGTCATGTTTGTTGAACAGCTAGGAAACAACCAGTTTATACACAAATCAGAATAAACACACAGTTCTTTTCCAAATATTTTGGGGGGGTTTACTACTTTGTGTGGCACTGTCTTGTTCATGAGTCGCTTTAGGGTGCCATCCTAAACTCATTTGGAAAGCTGGGCAAACTCAAATCTGTGTCTTGAAAATAGAAGGATTTAAATCCAGCAGGTCCCAGGCTATTTCATGCTTGTTAGGTTCTTCAGGTCTTTAATATCAAACTATTAACCCAAAGTGTTTCCCATTTTTTAATCTCTCCACCCGCCTCCCTGATTCAGTAATTGCTGGTTTTCACTGCTTCTTCCATGTAGTATTTCCTTCCATTGTTTGTTGTTCAGCTGTTGGTTACATTATTTTTGTTTATTACTATGTTATGAATTATTGTGTTTTTATATTGTAAACCACTCTGTGATCCTCAGATGAAGGGCAGTTTAGAAATTTAATAAATTATTATTAAAAATAACAATTCACTTGAGGATCCAGAAAGTTCGCAGTGGCCAAAATGGTGCCCTCCATAAGTTGTCAGACTACAACTCCTATTAACTCTGACAGCAGGGAATGGTCTATGCTAATGTAGCTAATAGTAGCATTTCACTGGTGTGTAATGGAAGGTACCATACTCGGAGCCTTTCTAGACAGCCTTTATTGCAGGAGCAGGTAATTTATAGCTGGTCCTAAAGACTGCCCTTGTTACATTTTGTCACCAAATAGATTGCATTACCAGTATTTTTCATCTTGAAATGGCATCAATAAAGAGGCAACTTCTATTTTTACAGTATACACAATTTTAATGTTTTTTGTACACTGCAATTACTGCATTATGAACCTTTATCCTCCACCAGAAAACGCATCTTGGAACATTATTGGCACAAGTCATTTGGAATGTCTGTTAATACTTGATTTCAGAATTAGATGAAAAGTTCCAGGGGAAAAATTAGTAATGAGAGAAATGATGGACTAGAAGTACTGGAGAGACTTCTGAAGTTTGCATCATGGATGTAGCTACCACCTTGTTCTCTTAGGTGACATGACCTGCATTTATGTTGGGTAATGGTGTAATCTAAACCTTTATACCCCTGTAGAGTGAGTGTGTTTGTGTGTATCACACACAAATCAAGTAACTACTTGAATATTAAAAATCAAGTAACTACTTGAATATTAAAAATGATTCCAAAGTATTTAATGTTGCTATCTGTTGAAGGAAGATAATGATTGTGAAGCAAACTCCATGTATCTGATCTTGGAGTGCAGAAGATTGTGGCACCAAACATGATATAACCTCGCCACCTTGTTCTTCCCACATGCAGCAACAAATTGTAATTCTGAAGCTTGCTTGCAAGGACCTTAATGGACCGTAATGGCAGTAATTCATATACTGAGGAATTTGTTGGGCAGTGCAGTTCCACAAATAAGATGTGGCTCTGCTTGTTTTGACCCCTCCCCTTCTAAGGCTCTGTAAGTGTAGCTGTAGAAGACATGAAGGAAAGCATTCTGATATTAGCAAATAAGAGAAAACTTCAAGCATGTGTAGAAACCCTCACTAATGAAAACACATAGTGTACGAAGGTTGGGGGAGAACTACAGCTGCATGACACAGTGCATTATGCTAGTCTTGAGGTTGATTCACATGTGCATATCTCCATGATACATGTTTACGATGCAGCTTCTATCTATTTTCACTGTAAACAGTGTTCTGCTTTGATGTTAGTATTCTTATGCTTTATATTTCTTATTGCCAAAAGAAGATATTTTTCTGGGAAGAATTAATGTTATGCCTTGCACAAATTTGGTGTGTGTGTGTGTGTGTACACACACACACACACACACACACACACACACATATACGTATATAAATCCCTACTTTTTTCATTCTTTAACTTTTGAGGGAGGCAGAAATAAAGTGAAGCGGCCAAAGGGAGAGGCAGGATATTAATCTCATACTAGTGAATTAAAGGTGCCTGACCTTTTGTAAGCTAAGAGAAAACATAAATATTACTCCTCCTGAATAAATTTAGTAATTTACTTAATGATAAAAGGCCACCTGGCACCTTCACTGCATGGGTTTAGGCACCAGGCAAAAACTTTTCTCTATAACCAGGCCTTTGTCTGATTAACATTCTATGGTCTTTTACACATGTTTGTGTTTGTTCTTGTTATGTATTTTGTCTTCTAATTTTGTATTTTTACGTTGTGAATTGCCCTGTAATGAAGGGCAGTATATAAATTTAATAAATAATAGTGCATGAAACACTCTCCTTTCACTTATTTGATATTTGATGTATATTGGCCAAACTGTAGAAACCTGTCTTAACTGAAAAAGTTTGTGTTTGAATTCATGTACATCCTTCATAGATGCTATTGTCAGTGTGATTATGCAGGTTTGAAATGATACTCATACTGTATGTTCTGTTGGTTAAAATAATACTCCTGACATCTTTGCTTATACAAGACTGAATGTGACTGTAGTAGCAGTCAGTTTGCACTCAATAAAATACCCTCTTTCCTAGATAGACAAAGCAAAATAGAATTTAGAAATATAGCAAACATAACTAGTGGGCGGGCTTGCTGTGTACAGCTCAGTGTTGTTTGAAAGACTGGTCTATTTTTGTGGATGCCAGTGAATCATCACGTAAGCCATATGATTCCTCTTACTGTGCTTTGAGTGATTGCAAGTTCAAACTTAGTAGCCCACATAGCTTTTGGTTAAAGCAGCCAAAGGTCACCATAAAGACAAGTATTCATTGTGGCAATGGAAATATCTGCAAGACATGTCATATATTTGTAATCCAAACCTGCTTTAGTATGGAAATAACATTGGACTGTCCTTGCTTAGGTGTCTACAAATACCAGCTCAAAGGGAAAGGATAGATAGGTGGGTTAACATGGCAGGGAGGAATAGAGAATTTCCTTGAAGGGAAAAGTAAACGCAGATCAGATTATATCAGCAGTTCCACATACTCACTTGCTGCAGAATATCCCTTTCCTACCACACATTTGGAGGAGATAATGGCAGCAGTAGAGTTCTACTGGCGTCTCTTGCAAAAGCCCAGCATAAGCCATAGAAAGTATGCAGGAGGGCAGGGGTTGTTGGGAACTAGAAATGTTGGCTAAATAAGTCCAGCCAGTTTCCCAGCTTCTACATAATTTTTAAGTAATTAACTGGGATAATGTTGGGCTATTTTCAATTGGAAATATGCTATAGGGAGCAAAAAGGGTTTGTAGTGGTAATGATATTGGGCATGTAAATGGTTCTGTGGAAAAACTACTGGAATTTATATTTCCCACTTCATACTAAATTCTACAGAGTTAGTGCATTGCTACTCAGCATAGTGAGGAACTGCAGACATTTTTGAAAGAAAAGCCTGTTCGCTACCTGTTAAGGAAGGGACCGGCTTCTGCTGTTAAGCATTTATCTTTCATTGCCAGGTACCCACCTTTGTCCACCTTCCTAACACACTTGTAGAGTTATGCACAGCTGATACTTGGCAAGACATGAAATTATCTGTGTCTCCATATGGAGTGGGAGCTGGGAGAAGAGGCTGACAGTTTGCAAGAGTTTGGTATATAGAACACTAATCTCAATGAAGCTGAATAGATTCTTGGTGGCTGCAGTGTTTAAATGCAGAGAGAGATTCCCTTTACCCAGATGCATAGAATACACCATATATGGCTAAAATAATGGCTTACTACATGAGATATTTGCAGATATCCTTCCATCTGTCCATCCATTTTCACTCTAGTAGTAAACAGTCAGTGGCTTAATAGAACTAGAAAAATAGGAACCCTCCTATTAAGTTAAAATAGAGTCCAATATGAAAAGCTTAAGCTCAAGGGTAGTGGACTTTGACTCGGTGGCTTTAAAGTCTTGCATCTCCAGACTACTCACTTTTATGTTAAAGCATTGAAATATATTTATCCAAGTACTTCACTAAGAGATATTACGCATATAAAAATGGATTTTTGAGCCAATGGTTAGGTTGAAAACTTTGCAGCATAGTACAACACACAATACTATATACTGATTTAAGAAATCCAAGCACCAATGTTTCTTTTCCCTCTGCATGTACTTGTAAATACTGTTGCAGCTGAACGTGGCATGATATGTTAGATCTACATATGTACATTTCCTTCTAACTTTATAGCTTTGGTTATGTGTTCATGATTTTTGAACAGTTGCATTAAATTCTCCTCTCCAGTGGACTTCTGTCTACGTAGATGCACAGTAATATTCAATTCCATAACCCAATCTGGAAACTCTATTGTTATCCAGAAATCAGTTTTGTTCAGAGTAGTTTTGTACTGCTTTAAATATTTCTAAACGTTCTGTTCAGCAAAATAGTGTTCCTAACATTGTTTTTCTTAGTAAACCATCTCTGATATCCTACATTAAAATGTTCTTACGCCTCCCAACATATTTATCTGGAAGTAAGTCTCACTTCTGAATAAACCAGACCAGGATTTGAGCATAAATCTTAGTGGATTGGCATGTTACAATGGTAGATGAAAGCTGTACTGCAAGGACTAATTTGGCCTCCAGAGAAACCAGTAGTTGGTGCATAAAATAGTTTTCTGGTCTAGACAAACAGCTGGAGATGAAAGGAATAATTTTCTGTGTTTGCTTTAAAAAAACAACCATCTCAGTTTTCATTTGTGTAAAGTATATATTGATTTTTAGTCTGAAATGTGTCCCATTAAAAGTCAAGACAGATATAATAAAAGTTGAAGTGTATCTAATACTTTGAAGACCAAACTGCATGCTACTGATTGCCTGTAGAAGGTTGATATTTCAAAGCAATGGGGATGTAATCCTGGTTTATTCAGAACTGTCAACAGCTATATTCTGAATCTGGAACACATTTAGATAAGCTGAACTCTCAATATGGAGTTAAGAAAATAATAATCTTTTTCCATGCTTCAGTACACTGGAAAATCCCCTCTTTTGCACCTTTCCACTGTAGATCATAAGTCCCAAGAACCAGGTTTTTTTTTTAATGAAGAAAATTCCATTAAATCTCTACTTCAAAAGAAAACCGAGCCAGCTGAAATGTTGGGGATCATAGCTACAATGCTTCAATTGGTAAAATGTCCTCCCTTGACTGGGTCCTGTAAATAGATACCTAACATCTTTTCATCCAGACTATTCTTCTAAATCAAATCTGGAGTCTTGAGAGTAAAAATTTACACATATAATTACATAACATGAAGCAGTTTACATATTTTGGGTTGAGCATATTTAGACTTCCAAACATTAGGAGTGCAAATTGAATGCAAACATTGCTGCTTTAACACAGAAAATACTATGGGTTTAAAAAAGCCACCCTTAAATACTGCATCACTCAAAACAAGTAGCCTAGAAAAATCCAAGCTTTCTCAACATTTGTAAAAAAAATCAAAAATATGTGTAGGATCCCTGCAATTTAAAATAAGTTTATCTGATTTTGTATTTTGTTTTTGATTACCTGTATATATTATACTTCACATTCTTTATAGGGTAGTTGCTGACACTTGCACTGTCCATAACCATTAATGATGATGAAAGGTCCTTCATGGCTGGCTTCATATTCATTATATGGTCCTTGGTCTGACATGTTTGACATATGTAGCCGTGTTTGAGATCGTAGTTGCCTGTGGCTTTGAATCATTGAGCACTGCCTAATTTTTCTTAATGTGGGAGGGCAGCACTTCCTGGAGATGAACACTACAAAAATGATAAAAAAGAAAGAAAATAATAAAGCCATTGTTCCTGTAATTACCTGCTGGCTGAAGATGGCATTGTTCGGCTCAGGCAACTGCTCTTCTGTAGTAATGGGCATGCCTGTCGTAGTTGAAATTTCTTTGTCTCCCACATGGAAATTTGAGGAGCTTATCCTTTTTGTATATTCAGTCGTTGGAGCTCTGTAACTTGTAGCAATGGATGTAACAACAGTTGATAAATTCCAACAAAGCTGAAAACCATAAACTGCATCTAGAATATCCTCTCCCTGGGTGTGGTTGGGGCTATGACAAAGTATCGAATGCTCCCACCGACCTTGGAAGCCACTCAGCCATGTGGCTAGTGCACATATTTTGGGGCTGCATTCCCAGGGATTGCTGGAGAGGCCCACTGTAGTAAGGGTTGTAAGTGAATATAAAACCTTGGACTCCAGAGTGGTTAGCTTGTTGTTATCCATTAGGAGTACTTTAAGATTAGGCATTGTTTCAAAAACTGTCATATCAATGGCTTTGATCTCATTTCCGGACAAATCTAGCTTTTCTAAAGTGCCCCAGGTCCATTCCATCCCGCATGTCAAGTTGCTAATTTTATTCCCCTGCAAGAAGAGCATGTGCAGATTGCTTAGCCGTAGGAAATGAGCAAAGTTAATCTTTGTCAGCTGGTTGTGCTCTAGGTGAAGTTCCCTCAGTTTGATTAATCCTGCAAATCCATTGCGTGCCAAACTTCGCAAGCGATTTGTGCTCAAATCCAGAAAATCCAAACTGCGGCAGTCTGAAAATAGACGGACTGGGATAGTCCTCAGGGAATTGGAACGTAAACTCAAGGTTTGCAGTTTGCGAAGGCCATAGAACAACTCAGGATGCAAAGCAGACAATTGATTGAAAGAGAGGTCCAAATGTTGCAGGTTAAGCAGTTGGCTAAAAGTTGTGTTTGGCAAATAAGAGATTTTATTTGAACTTAAAACTAATTCCTTGAGTTTATACAGTCCTTGGAAACCATCTTCTCTTATTGTATCAATTTGATTATGGTCTAAATGAAGCCAAGTAAGTTGACTGAAGCTTGCAAACTGATCCCCTTCAAGTTCCATAATAACATTGTGCCTCAAAGACAAACCTAGACAGCCCTTGTCAGTGGTGTTTGGCACTGAGTGAAACCCCTGAGAGTCACAGTAAAAGAGCAGCTTCTCGCAACGGCATTTTGGCGGACAAGCCGTACCCAAGGCAGGCAGCATTTTAAAAACAATACTCATTGCATATACTGCTGCCAGCATAGGAGCCCCTAATGGCCACTTGAAATGTAAGCCTGCAGAATATAATTCAGGGAAACAACAAAATAGGATATTTTTATCAGATGTATGCTTCCAACAAAACGGAGAAAGAATGCTACAGATAAATCACATGCATTAAAATGCTTCAGGTCTTAAGAATATAAAACAAATCCTCGTGAGCATCTCTCTGAATTATTGACATTACTGATAAGGCAACTGAAAAGTGCCTTTAAAATCTATTGTTGTCTAAATGTGCATTTCTAAAGCAAGGTTGACTGCACATAGTGCAACAAACAGAAATATTTAAACTTACCCATTCTTTTGAGTACGTTGGCGGTTGCATTCAGTCGCAGTTTTAGACTCAACACAGTGAGTCTGTAAAAGGCTCTAACGCTGACAACCTTTGAATAATTTACTTTCTTCTACTGTCCTCATCCGAGGAAAAAAATGACTTGACATCCTCTTTTCTCATATTCCTTTTGAATTCATTTCCTTGATTTCCAGCGGTAGGTCTGTTAATTCCTTAAACAGTGCTGAACTGGGAGTTCTTTTTGTACTGCTGCTTAATTGAAAATGCTTTCCACTGCTATGGCTTTTTTGTCTTAACTTGTTGATGGCAGAAGGGTGGCTTATTGCTGAGAGAAGCTTCTGTAGTCGCTTGAATGCATTTGCTGAAAAGCTTTCAGGGATACGGTACAGGAATGCATTTGCTTATGTGCTGCGACCACACAACTGTATATAGGCTGACGTCATCCTGTGACGTTCCTTTTTGTTTGGGTTTTCCAGAAGCTTTGCAGTTTAAGACACAGTGGTGCATACTGTGAATTGTGAGATTAGACTACCACTAAGAGGAAAAACTAATTGTAGGAATTTTTCATCCAGCATTCAAGTAATAGGAATGACTTTACATGAATCTCTCTTGCAAGTTACATGTTTATTACAATAGCCCTGAGCTATATATCTGAATTTGTGAAGTAAAGTTACTGATTTTTGTGACATGGTGGTCCTGCTGGCATTCTTCTGCCTACATGTGTGAGAGCAGGGTGCTAATTAAAAAAAAAAAAAAATCCTCCAAGGGAGAGTTGCATGGGATTAGCATGTCAGAAATTATTTGTATTGCTATATAATTAAAGATCTAGTTTAAAAGGAGGATTTTATTTTATTTTATTTTATTGCTAGCAATGGAGAAAGAGTGTTTTGGAAAAGACCACATAGGAGAGTCAATCAAATGCAATAGCTTTAATAAATCTCTTTCTACTTTAAAATGTGTTTTTTTAATAAAATAAGATAATGTCATTCAAAGCTCTAATGGTTCTACTTCTGGATAGTTCGGATATTATTTGAGAACAAGCAAACTTGAGTCCTATTCCAATGAAACAAATGTGATAATGAGAACTTGAAGAACAAAAGCAAACCTGGGTGGGCAGAGAGTTCACAGGGAAACTTGAAATAGATCTTGAGGATGTGTGCAGGCATCCTCGTCAATTTTCAGCCTTTTCTGGGGAAAAGTAAACTTTACTTTCCCCCCTACCTAGCCAAAGCAAATGTTAATTGCACGAGTCTGGGTTTGTTTGGCAAAGACTACCATAAATATTTAATTTTGCCATGTGGGTGATATAGTACAGGTAAAAAAAACTACCTGCAATTCTAATAAGCAAGAAGCTTGTGGCTTTTATTTTTAAAATAGAAGTGTTAATTGGAGGAATTTTGTTCAAGTTGTGTAGCAAATTATATCAGTTGTTCAAATATCAGAATAAATAGGCTATGGCAGTAAGAATGAATGCTAACTAACAATGCTATCTTAAGTATTTCGAGACTTGTTCTGTCATTATCTGTATTCTGCAACTTTAAAATGATTTTACATATAACAAACTCAGTTGCTAAGTGAAAGCTTTTCAGTTGTCATGCTCACTAGAGGGCAGCACTGCACTCACAGTGGTAAGCAGACATTTCAAAGCCTGCTTGAAATGCCAGTCTCACCCAGTAGCTCTGTCGGTTATTTCCCTTTTTGTACCTCTGGAAGGAGGCTTTCCCAGCATAAATTGCCTCCCCCACCCCCAAGAAAAGAATCCTGTTAGGTTCTCACCTCAGGCTGCCTGCTTTGGATTTTTTTAAACCCCAATGCTAAGGACCGCTCCCTTCACTCCATCTGTACGAGTATTAAACAGTTTGATTTTATGTTCCTACTGGCCAGAGGACAAGGGAAACTTCACAAGGTGTGTGAAGTTCTAACAACACAAAGAGTCGCATAGCCGACATGCATGTGGGGAAAGTTTTAATGAAAAATTCCAGAGTTTTTCCCTAAAACCAGCGAAACCAAGTGTTAAGATATGAAGAATTATTATTTGGGGAAAGAGGGAAAAGGGAAGAAAAAATGGAAGGCCACAATCACTCATAGACTTCTTGACAAAAATGTAAAGTTTTTGCAATGTCTGAGTCTTGGAGAAAGGCAGTTCTAAGAGAGTATATCTTTGGTCACCTAACTAGATGGTTTCAAGAGCCAAAATATTGAAAGGATGCTTCCCCTAGTTATAGAAATTTGAAACCACTATAAACCCGTGACTCTCTAGATGTGGTTGAACTCCAAATCCCATCAGCCCCAACTAGCATAGTAATGATCAGGGATTATGAGTCCAGCAGCAACTGGAAGGCCACAACCCACCCCCACTGTGATTTAAAGTATTTTATTACAGAACTAAGTTTTTGCCAGGTTCAACTATGTATAAGTGCTTCATGTGTTCAGCAGTCCCATTGTGTGAGAGCAGCAGTCTGCTTGTGCAGTGTTTGATTCAGTCCTATAAAGGGGCTCCTTACTTGTGCATGTGACCTGAGCTTGCAAAGCATGGCATTCTTTTTGGACTTCAGTGTTGTTAGTCCATCATCTATGAGGCATTGCCCTTGACACTGAAGTCAGCAGAAAAACCGGGGTGTTCAAATCCTTTGGAAAAGAGCCATTGCAATGGGTACAATACATTAATGAAGCTTGTTTGTTTTCTCTAATTCTCTAGGCTGGACGCAAAGAAAGAAGCGATGCTTTAAATTCTGCAATAGACAAAATGACAAAAAAGACAAGGGATTTGCGTAGACAGGTACAGTATTAAATATGTATAAAGTGTTCATGAAAACAGTTACACTACATAACATTCCATTTATCATGTTAGCCTGATTCTAGCAGTCTTTTACTGTTCTTTTCATTGTAGTAGAAAACTAAAAGATTGGATTCAATTAGAAGTTGAGTGAGCTGGCCTTGGAAGAAGGGAGTCGCAGTATCTTCGCAGAAGCCTCTTAGATGGAGCTTTGCTGGAGGCGGACACATAACAAGCTCTTCCTCCTCTTCTCTTCAGCAGCAAAGGCCAACCTAATCGAGCCGCTGCTTACAAGGATTGTCTTCCTAGAATGAACTCTCTCCTTATGAAGAGAGAGCATCGAAGCGAGCCATTAGCAATGACTATTTTGTTTTTGTCTTTTTCCTTGGCCACACGGAAAATCGAAACTGCTTTTGTGTCAATCTAATCTTGTCAAAACATGAGAAATGACCAGTTTCTATGCTCCCTGTCATGGGTCGCCATACTTTGTTATAAAGTCACCAACATCTCACAGGTAGTGGGACAAATCAGATCCAAAAAGGCCAAAACATTGTCATCAAACCTTGGATACATGGAATACGTCTCACAGCTTTTAAAACATTCTTTTCCCAACAAGTGAAATCTGATAGAACTTCTGCAGTGCCTTGATTTAAAACTTGATAGGGCTGCTGAGGTTTCGTGGGCCAGATCTGGCCTGTGAGCAATACAGTGGCCTTACCTCATACTACCTAATTGTTTAAGCAAGTACTGTGTTTCCCCATTAAGATTATTATTTTGAGGCTAAAACGATTATGTGACATGAAACATTTACTGGGGGAGTTAGCTTCAGAATAGTCTCCATACAGCAATGCCAATTGCATTAAAGTGAAGGATTATGTGTGTTTAATAATAGGGTTGCTGACAAAGTGAACTTTTTATTAATGCAGTTTACACTGAAGGGCCAACATTGTTTTGTTCTCTGTTCTTAGCTCCGCAAGGCTGTAATGGACCATGTTTCAGATTCCTTTCTGGAGACAAACGTGCCACTTCTAGTGCTTATTGAAGCCGCCAAGAACGGGAACGAGAAAGAGGTTAAGGAATACGCACAGGTTTTCCGTGAACATGCCAACAAACTGATAGAGGTAAAGTAATAATTTTAAATTTGAATAACTTGTATCAGGTTAATTATGTGTTACATGAAGTATTTATCTTCCATCTACAACCAGCCGGCTTCATTGGATCACTTCAGGTTCTGGTATGCTGACAGAGAAGCCTCGCTCTTTTAACACCAAGAGCTTTCTGTCCTCGCTTCTCTTTTATAAAAACAACCAAACAAATGAAGTATGTATCTGGAAATTTCCCTAGCTAGCCTTATAGCTACAATACTTGATTTCTAACAATTCTCCTTTTACTTACAGTTGAGTTTTGGGCAGCATGTTAAATACATCTTTTCCTGACTGGTAATACTATGTGCATTATAGAGTTTTATGGGTTTTTTAACAAAGTTGTGGAGAGAAGTTTGCAAGTGTGACAGCATAAGTGCTTAAGAGAAAAAGAGCCAGTTGGCTAGTGTCAGATGATAGAACATTTCAAGCTTTGGTAGATTTCGATCAAAATGATTACATTTGAAATGGCTGTAGATTTATCTGTTTCATAACTATGGGGAAAAGTATTTTTATTACTGAGGACATAAAATCCAGAATTTCACTGATTGCATTCCTGCATTTTGTTAACATTAATGCAAGATTCCAAGTGGCTTTACCAATGCCACATGCTGCTATTAACACAAGTGAAAAAAGGCTTTGTACTAATATGGAATTCAATGTTATAGAGAAGCTATAATTTTGAAGACAGGCGTTTGTCACACTTGAAAGCCTGTTTAATGCATACATATTTATAATTCTTTGTAGTAGCAAGTGATAACCAATCACCACAGACAAAAGACACCACACCAGCCAACACCAGTTGTTACTGTGCTTTTCAGTGGAGATGGTCAGTACGTGTGGTTGAGATGTCAACAGCGATTGAAAAATACTATAGACAATTCCATCATACAGAAAGTATCAACAGATAAGCACACAACTTAATGTTACTGCTGAGGAAGAATTTTAGGGAACTGCTAAATTAAAATTAAATGCAAAATCTGTTCAGCAAAACTTAAGATTCTCAGTTAATTAAAAATTCATGTAGGCCTTGTGTGAGAATACATCTGTGTGTTATCTATTAACTATGTTTATCTGCCTTAGCCCAAGTGCCTCAGGGCTTTTATAGAAGAAAATGAGAGGCCCAGGCCTTGAAAAACAATGTTGTAACTAAGCTTCTAAAAAAAAAAAACTTTAAAAAAATATTTTGCAAGTGCAGAGGGGAAAGCCATAAGATAAGTCAAGAACAGCATATTACCAGGTGTCACTATATAGTGATTAACATTCAGTATAGTTACGTATAATGAGTGATATATACAAGATTTCTACAAATATATTTTTAATAAACCCTTTTGCAACCTAACTTAATCCGTTGCATTTTCAGCCAGGGCCACCCTCCACACACAGTCATTCCATGCAGTAAAAGACAAGTTTAAGGCTATCTTCCAGTTTTTGGAACTCCTTCCATACTAATCTGTGCCTTGAAGACTGTCCAGAACGTCAAGGCCAGACAATTGTGAATGGTTTGCTGCATAATATCACAGCTTGGAATGCCAGCAACCAGAGGAGCGAAACAGGAAGCAGACCACTACATATGAAGGAGGGTCATTTTTTCCTTTATGCCCCCTCTAGCATAAGGGCCTCAGACTTTTTTATATATATATAACGAAGTTGAACTCATGTTGGATGCCATCTAAATTTAGCCGAGTGGCCCTTCTCTAATTAGGGCTGCGGTAGACTTGATTGATATGACAATTCCATTGCCATTCACTGATTTGTCATGCTGATGTCAGTTTCCCAGGCACCTTTCAGGCTGATGGTAGAAGAGAAATCCACTTCAGATAAATGTTACATATTACTGAGAGGGGCAGCTTTGAAAAGACAAGTTCATCCAATAGCTTATGTTTTATATAGTCTTGAAAGTAACTCAATAGATTGATTTTAATTTATCTGCTGTTATGTGATTCAGTATTTAATAAAACACTGTGTCTTGTAAACTGCAATATGATGGCTTGTGGGTAATGGTGAGCAATTCAATACTCTAAAAGAAATTTGTTTTTTATGATCAGTAGAGAGAAACATGGTTTAAACACAAATCAGGAAGTGCTGAAGGCTGGGACTTCAATCTAAAAGTGTGTTGAATGGGGTAGCTAACACAGAATCATAGAATCATCAAATTGTAGAGTTGAAAGGGACCCTGAGGATAATCTAATCCAAACTCCTGCAATGCAGGAATATGCAGCTGTCCCGTACAGGGATCCAACCTGCAATCTTATCACTATAAGCACCACGCTCTAACCAACTGAGCTATCCAGCTCCATCCATGTTGCCGTGCAGATACTTTGGACTACAATTTCTATCATCCCTGAATATTCACCATGCTAGCTGGGGCTAATGGGAGTTGTAGTTGAGTAATATCTGGAGCGCACCATGTTGGCTAATGTGAGCCCATATCAACATTTCCTTGCTCAAGGAACTGAGCCTTGTGCTTGCTTTCTACAAGTAAACTTAAAGAGTTAAGAATGCCTCACTTGAGACATCAACCTAATTTCCTGCTCCAGTGTCATTGTTAATGAATTTCAAAGCAATTTTTAAAGAGCTGATCCACATATAGAATGGACAGCCTTCTAGAAGACTACCCACCGCTTAACGTTCTGTCACCAGCACATTAGCTCAAATCATAGTGCAGTGTTTTAGGGAAGTAGTTGTAAGTACGCATTTGTTACTATTATATGTGGCAGGATTGTCACTTGGGGGTAAATAGAAAGTTGTTCATCCAAATGCTAGCAGCACCAGTAGGCAGCCCGAGGTCATCCATGCATCTTAAGATGTAAAGGGCAGATTCTTGGAGATGGGTTACAGAATTGGCTCAAAGAGTGTGTTTTTTTTATAACTGTATTAAAATTAATTTCTTCCGCCTGTATTACAGGAAATACTTCCAAACTCGTAACTACTCATTCCTTTTGAATTAGCTAAATTATCATTCACAGCATATCTGTCGCTTCTAAGCCTGGGGCAGGGGGTATGGTCATTGATTTGCTGTCAGTGTGTATGTATATTAGCCTGTCACATAGAATAGTGTACGGGGCAGGTGTCTGACAAAAGAAGCAATCTTAAATTGTGTGCATTTGGCCGCTTTTGTCCCACACTGCAAATGTGCAGTGTTGGCTATTCCAAACATGGAGAATATATAGCAGGGATGGTCAGCTTTAGGTTGGGAGGCTAGGTTTCCCACAGTCAAGTTTTGAGGGACTACAGAACAGAAACACACACTGATGACATTCCCTAGTTTTAGCAGCCAGGTCAGTGGGGTGATTGAACACCACTATCTCCTGAGCTGAATAACCTGGGGTTGGAAAGGCCAGGAAAATCATGTAAGAATCACACTTAACTGTCGTGGCTGTCCATTGTATTGGGAAATGGGTAAGCAGCCATGACATGGGAGCTTTTAGGATCTTCTTCAGTCTCCCAATAGGAGGCTGTGTTCCTCAGCCTAGTGAGGAACACTGCTTTGTCATTTCTCCCTGGGCTTGGTTGCATGAAATGTCCTGGACAACTGGGCAAGCAGCAGTTGCATGAGGACATTTTGTGGGACTGTCCCTAACAGCATGGCAGATGGTTTGCAAGTCCTTCGACATTCACACAGTCCCATGACATTAGAATGTTTTGGTTATAATGATGTGAAAACCTTAACCTTTGGCAAGGATTCTGAAGTCAGCTCAGTAAGAACAGAATGATTTGATAGATAAGAGGGAGAAAATAATTCTTTAGTTTTTCAAAGGCCAATACAGGGAAAGAATATTGTGTCAGTATTGGTTGTCGCCCATATTTTCCTATCTTTTCCTGTGCAACCATAACAGTGAGAAGTTTTGTAGTACGGATTATACTCTCCACTACCCAGGCACTGAGTAGGAAATCTGGAATCCTGCTAATACAAGTTTCTAGCCCATGTGATAGCCACACCATCTTCCTTGCTGACTTCTGACTCCAAAAAGGAGACAAATCCAGATCCTCTAAGAATATACAAAGTGAAGTGAAAAGACATTTGATCTTACAGAGGATCACAACAACCCTATTTAGAAAACATTTATACCAATTATCTGGGAATGCTGATGGAAAGGGGTAATTTCCCTTGCATGCCTAGCAATTTATCTCATTACTAGGATTCTCAAATGTGGATTTAAAAACTAATGTTTAATGCAAGTTAGCGTCATGCTGGGGCACGCAGTTCAAAGTTTTCACTCTGTTCCTGCTGCTGTGCCACCAGAAAGCGAGTCAGTGTCTGACTTGTCACAGTGCCCAAACATGTTTCAGGTTCGTTTCTTTCCAAACAGCCACAAGTGGTAACCAAGGTTTATTCTTGTCTTACTGCTTGTGGGTTTTGGGGGGAGAAGTGTCGGCCCAAGTTCAGATATTGTGACAAACCAGATTTTGGTTTCTTTCCCAGCAGCATAGCCAGGAACAAGGGAAGAACATCAAGGAACTGCAATAGCATACTGCACACAAACATTAAACCATAGGGTTTTGGGTTTTTTTTTACTGTATTTTAATGTGATGTACAAACCTATTAAGCTTTTAAGATTAGAACACGAGTTTTGAATTTGATAAAACTGTCAAAAGAGTAACAAAGCCTTTATCTCCAGAGGTATTACCAAATGTTTGTGTTCTTTTTAAGGTAGTGATTCCAGACTTGTCTTTCCAACGTACAGCTGATTTTTGCCTGTTCTAGAATAGCCAACCCTGTTATTCAAACAATCTAGGTCAGCTCCTGGATGGGTGACTGGCTTGAGTTCTAGGTCAGGAGGATATTAATGTAAGCAAAAGAATTTGGAAGGTCAACAAAACATTCACTTAGTTAGAAAGAAGAAACACCTGCATTTCTTGCTATTTTTTCTATGCCCTTTTTTTTTGGTCTCCAAATAGCAAGGAGAAGGATGAACAAAAAAATCCTTTCATGCTTGTGTTCCACAGATTTGCTCTTAATAAGGTTAGCATCAAATAAATTGTCAACCTATGATCTGTGTGTGTTTTTAATGTAACAAAAAGCTTGATTATTTTTAGTTCTGTAGACTCATCTCTCCTAGCAGTTAATAATAGGGTTGGTGACAGAGATTCACAGTAGATAATACACTTGTCTTTATAATAAGCTTGAAAATAATCCTAACAAAAAGCTTTGATTTTTTTAAATGTAAAATTATTTATGAACAACTTTGTTAACGAGCCAGTTAGTTCTGTCACTGTTCAAAATACCTAATCTATACAATATGATTCTTATGAAAGCATAGATAAAAGTACAAACACAGGTGCAAAGATCCCTGAAAATAACTAAAAGCCTTTATCCTTACGGCTCTGGTTCTGCCTGGTTTCAAGTCTTGACAGCAAAAACTTCGGCTTTCCTTCCATGGCAGTGTCTCTGCTTCTTTAACAAAACACATTAAAATGCTTTTAATTGCTTCTCTCCTTATTGGTGCAGAATGTTTATAGGCACGATAAATCTTTACAAGAAACCACCTGTTTACTAACCAGAGTTTAGGCTTCCTTTGGCTGGCTGCTTGCTAGAAAGAGGCGAAATTTTGCTGCTTATAGTGGGATGGAACGCACTGTTCTTGTCTTTGTACTAATTTTTACATATTTCTGTGCGCAAATGTAGGCTTTAAATAACAAGCTGTCATTCACCTGTCAGTTAATAACTACAAACCCTTTTAGAATCCCTCCTCCGAGAACAGGTTCCAAAATATGGAACATTTTCACTTAAAAATAAGTGTGCCCTTTCATTCCCCTTCCAGAAAGCAAATGGAAGGACTTGTCTCTAGATAGCAGCTCAAGGTTCCAAGCAAATCTCTAGAAACGGCCAATTGTCATCTTTTTCTGCACCAGTTGGCAACCATGTATTCTGTTCTGAATCTTGGATGCACATAAACTGCTTGCACATGAGTGGAGGATGTTCCCACACCAGTGGCTAAGTGAAACTACAGATCAGGACTCTCAGTACACCTTTAGCTAAAGTATATGTTTTCTTTAGAATAGCCAAATGAACTGACTTCTACACGGGCGTAAAGCAATAATATCGGATAGCAATCAGTCTGTTCAAATGTTTTTTACTACATGGAATTTGGAAGACCAACTATTTAGAGGCTAGCCCTGAAATGTATTACAAATGTTTGGGGGTTTTTTTTGTAATTTAAGAATTGTTATTGCCAGTTGCAAAAGGCATGCAAACTGTAACAGTTTCCTTGTGAAGAGCTTTTGATTCCAGAAGCAAAAACACCTTCCTAAAATACCTTTCTGTCATCTGCACAGGTTGCCAACTTGGCCTGTTCTATCTCAAATAACGAAGAAGGTGTGAAATTAGTCCACATGTCAGCAAGCCAGCTTGAAGCCCTCTGTCCTCAGGTAAATTATGGATGGACCTATGAATTCTATAGTCTAATTCTGTATGAAATGTGGGGAGTGTAAATATATTTTTAGTGTGTATAATAATATTTTGCCTGCTAAAATCAACACAGTAGGGTAGGTGGTTTTTCAGATCGTAAAGAAAAGTTATTGTAGTCTCTTAATATAAAGCATAAGCCAGAGGTAGCTTTAAAGCTATTAACATAAAATATTCTGGTGAGTTGTTCCATCAGTGGTAAATAATATCCTCTGTCATCTGTTTCTCTATTGAGCAAAGGGGTAATGTGTGCCTGACATTACTCCATTGTTTAGATGTTGGAAGAAAAACAAAATTGCAAAAAGATGTGTTCATGACATTGTTATTTAAGTCAGTTGAGTATGTGCAGACTCTGTGCCAATCCCAAACATATTTAGATCTAAATTAGGGGAGGGGAACCCTCAGTCTTCCTTGCTTTTTCTTCGTACTGAGAGCTGCTGTAACGTAAAAGTTAATCAGGAAAATCCCCAGTTTGATTATTGTCATTAATTAACTCAAGGGAACCTTAACCAAAACAGCTGTAGCCTCTGTTCCCACTCCCCCCCAGTCAAAAAAACCCTACTGATTTGTCAGTTTTGCAGAATGTAGTTCATATTTAGTACATAAAGTCTGAAAATTTGTAAATTCATAGTGTGTTTTTAAAAAATGCCTTGCGTTACAGGTAATAAATGCAGCTTTGGCTTTGGCTGCCAAGCCACAAAGTAAGCTAGCTCAAGAAAACATGGAGATGTTTAAAGAACAGTGGGAAAAGCAAGTTCGTGTGCTTACAGATGCTGTGGATGACATCACTTCCATTGATGACTTCCTGGCAGTATCAGGTAACAGGCTGCAGAATGCTAAGATTTCTTTTACGTTTAGCTTTATTGTTTATCCTGCTACAGTGGCACTGGAATATCCTTTGGAATTCTGTGAACAGCACTGTTGGTTTGCTGCAACAAAGAATGTAATATGGTAGCAGCTGACTCAAGTAAGCAGAAGCTTTTGTAGGCAAGAGTCTACAGCATTTAGCTTGTGCACATTTATCTTTAATAGGGTTGCCATAAGTCCTGGACATACCTGGAATACTGCAGTTGGAAGGAGTGTTCAGGGCGGAAACCTTTGAAATATGGCAGCCCTATCTTGAAGTTCTTGGCAAAAAACAAAGCAGTAGACATATGGGGTAAAAATACAGACAATCCACTTGACATTGAACCCCATATGTTTTGACTATACACAGTTTTGACATTAGGCGTGATCCCTGGAACGTAACCCCTGCATAAGTTGCAGGCTTACTGGATTTCATCAGTTGCGGGAGGTAAATGAAAATGGATGGTGAAGATTTTGATATATAAATATAGAAGAGGTGTAGATATACTCTTATCAGTCCTGTGGGAGGAGAACTTGCCTTACAATGTGAGAGTAAAATATATATATATATATATAGGGAAAACCTATATTGTTCAGTCAATAGCATTGCCATCAATATATACATCTCCCCCATATTTGTGGTGTACATGGAACAGTACTTCCTTAACATCTGTTATCCAATAAACATTTTCTACTGTTCTGGAAATTCCTGTTTGCATTACGTGCACACAATACAATAAGGTGACAATCATTATGGTTTGTTGCTGTTGAATGATAACAGTTTTGTACAAAAGAGCGAAGTTTATTGTATAAATTATTGTAGATTGCTGGGAGACTAGTCTGTTTTAGGCTGCTTGACTTATTTGCTGGCATAATTGTTTGGATAAATGGATAGAAGATACAAGGTATGCCAACTTTAATTTGCATGTTATTTCCTTTCAGGCAGCATTTTGAATACTTTATTTTATTAATCACACGGCTTGCAGCTAGGTTTAGTGTATTACTTTTTAAAATAAAATGTCTGACTACCTCAGGCACTTTAGAGATAGCAATCACCAGTCATTTACGGTTGGTGTTCAGCATGTAAATAAAGAAGTATACCAGGTCACTAGAACAGCTCTTGTCTTCAGCTATAGCTATGTTGTGTTAGAATGTCAGGCTTGCACTAAAGCGGATGTCTAACATTACCAACAGGTTAAAGGGACTGTAGCGGAGCACTCCTTAACAGACATTTCTTTTCCTGTAAACCTCACCTCCATGAGATGAAGTTTTCTTAAAAGCCCTGCATTTCCTCAATCCAAATTTTAGAAAGTACTGCGAGCATATGCAAAAACACAGAAGCCCTCACTGCTGTTTCTACTCTGGATCTCAGGCTGGTAGTGGAAGTGCAAAATATGCCACTGGGCTGCCTCACTCCTTCCATGTATGGAGCTGCTGTAGACAATGAGGTGTTGAAAATGTATGCTGTGTGAGTTTGGAGCCGTTTGCCACATTTCCCACACACGCAACTTGCAGTCCAGCCTAACTGCAGATTTCAGCAGTAGTTACTATTTATTATCTTACTACTGCCAAGCTAAGCTGCCTACAACTGCAGCCTTTACTTCACTCGGGCTGTGGAGGACAGTCTGTCCTACCCCCTTCTGCTCCCGAAAGGCTTTCTCACTGCCTTTCCTTCCATTAATAATTAGTTCCTTTATTTATTTATTTTGTTAACAGCGCTCTATAAAGATCTTTCCTAAAAGCGTTGGCCTGGGTGGAAGGGACAGACACTTTAGCCAGTGACAGAGTGAAGCTGAGGAGGTTGGAACCTGGTGCTGCACATCCACTTTCACTGGATTCAGTCTCTGGGTTTTATACTGTGCTAAGAATCCCCTATCCTAACTGTTCTGCACCCCCAGCTTCTTAATTTTTATTCTGCATTCACTCACTTGCTCTTTGCTGAATAATGTTTGTTACATAGCTAATGGCTGCATAAAGTTGCTCTCCAATGGTGCCATTTAAAAGACAGTGGAAACTTGAAACAAGCAGTTTGCAAAGGCTATGTGTGGTGGCCTGGCTACCGCTTTGTATACTTCTGATTAACATTAGACTATTTCAGAATGGCTTAATGTCAAGAATAGGAACATGTTGGAGGATTTGGAATGAGGGGTGAATGTCAAAAGGAAGAAGAAAAATCTTTCTTGTAGTACATGTCTCACTTTTCCATAAAGGAGCATACCGCTTCAGTGCAAACATTTAATACCTTCAGTGCCACCTGGAAAATTGAGTACCATAAAGCGTGAAATTGTCAGAGCTGCCTGAGGAACATGGACAAATTATTGCCAATAAGAACTTGAGCATCTTCATCTTTCTTGGGCTTCAGAAAGATCTTTTGTTTCCTGAAGAAGTAGATGTAGAAAAGTGAAAAGCATTCTCTTCCCATCAAATCATTAAGAATGTTCGTGGGTATTTGATTTTGTCTGCAGCTCTCACTTTGTTGTCCGATTTGATCTATAAAACTTTTTATAAGAGAGGTGCTGGAACCTGTGGCCCTTGGATTGGTTTTCTGCAGGTGTGGGGAACCTAGAGGGAAGAGAGCAGGAAGGAGAACAGAATGGGATAACCTGAGGGAAAGAGACAGTGGAGCCCTCTGCAAGTGATCTGCCCCCAGCAACTATCACTGAGGGAATGGGGTTCTCAACAGGATGGGGGAAGGAATTAAAGTTTCCCACCGCTGTTTCAGAATGTTGATTGGAATGTGACTTATTTCATGTCCGTATTGCAAATAAAATAGACTTTGAACAGGTGAATGATTACAATTTCCTTCAGTCATGAAATGGGGGTATAGGGGATTTTTTTCTTAATTGAATTTTTTCTTAATTGCTGCATTTTGTACTCATCACATAACAACAAAAGACTTGGATTTTTCACAGTCTTGACCAATCCCCCTCACCCTCCGTACTGATGCTGTTATACACCAACCTAGGGCAGAATGTTAATTTTGAATTCTATTCTGTTCTATTTTACTACCAGAGAATCATATTCTGGAAGATGTAAACAAATGTGTCATTGCTCTCCAAGAAAAAGATGTTGATGGCTTAGATCGCACTGCTGGTGCAATTCGTGGTCGTGCAGCTAGAGTAATTCATGTTGTCACTTCTGAAATGGATAATTATGAACCTGGAGTGTATACAGAAAAGGTTCTGGAGGCAACAAAGCTGCTGTCAAACACAGGTAAGATAAACTACCTCATCAGGCTTTTAATTTCAGATACTTACCCTGTTCAGTGCTTTCTGCTTACAACTTTGTGTCGGTAGGTACAGCAAATTTATTAACTGTTTAAACCTCAGTGCTAAATCTAGTGTTTTGCTGGAATATTTGCTTGAAATGTGGGTCTTTTTATCCATAGTATTGTTCTGTAAGCCCCATGCTAAGTACAGATGATAATAGCTGTCATGGGGACCTGAGAGTCTTCAGATGTTGTTGAACTACAAGTTCCACCAGTCCAAGTCAACATCCCATCCCTGGGATATAATCACTGAGAAATTACAGGCTTGCAATACTAAAATCCATGTCCTAATAGAACAAGTTTGCTCTCTTGAAAGAAAAAAATGTAAAGTCAGAGATGAGAGCTAAGCGGGACTGTAATTGGTAAATTTAAAATGTCATTAATTTTAACGTACACACTCAATACATTTCTGGCCTGGAAGCAAGTTTGATACTCTGTTGAACTGTAAAATGCAAACCAGAAGGAATTTTTTATGACCATTCTGTACATGTGTAAAACCACAGCAGACAATTACTTCATTTTGACCTTGAATTAAAATGAATTAATCATAAAATCAATATCATCATTCTGAGGGATTTCTTAGTGCCATATGACTACTATATTCAGTCCTAGAGCACTATGAACAGTGCTGTGTTTGTGCTAGTTAGTAGCTTGAGCTTAAAATAATTTGCCAATACATCTTTGTGCAGAGCCGCAGTATAGTGCATAGGATGTTGCAGAATTAAACTTCATTTTTTTTATTTAGGCTAAATGTGCTAGTTTTTAATTGTTTGAAAGATTTTCTTAAAGGTTGTAATCAATGGAGTTTTCCTTCTAGCATATGAAAGGAGAATTCAATTCATCTACAAATGTGACTTCACAGGTTAATTGTGTAAATCGTAAAATCTGGTGCCAGATTAAATCTTTCTGCCACTACTGCAGTCAAATCTGGCTCTGGTGTGGCTGTGCTTGCCCTGGAAATGGAAGCAAGAAAAGAGCAGGATACCGGCTGCCCCACTGTACGAAATGCTGTGCCTTTCCACCTGGTATACAACCCAAGAGGGCTGGAGGCCTCTTGGATAGAGCCCAAAGTTTGTGCCCCATTTACTGAGTTGGATTGAGTTTGAGCTACTGAAGCGCATCTTAATAGTTTTGCCAATGAACTGAATGTGGCATTGATTCTACCATCAAAGGTCTCTGGTGGTTCTGATGACAGATAAGCCAGAATCCTTCTGGCAGACTGATTACAGTGGTACCTCTAGTTGCGTGCACCTCTGGATACGTATCCTTCGGGTTACACACACGGCAAACCTGGAAGTATTTTTTCGGGTTTCGCCGTGCACGCATGCGCACTGTGCATGCACAGAACAGGCACCTCTGGTTGCGAAAACCTCGGGATCCGACCGGAGCTCCGGAATGGATCCTATCTGTAACCAGAGGTACCACTGTAGTTCCATTTTGCTCCAACACCAAGTTCCTGTATCACTATCCTGCATTCCTCTTCTGCAATGATGATCTTGGTAACGCACAGTACATTTGGGGTCAGCGTTTTTAATGCTTCATTGCAGGTCACTGTGGCCACTTAAAATTCCCTTAGTTATCATCATCAACATCATGTATTTGTATGCTGCATTTCCATAGTAAACTATGCTGAAGGGAGCTCACAACGTGGAGAATAATAACTTGATGAAAACGTTTTCTTAAGAAATACTCAATAAAATTATATAATTAATTATAAGGTCTAACAACAAAATACAAAAGCATGATTATGAAAATACAATGGATCCCCAAAATTAAATCTTGGCCCCAACAGCAGCCCCAGAACACCCCCACCCTGATAGTCTCTAAGCATCCTGAGCAGCATACTTTTCTGGACTGACAGCGAGAAGGTCCCCGGTACCTTCAGCAACTACTTTGGTCTGGACCCCACACCCCCAGGCCAGGTGGAAATTGACCAGCAAAGCAGAGAGCATGTCTAGCCAGGACTCAGGGCAAGAAATGCAAAATTGAATATATGTTATTTTATAAAGCATTAAAGGATCTTTATAAGTATCAATTTGACCTCTTATTTGGGAAAGTATTTATTTCACCGTGCTCTTCCTCCTCCTGTAGCAAAGGTGTTAGGCTCACCACTGAGGCCATATGTGAGAACTTGTAATCTAATCCTGCATTTGTTGCACTGGCAGACTCCATTTTCTTGCTCATGTTTTTGTCACACTAATGGCATCTTAACAAATTAGCATTCTTTATATGGCCCAACAAAATAACTTTTATTAGCAGCCATAGAATTGTAGAGTTGGAAGGTGATCGCCAGGGTCATCTAGACCAACCTCTTGCAACACAGGAATCCTTTCCAGAGCCAGCTCTGGACAGGTGGAAGCAAACCACCAACCTTCTGGTGAACGCACCGACCTGTTTATTAATGGCATTTGTATACCACCCAGCAACTCAGGTTTTCTGAGTGGTCAACATCACCATCATCATGTCTCGTGGCAAAACCTTTTCATATGTACACGTTTCAAATGCACAATACAATTAATGTACAAAACTAGCATGAATGTAGTCACATCCCCACCTTTCTTAAGTGTCTGTCCTGTGTGTATTGTTTGCCCTTTGTAGGGATACGATTAGGAAATCTGAATGTGTGTGATTTGTAACATTTCAATGAAAGAACAGTTGTACCAGTAATGTTTGTGGATTAAAAAACTGCATTTCAGTACTGTGTTACTGCAGAATCTGCGTGCTAAGAGTCACAAATTTTATTGTATTCTGGTAAGCGGAATGTTTTTTCCCCCTGTGTTCTTTAGTTATGCCACGTTTTACTGAACAAGTAGAAGCTGCTGTAGAAGCACTGAGTTCTGACCCTGCTCAACCAATGGATGAAAATGAATTCATCGATGCTTCTCGGTTGGTATACGATGGAATTCGTGACATCAGAAAAGCAGTGCTGATGATCAGAGTGAGTCAGCCTTTATTTCCTTAAAATAGCATTCACGGGTTTTCTCAAACACATTTTTATTAAACAATAAGGCAGTACAATAGCACTAAGAGTGTCTGTATAAAATATACACACACGCATTCTAAATTTAAACAGCTGCTTCACAGCATAACCCCTCTGGGCAGCTCTCAAGGCATATATAACAATTAAAATACAAAATGAAACAATAAATGCTGTTCAACTAAAAACACATGACACAGATTTAATCTTAAATACTGCTTGTACCCCTAATTCCACCCATTACCTGCAAATTGGTATGGGATCTTGTTTATATATTATGTAAACAATTGTGATCACTTCTCAAATGTGTTAACCGTGATAGGTCATAGGTCATTATGACAGGTAAAAGACATATCAGAGACAAATAAAGTTCAAGTCACAGTTAACGTCGCACATTTGTTGGCTGAACTGTTTTTAGTTCATTAATGCTTTCATAACTGGCTACTACAGTATGCTTTATGTATAGCTGTCATTTGGCAAGCATTCGAAAGCTACAACTGGTACAGAATATGGTAACCTACCGTATTCCTTTTATCATAGCATATACTTTGCTTTTTAAGAATTCAGAAACAACTTGCATCAGTATGCAGCAATCACAATAAGACAATATCAGAACATAAATTCATTGGGATGCTTCTTACAGGACAATTGATGCTGGTGCCTCTGATTAGAGGGGCACAGTGGTGTGGAAACGTAACATTTCTTAGACTGCATTACCTAATTGTTGGCTCTCTAATGTCAGTTGGCCCAAATTTGGGGGAGCGGGGGCGCTGAAGGTTCTTCACTTCTGCTTTAGGCATATATGTGATTTGTGTTCATATCAAGTATCTTTGTGCTAGAAATATCTCCTTAGGAGTAGTACGACCACCTACCTATTTTCATTCTTTCCCAAAAAAGTTTTTAATTATTTAACTGAAAGATATTTTAAGTTTTTATCTTGTTATGTGATTCTGTACATGTATTTAACACTCTTAATTTACTACAGCTGCTTTGAAACTTTTAAGAGTCAGATAAATAGCTGTAGGATTGACGACACAAAATAGAACTGTCAAGGCTAAGATAAAAAAGCAGGTTTTGATAGGCTCTTAGGTCACAGCAGGGGGAATAAATCTAAGAAAACCCTATAACGTTAAGATTACATCTAGTGCTTCAGGAAGCAAATTCAAAAGACAGCCTGTTTGCTACTTCAATTTTACCAAATGCAGAAACTCAAACTCTAATGAATCAGTAGACTATTAAGTTAAAAGTGTGTCTCGTCTTCTTGGGCCTATGTTGAAAAGCTCTTTTATTGAAAGCTTCACATTTCAATCTAAAATGCAAATTGGAAAGATGGTAGAAAGCTTTAAGCAAGTATAAGAATGAATCACAAATATTGGAAATTTTAACTAATCCCGTTCATTAATTATCAACATTTAAATGTAAAGCATGATAATGTTAAGCATTTGTGTATACCTTGAATTAAGCCAATACGTACTGAGAATGTAAAAGCTAGGTGGAGAAACCTTTTTTATCTAACAAAGGTTAAACTACAGGACAACTGATGGCAGATCTTCATTTCCTCATGTTATGTGTATTAAAATAGGGATCTAGATTACAGGGGCTTTAAAATTACAATGACCTGCTGTGACATTACCACATTGGCATCACTTGTATTCCAAGGCAGAGATTGGCATGCATTCCCAGATGAGATTATGAGGGTTGCTTCATGTAATACTTCCCCAACTTCTTTTTTCCATTCTATGTTCCTGTAATTCAAATAGAATATATACTTTCCCCAAAAGTTGTATCAGTACTGGAGAGAAAAAATAACATGAGCCAAACCTGAAAATTGAAATATTGCACCTTGTCTCAGCAGCTGTAGATTCTTTTGTTAGAGCTTGCTTCATACCTATTTGCTCCCCTGCTGCAAGTATTCCAGTTTTTAGACACACACACACACACCAGTGACAGATTTGGGTACTATGGCACCCTGTACAAGGCCACAGTACGCGCCCCCAGCCCTCACACTGCCTTCCCAAAGGTGAGTAAGGAGGCACCTGGCTTTGGGAAGGAGGTACGAGAATCCTGGCAGAGTCTTAGAACCCCTCCTGCTTCCTCCCCAAAGCTGGGAAAACGCTAACTGGGCTTTGGGAAGGGAGGATTCTAGGACCCTTTCAAAGTCTCACACCTCCTTCCCAAAGCCTAGCTTTGGAGTTTCTTATAAGTGTTGTGAATCCTATTTTAGTTGTCTTCAACAAAAAATGTGAAGGAGGCTTAATCTTGGAGTATTAGTTAATGAAGCTGGTGGGCACGATGCTCTGCAGTTTAACATGTGCATCCCAAATCAGTTGTCCACAGTTTTTAAAATATTTATTTAAAACATTTATATTCAATCTCCCCATCAAATTATCTACAGGATGCTTTAAATGTCATAAGCCGTACATTTAGCACATGTGGTGGTACCATTTCTAACTGCTTATCTGTAAACCACAAAATGTGAAAATTCATTCATGTTTAGTTTTAAAGCTTTTAAATTAGATGCATTCCAGAGGGAATAACCCCAGAGATGTTAGTTCACTGAATTGCTCTTGACTTTTTGTATTTTTGTTTTCCCAGACTCCTGAAGAACTGGATGATTCAGACTTTGAGACAGAAGACTTTGATGTTAGAAGCCGAACAAGCGTTCAGACTGAAGATGACCAACTTATTGCAGGCCAAAGTGCAAGAGTAAGGCAAACTGTTCCAAATCTCGCTGAACATATGCAGAATATTTGATCATACTTTAATCAAGAGGCTAGCATTCCTCTCTGCTTCTGCATTTTAGGGGGGGGAAATGTGTTTCAAGGGTTAGAAGTGTATTACCTTTTTATTGTCTACCCCATAACATTGTCTTAACGTCCCTCTTTCTCCAACCATCATCTTCCTTCTTTTCTGCTTTGGGGAAGGAAGTAGAATCAAAACGGAAAGAAAAGGTTGCCAATGGGGCAGTCCATATTGGATCAGAACATGACATATCCAAGTGCCCTGTTCAACTGTCCAGCTCCACCCCCTCATATCACTCCCTCTGCTATCCTCATCCTTAGTTGCTTCTCCCCTCTGATGCATGTACTTTCCTCCTGCCACACTAGTTAATCCCTAGCCTTAAGATAATTTTACCCAAAGATCATGAACTCTTCTGGCCCTATCCTTTCAGCTATCCCAGTGAGTTCATAAACCTATATTCAAACCCATGAGTCTTAGCTGTTTGTCAATCATTATGTAATCTGATAAATGGCATTTCTTTTCCTGTTTTACCTTTCCTTCTGCCCCACATTTTGTAATAGAACCACAGACCTAATAGACAAGATCGTCAGATAAGAACATCTAATCTGATAACTGCATTAGAATTCCCTTTAATAGCCAAGGATAAGTTTATTTCTTTGTTTATAGGGTATATTTACATCCTGCCTTTCCTGCAAGGTGGAATACTTGGTTCTCCCCCCCACACACACACACACTTTATCCTCATGGCAACCCTGTAGGTTAGCCAAGGCTGAGAAATGGTGACTTAATCAAGGCCACTCCAGCAAGATATTTGGCAGAGAGGGGATTTGAACCTATATCTCCCAAGTCCGAGTCCAACATTTAACCACTGCACTACAGTGACTCTTCACTAATTAGAATGTACCACTTAGGACTATTTTGTTCTGCTGCCAGCATATAAAGTGCTGCCACTTGAGACCATTATATTTGGTCTCAACTCTCTCCCTCGTCTTTATTACAGCATTTATTTTCTCCTTGTATTATGCCACCTCAACCTTTTTTCTTCAGATTTCACATTCCTTTACTTTTCCTAAGATTGCATGGCTTCCAAACTACCGTATTTTTCGCTCTATAAGATGCACCAGACCACAAGACGCACCTAGTTTTTGGAGGAGGAAACCAAGAATTTTTTTCCCCCTGAATCTCAGAAGCCAGAACAGCAAGAGGGATCGCTGCACAGTGAAAGCAGCAATCCCTCTTGCTGTTCTGGCTTCTGGGATAGCTGCACAGCCTGCATTCGCTCCATAAGACACACACACATTTCCCCTTACTTTTTAGGAGGGAAAAAGTGAGTCTTATAGAGCAAAAAATACGGTATTTATTCTGAACTCTTTCCAGTTCCTCTTCAGGTTTCTTTTAAATGATGGATACCAAAATTGAATGTAATACTTCAATAATTGGATTAGCTTCTGTGTTGCAACCAAATAGCCCTTCATATGTATATTTTATGCTAAACGTCAAACTTGGCAACTGTCATCCTTACAAAATTGTAGCAGACCAGAGGTAATTCTTGCCAAGCGCCATTGGTAATTTCTAAGTTTTCTGTGTGTACGTGCATGCAGTGTGTTTGCACAGAACACTACCAGAATAATTAAAGGAGATGCTTAAATTCAAGTGGCACTGCTCCAAGGAGGACATGCCAGCACACTACTTGAAACTGCAGGTGGGCTATTTGTTTGTGAATAAACATGCCTTTTCAAGCCAGGCACCCTGGGTTATCCTGTTGTTTCACACAGCCCAACAGTGCTCTAGCTCTGTTATAATTTGCTTTCACTTGGTGAAATAGCCCTACAATTTTGTCTGTAGACAGTGTGTGTTTAAACTTCCAAAATTCAATCCTAGATTAATTTGGAACATCATGATCTGGTAATTACGTAGGATGTGTTCTTGCTTCAAAGCTTTGCTTCTGAGCACTCTTGAACAATATTCAAGAGGTTGTTCTTGACAATAAACATAAATTTAATTTCTAGCTATCTACCTGAAGGTAGGTGAACTCTACAGCAGTGATTCTATAATGGTGTGAACCACCTTGCTGTAAAGGCTATTGTACTCTACAAAGAGAAAAGGAGGAAAAAAGAAAGAAGGCACCTTCAGGATGCTAGCAATTTCCTCTCAGCAGGACTTCAGAAATCAGCCTTTTATCAGTGACTTTCTTTCCCAATAGTCTGTACTACTAATGGTAGATAATTCATATAGGTGCAAGATATGGATCAAGATGGAAATAAATGTTCCTCTCATCCTTTCAGATATAATTTGATTCTGCCCCTATGAATTAGTTGGCTAGTGAAAATAACCTGAAAAGCCACCTTGCCAATGAATGGAAGTAATTATATGTGGAACCATTCTTCTTTCCAGGCTATCATGGCTCAACTCCCTCAGGAGCAAAAAGCAAAAATCGCTGAACAAGTTGCCAGCTTCCAGGAAGAAAAGAGTAAATTGGATGCTGAAGTGTCCAAATGGGATGATAGTGGTAATGATATCATTGTTCTGGCAAAACAGATGTGCATGATTATGATGGAAATGACAGATTTTACCAGGTAAGGATTCCTTATTGACATGCCATCTAAATAAGCATTTTGGGGGCAACTTTATTTCATATCCTTTGTCCAACAAGGCTCTGTTAGATTTACATTAGTTCCTAAATGCTATTGACTGACCCGACTAGTATTGTCTGTTTTCAATCTGGCTTTAGCCCTTGCTTTGGTACTGAAACTGCCTTTGTCAGCCTGCAGGGTGGTGATTAGTGTAGAGAGAGAGGGGACTGATTCTCCTGGATCTCCCAGCAGCTTTTGTTAACATCAACCATGGAATCCTCTCAAGATCCTGTCCAAGTTATATGTGCATAGTACTTTTCTGCTGTGGTTCTATTCGTGCCTAGGTTACCACTTCCAGGAGGTGGTGCTGGGGGATTTCTGCTCTGTTTCATGGCCCCTTGTCTCATAGGGTTCCATCTCATCCCCCATGCCGTTTAGCATCTACACAAAGCCACTGAATGAGATCATCCAGGGAGGGAGGGATAAAACGTAGATTATGGAAGTGCTTTATCAGTGCCTGGCAATGGTAATGGGATGAGAGCCAAAAGGCTGAAGCTCAATCCAGACCAGATTGAGGTTCTGCTAGTGCATGGTTCATCTGCCCAGATCAATTGTAGTTCACCCTGTCCTTGAGGATGTTGCACTCCCTCCTAATGGACCAGGTTCATCACTTGAGGGCACTCACCTGTCTTTGCATCTAGAGGTGTGTCATGAGACACTTTTTACCATCTTAGGCTAGAGCTCTCTATGGGGGGCAGAGAGAGACTGGCTTCAGTGATCCAAGTCTGGGTCATTTGTATTACTACAGTGGCTTGTATCCAGTGAAGTGCTGTTAGTGCAAGCATTTCACCTTGTGCACCAATACTTCCTTTTCCTGTGTGCCTGTGCAAATTTGTTTTGGGTTCCCCCCCCCAAAAAAAAACCACACACACACTTCAGAGCAGATAGCTGGGAGCATGGGTGGAGTTAGAAAGAGATGGTTCTCTTGCTTGGGCAGAAGTCCTTGCACTAACAATTTCATTTGGAAACAACCCAGTGTGATGTGTGTGGGCCTGCTTTTAAAAACGGTGAGAAGCTTTAGTTGGTACAGAATATAGGTACAATAATACACACTGGAACTGGGTATTCTGAATATAATATGCTTGTACCTTGCCATCTCCCCTGACTCATGTTCCTCATTTCGTGCCCAATTCAAAGAACTGGTTTTGACCTTTAAAATCCTTCTTGGCTTGAGACCTCAGTATCTGGAAGATTACCTCTTCCCTACACTTTGAAATCATTATCCATGGCCCTTCTCTAAATGTCCTCTACAACTGGGGAATGCCATGTGGTTTCGAGAGGGCCTTTCCGTTATTTGTCCTTTCAGTAGCAGTTGGATACCTTTTTATTGTCCCCGGCCTTTTAAACTATAATGTGGGTTTGATACTGCCTTAGCTGTGTGGATTTTTTCCCCTCTGTCCTCTTTGGAATTTTAGTGCTGCAAAGTCTCTACTCTGTTTTAATGTAGTCTTTCTGGTTTTCATTGGCTATGTTTCATTTTATTCTCTTTGATTCTGGCAAGCTATCCAGAGATCTTCTGCTGTAGGGTGCTGTATAAATTGTAGAAATAAATAATAAATGTCTGAATAACTAAAGCTCTCTCCAGCACATGCATTGCTGAACATAATTTCAACATTATTTTGGAAATCCCACATTTTGTGAAGATTAAAATGTAACTTCCTACATTGATTATCTGTGATGCATACATGGAGATTCCAGGAAACTGCATAGAAATTGTGTTCAATTTGTGATCTGTATTCTGAAAAACTGGGCCAAAATGATATTTATTTTAAAATAGAGGACAATAAATAAGGTTTCATAGTACTTAAATATTAAGCAGAGAAGGGTGTTTTGTTTTGTTTTGCATATTGCAATGATGTAATGATCTGACACTTGAAATTAGTTGACTTTTGGTTTATTTTTATTATAGGTTAATGACTGTTTTCCAAAGAGTATAGGAGTGTCCAAGAGTTTGGGCCTGCCTTGTTTGTTTTTGTTTGTTTGCAGAGATTTAGATAGGATTTTATATATACGCATAGATTCATATGATCCCACCAACCTGTAAAAGATCCTCTTTTTGTGAAAGTGGCGGGGTCTGTGTTCAAGAAATGCAAATGCAGTCTCCTCAGATACTCAGAACTACCTGCACAATTCTTTGGTTCCTTCCAATATGTAGTATGATACAGAACTATGTGAAGAACCTGGTTCACAAGTTTTACCTTTTTAGATCTGAAACATACTGTACATTAATAATATGAAGCAATCTTTTACAGTGTGCTTTAGTGCCACATTAGGGCAGCCTAGTTGTAGCCATTCTTGTACAGCTGGAGAGAATTGAGAAACAAAGATGTCCTTGATTTGTGTTCCTGATTCTAATGGACAAATGCTGTGCTCTCTTTTTTTTGCAGAGGGAAAGGGCCACTGAAAAATACATCTGATGTGATTAGTGCAGCAAAGAAAATTGCAGAAGCTGGGTCAAGAATGGACAAGTTAGGACGGACAATTGCTGATCATGTGAGTTGGAACTGATTTTTCACAAGCTTTTAGTTTAATTTAAACATTGGTTTTAGGTTCACGAGTACAAGAGTCCTGGAGCTAGCAGCTTGTTTTATGGTGTCTTCTGACTCAAATTATTGATTCTTTGTTCTCCTCCACTTCAGCTTTTTTATTTGTAGCTGGATCGCTAGTTTGCCCTGAGTTTTGGGGAAGCTTGGTGTTCACTTCAAAAATTGTCATTGAGCGTAGAGTTCTCCAAAGAAAGCTGTTACTTTCCACTGCTCGTTTTTTCCCCCCATACATTGCTCTGCAACTACTCAATCATTGTGGATGTTTGGACACCTTACACAAAAAAACAACAACACAACCTTGAAAGAACTGCCTCACTGTGTGTTCCCAGCATTAGTAAATGCAGGTTAAGTTGTAACCTTTCAACTTTGTTTTTGAATAATTACTCTCTGAACACTTGCGTTATACTTCCAGTTGTACAATTTCATATTTGAGACACACATTCATTGTGAAGTTCTGCAAATTGCTCTGGCTTGGCACGGTCTGACCTTATGGAAGATAAGGAGCCTGAAGGCAAGCAGTCACACAGCACTTAACCATATGTGCTTCTAGAATGCAGTGGAATTACTACATTGCCCTTGTCTTGCATGCCACCAGCAGAGATATCAGTATTTTGGAACTTGCATCTATCTCAAACTGTAGAACTGAAAGCAATAATAGCTTTTCCCATTTGCAGTTACAAAGTACTTTTTCTCACCATTTAGATGAATTTTCACGCATTGTGAGAACTTCATTCATTCAGTATTGCATCCCATTGTTAACTTAATTCATTCTGCCTTTTTTTTTAATTCACTTCGCAGTGTATATATTTTGGAATTCTCAAAAGTGAAGACATATATTTTGCAGCCAGATTAGTTAAAGCAGGAAAATCTGACCTTCTGTGCAAACTAGCACAATTTAAAGCATTTTAATGCCTTACAGGTGCAAGTTCAGGATGTTGCCATTATAGATTGAAAGGCAATGAATAGCTCGTGCAATTGCTCTCAACAAGCAATTATTCAAAGTATCTACTTTTGCAAACAAAGTGAACAATATACGTGATAATAATGAAACATTTAATTCTCAGCCATTCACTTTCGATTTTCCACTATGCAGTGTAGAAAGCCTAAATGTGCATTCACTAAATAGATACACTATTTATTTAAAATTAGAAGCAAATATCTTTTGTTACATATTAGGCTATGGGATCCATGGGTGATATTTATACTGTGTGGGGAAATTCTTAGTGCTTGGTGTAATGGGCTGAGGCTGGAAACCTGAGTTCAATTCCTGCTCAGCCATGAAGCTCACAGGATAAATTCTTCGCAGACTTGTGATAAAATGAGAGGAACTATAAACTGCTTCGAAGTTTTTCTACCATTAAACCATGTATGCTGCCACCTTAAGTTTTTTGTTTTAAAACAAAAGCATAATACATTTCAAAAGAGAGAAGCCTCAATTAGGGCATACTGTGAAATCCATATACCTGTATTATTACTGTTTATAGATCAATCAGCGTATATAGACAGGCATTTTGCCAAACCTTTTTTACAAGGTGATGACTGACCTGGTGGCCGTTGATATTATCAGTCTTTGTGCAAGAGGTATTCTACAACATAAGCTTTTTGCCTAACTTAGATATTTAGGGTAGCCTGTATGTTCATTGGGGGACTGGAAACACTATTGATATGTGGTACACTGATCAGTTCTAATGTCTCAGAACTAAATACCAATTTTATTTCTGTCCTCAGTGCCCAGATTCTGCTTGCAAACAGGATTTGCTAGCCTATCTGCAACGTATTGCTTTATACTGCCACCAGCTAAACATCTGCAGCAAAGTGAAGGCAGAAGTTCAAAACCTGGGAGGAGAACTCGTTGTGTCTGGGGTATGTAAATTTCTGAACACTTCGGTTTTGGCTTCCGTCTACACCAACAGTTGTACAAACTTCATTTATGTTAATTTTTTAGGATTCTGAACAAACTTTGTGTGTCTTCATTTTGTTTCTGATCTCTGAATATATAAATCTCCTTTTGGAAAGATTCCTGGAGCATCTTGGTTTTGCTCAAAAACTCATTACAATTGTTTCTGATGATCCTTACATACTTAGATATTTCTGGTAAGTCAGAGGCCATGCTAGATACGCAAAGTATTGTGCAATTTTTCACAGTTGTGCTATACTTTTCATTCAGAGAGTAAATTTACTTTCATTCCTGTAAGATACAGGCTACATCTAAACTTTGTTCTGCAGCTATCCAGAGCTGAGACCATTCCACAGCTGCATTCTGAATAATGGTTTATTTTCTGAAAGCATCTTAGAATCTAGATCAAATCCTTTTACTTCTTTCCAAACTACCAATTCCAAGTCATTCTTTCCTGCCATCATGTATGCTTGTTTCTCATCACTTTTTACATCAAACTGCTTGTCTTTAAAACTCTCCACAAACCTGTCCCATTCTATTGTTTCTGCTTGTGCCTTGTGCTCCTCCCAGTCTACCAGTCAGCCGCTTGGGACTTCTGCTTTCAGGCTCCCCCACTTATTTCTTTTTCTGGCCCTGGAACTTCCTAGCAGAATAACCAAGCAATGCTCTCTTTCCCTTGGAAACCTGTAGTTTTAACCCTTTGGCCCCCAGCTTAGCTGTGCGCACATCATTTTCATCCCATCTTACCTTCCCCTTTTATCTCATTGCCACCATTGGAAACTTCTTCAGGCAGTAGTGAGAGTCTTTTTCTCCTCACCTCCCCGTAGGTCTATATTACGCGAGGGGTCAGCAAATTTTTTCAGCCGTGGGCCAGTCCACCGTCTCTCAGACCATGTGGTGGGCCAGACTATATTTTGAAGGAGGAAAATGAACGAATTCCTGTGCCCCACAAATAACCCAGAGATGCATTTTAAGTAAAAGGACACATTCTACTGATGTAAAAACATGCTGATTCCTGGACCGTCCATGGGCCGGATTGAGAAGGCGATTGGGCTGCATCTGGCCCCTGGGCCTTAGGTTGCCTACCCCTGTATTATGCTGTAAAGCACATTGTATATTGATGGTGCTAAATCACTATCAGCATTTTCTCACACTTTTGCTATACGCACTGTAGTCTCTTCCACTTCCCCTTCACTCTGAAAAACTGGAGCAGTTTTGTAGCACTAAAAAAAATTTCATTGGGCGAGTGCGTTTGTGTACCCAAATGTAAGACTGCATGCTCCCCTACAGCAGTGCAGTTCCCCTGTCCAGTACTATGCTGACATCTTCAAGGGTTTACATTTAAGGAGTAAGTTTTTCCAGCACAAGAATGCTATCCCACTGTATCAAGGTTCCCCATTTATCCATAAAAGTTTTATGCATTAAACAGTGATTGTGATAGAGACACCTTAGTGGTGGTCAGAACATGGTTCTTATTGCTCCACAAAACTACTACATCCTCAACTTTTTTTTTCTGATCATCAAAAGGCTTGTTCTTAGCTACACCTTGTGTTTAGACAATTACTTTCGCAGAAGGGAATTCACACTATAAGATACGGGAGAAATGAAAGGTTCAGATCCTAAATCTTGCAAGTGGCTGCTTGAAGAAGAAGAAAACAAGCGAATTCCGCCTTTGAGAATAATGGCAAACTAAAGCAGAAACATATAGTAGTGTTGGCAGCAGCACCTTCACGTAGAGTACATTTGGTGTAGCAATAGGCTCCTAGCAGATCTGTCACAACCAGGGGGATAGTGGATGAGCACTGCAGAAAACACAACATGCATTGCTGTGGTATTCTGCATGTGAGGGCACTCTTTGGCAAGGCTCCCGGGATGGGAGAAAGACATAGCTGTTACCCCGACAGCCCGCTAACATGTTCCCTGGGGTTTTACTGAGACTATAAAATGCCTGTGTGGCTTACATGGTCTTCTGCCATAAATAATTGTCTGTCTCCAAGCTAGACTCGGTAGAATGTAGTTTAATACACACTGAAAAAGAAAAGTGCATACACCGTGTAGGTATCCCTTTCCCCATCAGCCAGTTGAACAATGACCTAGTTTGTTACAGCACTTGCCTTCCCATTAAGTGTTTGTTTGTGATGTATAAATACAACATTTTGGAATCTGGGAAATAAAAAAATAAAAGTTAAAATCGGCAAAAGGAGTAAGGAATCCCATATCACTTGTTTATGCCGTTCTTTTTTTAAAAAATAATAATTTTTATTGTTTATATTGTTTATGCAGTTCTTGGTCAGAAGGATTTTGTTAAATGCAGGGCATACAGGAATGGTTATTCTCCACTGATATGCAGAATCTGAGAAATGGCTGCAATGGATCCTAACCCAGATTCTCTTTGTAAATGTCGACATTATCTGTGCTGCTGTAGAAATCATAAAAATGAAAAGGCAGTCTTGATCTGTTGATTAAGAGGCCTAAATCAGTTAAAGGTCCCTCAAAATATGCCAAGCAGTTAATCTTTTTGAAGCTTCCCTCATGGAGTCTTTAAATTCTGAATTCAAACAATCTGTGCTACCCTACCTGTTGCCACCTTCTGTCAATCTGCATGTCCTTTTTGACAGTGCAGTGATGTGATCCTTCACCGATGTTAATATGATACATTTCAATGCAAGCAGATAGTGGTCACTATGCAGCGCTGCACAGTGGACACATCAGCTATTGACACAAAGTGATGGGACACAACAGAATGCTGGCAGAAATTGTGCAGTGCAATTGTGTGCTTACGATTCCATATTTTATCAGTTTGTTAAAATATGTTGACTTAGTAGAGTAGATATCACAATCCAAATTGACACATGCAAGAGCTGGCTTATCCTTCATTGGTGTGGTTTCATATTTCAAAAATTCTCCACAGGTTGTTTTTTCCCCCTTCACCTTGGCTTAGTTAAATTTTCCTTACTGTCCATCTCATTCTGTATGTTCCTCATGAATAGCAGTAGGCCATGGAGCCCTCCATTTGAAAGCCCTGTCTCAAAATACATAGACAGCTGCTAGCAGCAGCAGAATAACCTTCACAGTCTAGACCAGTGGTTTTCAACCAGTGGGCCGTGGCACCCTAGGGTGCCTTGAATGATGGTCAGGGGTGCCGCGGGCAACACTGGCCTCTGTCCCTCTTTCCTTCCCTCCCTTCTCTGATACTCTCTTATGTCTCTGCCCTCCAACGGCTTGCACAGCTGTTGGTTGCAGCAGCCCTGGCTACAAGCTCACTAGGAGAATGGTGCCTCTGGGGCTGGTCAGGGGTTGCTGGTTGCCAGGAGCTGAGGCAGCCTCAAGAGTAAGCAGGCCAGGGAGTCCAGCCAGCCAGTCCACCAGCCCTTGCTGTTGGGAATGAACAGGCAAGTACTAGTGTGAGGAAGCAGCTCTCTTTGGAACAGGGGGCAGCAGCAGCGAGACCAGGGGCGGCAGCAGCGGCTGCCAGGAGGACTCCCAAGGAGAGGGGAGAGGAGGCAGAGGAAACACTGCACAAGGGAGGGTGTTTGAAAAAGAGTGGGAGGCTTCCAGCTCTGCAGGCAAGGGATGACATAACTGGACTCCTGAGCCCCACAGGGATGCCGCAGAAAGAATGGTCAAGGGAGCCATGGAATCAAAAGTTGAAAACCTCTAGTCTAGACCATATAGTATAAGCAGAGACAGAACAGAGAAGAAGCTCTGTGGAACAATAGCTCCAGGTTCACTGATATGTCAACAAATCAATTTTCAGAGAGGTGGAGTGGAACGAGATCTTGCCCTCCTCTGTTGCTGCTTAAAAAATTGATTTATAGCCGATGGGCTCAGAGCAGGTAGCAGTTACCACATGAGACAAGTTTTCAGCATGAGCATCATTTATACTGAGCCAGCCACACCCTCCTGCTCTTCTAGTTTACAGAAGCTTACGTCCTGATAAATGTTATTTTTTTGAAATGCCAATGACGGTTTTTGCTGCAACAGGCCAAAACACTGCCATACCTTTGGAAATCCCTTCCTAACTGCTTTTTCTCTCAAGTAATTGCTAAACTGAGGGCTTATTTAAATAAGCTTATTTAACTAAATTTTCTCCAATCACCATTTGACTATTAAGTACTGTACTTTTGCCCAACGGTCCTGTTAAAAGAAACACTCCATGGTTTTTTTAGTGAAGTGCTGAAGACTCCTTGGATAGTCCAAGATTACCGGTATGTCTGCAGCGCTAAGGCATGTATGTGTTGATAATTTTTTAAAAAATATATGTGCTCCTCTTCCTTTGTTTACCTGCATATGAAAACACAAGGTTTTCACCCAGAAGCTTGGCGTGTAAGGAAGAATTCCTTAAACCTACGCAGGCAAAAGCAGAATACTGAAGTTATTTCAGTTTAGCATGAAGACTTTTAATACTTCATGCCATGCCAGCAATCAGGGCGAGCTTTAATCTTACAAGAGTGCTTATGTTTTGAAAGTGATGAGGGTCTGTGTTTCATGATTGTGTATCCAGCCGTCAGATGACTGGGGAATCTTGACTGGCTGTATGCAGTGATTGAGTTCATATTATTCAAGAGCTATGGACATGCGTTCCTTGGATAGCAGCCCTTGTCTCCGCCTCCCCCCGCCCAATGCCAGATAGAAAACCTCTTTTGAAAATTAAGGGGACTTCCAAAAGTAGTCTGATTGGATGCAGGGTTCCGATTCTGACATTTTTGCTTTGAGTGCAGCTAAAGAAGCCCTTTGAATCCTGCTCACTGCTTTCCTTCTTTAAAGGTAAAGGGACCCCTGACCATTAGGTCCAGTCGTGGCCGACTCTGGGGTTGCAGCGCTCATCTCGCTTTATTGGCCGAGGGAGCCGGCGTACAGCTTCCGGGTCATGTGGCCAGCATGACTAAGCCACTTCTGGCGAACCAGAGCAGCGCACGGAAACACTGTTTACCTTCCCACCAGGGCGGTACCTATTTATCTAATTGCACTTTGACGTGCTTTCCAACTGCTAGGTTGGCAGGAGCAGGGACCGCGCAACGGGAGCTCACCCCGTCGCAGGGATTCGAACTGCCGACCTTCTGATCGGCAAGCCCTAGGCTCTGTGGTTTAACCCACAGCACCACCCGCACCCCCGCTTTCCTTCTTTATTCTCCTCCAATTCTTCTAAAGCAAGCACCATGCTCAGTTTCAACAGGAAACCTCTATGGTAAAGGAATCTAACGTATGTAAAGAGACAATTTAAATGGTTATTCGAAGCATCTTCCGTTCTGCCTTTCCTAAAATGCTGCACAATGAGCACTATCTGAAACTAAAGGGACTTTCTTGCTGACCTGCTTTTAGGTGGACAGTGCCATGTCGCTGATTCAAGCTGCCAAGAACCTGATGAATGCTGTGGTGCAAACAGTGAAGGCCTCCTACGTGGCGTCCACAAAATACCAGAAGTCTCAAGGGATGGCTTCTCTGAACCTGCCAGCCGTGTCCTGGAAAATGAAAGCCCCAGAGAAGAAACCACTCGTCAAGCGAGAGAAACAGGACGAAACGCAGACCAAAATCAAGCGCGCCTCCCAGAAAAAGCACGTCAACCCAGTGCAAGCGCTCAGTGAATTCAAGGCAATGGAGAGCATTTAAACAGAGGGAGTAGTATTTCTGGATTGCATTCCTACTATCAGATTTCCCCTCCCCACAAATATTCTATGGATTATGTTAGAATTCATTTACACAATATTTTTTGATAAAATCACTTAGACTAAAAGGAGGTAAGCAAGATATATGAAGCATGAAAATACATCTTTAAATCTGAGAACATGGTTAATTTTAGTACGAAAATGCTGTTTAGAATTCTGTGGCATTTCCACCCCTAGCTTTTTAAAATAATAAATCCTGCTTTTAAATCTATTCTGTAACCAAAGTTGAATTTACTGTAACATTAATCCTTCACATAGCTGGATCATGTAATTCCTTTAGAAGAAATGTGAGCCTTCTCAACTTGGAAGTAGAATGGAACCTGTACTTTTATCAAAATTATATTATGCTTTGGGTGGATAGAGAGTATAAGTTTGGTATGTTGAAATAATTGATAAAATGGAAAACGCTAGTTGCTGCTTAAAACACTAAGACAACCGTAGAAAATGATTTTGAAAAAGTAATATACTATAGCATTCTTTTCTAATTTAAGCAGGTTTTGACTCCTTTATATGAAACGGAACACTTTGATTCATTTGTTCTGAATTGCTGGGTTGAAGGTTACCTTTCAGCGTGTGCATCTTGTGAAGACTTCCATCGGAGCCCATAGGGGAGCGAAAGTTATTTAGTGTGTAATGCGAAGTGCATCACGAGGAAAACTTTTAATACTTTTTCTTAAGATGGTGAAAACCTTAAGCCTTACTTACACATAACTGATGTACTTTGCTGGAGGGGACTCTAATAAGTGGCTTGTTCCAGCCACTGTTGTAAATGTTGCATGTTTCCCTAGGCATTCAAATGCAAATCTATCATTGTGTTCTTCTCATAATTGCTATGCATCCTGCCCTGGGCTTTTTAAAAACCTAGCAAATAGCATTGCATTCAGACTGCGATTCAGGCATTGTTTGTCATACTGGGAGCCTCATGGTATAATTTTGCTCTTTAAAATTTTTATGGATTTCTGTTTTTATACCTTTTCCAATAAAGTCCAGTATAAAAACCAGTTGTAAGGGTCAGAGCTTTCTTTGCAGTTCATAAAACACTCCTAATTCCGTAATGAAGTGGCTGGGCTATGCAACTAATTAGTGGCAATTTAAAGGGCTAGTCATTGGTGACTAACACATGAATCACTTGTTCACTTTAGTTAAAATGTACATAATGGAGGGTCTGCTATAGTTTCATTGCACCATGGGCAAAATTACTATGCTCTTATTGTGACTCATACCGTGTGCTGGGGGGGGGGAGGTACTCAAGAGTTAAATCAGCTGAATTCTTGGCATGTTATTGAAGCACTTGTTCCAAAGATTATCTGCTCGTGCTTTAGTTTGACTCTTTGCAACTACTCAGTTCACACACCCCAGTTTAACCATAGTTGAGGGTTTACCATGAATGCACAGGTGGCTCTCACTTTACTCCAACCCTAGTGCTAGCGGGAGCAGCAACTGCAACTCTGGCTTCATGGTAAATGCCTTAACTTATGGCTTACTCTGAGATGCAGATGCCGCTAATAAGTCCTTAAACCAAACATACACAATTAAGATACATAGTAAATAAGAGAAACTTTATTACCAAATGTGTCCCAGTAGTTGTATTGCCCCCATAGTTAGATAGGAAGATATTGAGATAGCAAGAAGTTGCAAAGCCACAGTGTTTATTAGAGGATTCTGATGCAAAACCAATGAATCAAAATTGCATGCTCTATTATACACGTGAAAAGAACCGGCTGGGTGTCCGAGAGAGCCTTCTAGTCACCCAGAGAGGTTAAAGTGAAGGCAAGATATATTTTAGTGTGTCATCCCCTCCAGGCTGATAGGGCACCAGAATCTTCTTAGAGGCTGGTAATTAACTTTCCCAATGATTGGGGAAGGTCACTGTATGATGAGACATTCGGATTGAATGGAGCCCATTAAAGTTACAAGTTTGAAATAGGACTCTGTTTACCACTTATTCCAGTTTAATGTAAAATGTGGTTTTGAAATGAAGCATTATTGTTTGTACAGAGGTACATCTATAAGGGGAAGTATCTCAGGTCAGCAATAACCACAACAAACAAAGAGCAGGGTTGAAATAATCCAGAAACAGTGGGATAGAAACAGTATATACCACCAATAATACTGCAGCAAAAATACTGCACTTGTATACTGTCCGGAAAGACAGAGGAAATAATAACTTAAGTAAACTCCTAGCAGATAAACCTTTTCGTATGGATTGTGTTGTTTAAAATTCCTACATTACATCCATAACACTGCTTTTTAATACTATCTCCAAGAGATGTCTTGCCCTGCTTTTATTTTTGGTCATATTTTCTTGGAGGTGAATTCATTTCATATTTCCTCTCCTGGAAGTGTTGCCTACCTGACCCTCCTAGAGGTAACTTTCCTAGCCTTCATGTGCTCTCTGTAACCTTCCTGTGAATTTATTCCTCATTTATCACAACTGCCACATGATCTGTCTAGCTCACAAAGCTTGACTGTGCTATAAGCAAAGCACACCTTTTCTCCTTATTCTCTGGTTTGGAATATAAAATTATGTTGTGTGCATAAGCAGTCTGTGGGTTTTCAGCTGACCTTCATAATTTGACATTTTTCTAGACACTAACTACAGCTAAGCTGTGTTGAACAAAATACCCCAAAGGCTAACAATGAAGGTCAGAGCTTACCAAAACTTGGCCAAACAAGTTCTGGTATTGCACAGCTTCCTTGCTCCCAAGTTCAGGAGCTTTGAAACAGTGTCTTGTGTCAATAACTTGGACTGCAGTGGACCAAGTAGGTGAGTTTGTAAAATCTTTACTTAACAAAACCAGCTTTTAACGAGAAAGGTACCCCAAGCCCCATGGAGCTTGTTAGGAAACCTTAAGACTAGCTTGTTAGGAAACCTTAAGACCATGGGACAAAAGATGCTAGAGGGTACCAAATAAACCAGATATATACTGTATTTTTCCATAAGACACACTTTTTTCCTCCTAAAAAGTAAGGGGAAATGTCTGTGCATCTTATGGAGCGAATGTGTGGTCCCTGGAACTGTATTGCCCAGGGGCGAAAAGCAGATCGTACTTTTTTTTTTAAGAAAGTGGGAAGGGGGTGTGGAAACGAAGCCGCTGAGCAGCTGATCGGCAAGCGATTGGGAGGGAGATAAGGCTGCGGGTAAAGGAGGCTGCCAGGGGAGGGGGAGAGGTAAAGACAGCGAACTTGTAAGGAGAGGAGACAGGAATACTAAAACAAGCAATGAGGTGAGAAATAAGAAGAAAAGGAGGAGCAAAAAACTGTTCCAGCTAAGGAAAAGACGCTAAGCCAAACAAGAGGGAAGGGGGTGTTGAAACAAAGCCGCTGAGCAGCTGATCGGCAAGCGATCAGGAGGGAGTTAAGGGACGCTAGCGATAAAGGAGGCTGGCTGGGAGGGGGGAGGTAAAAGCATATGGATCCTCAGGATTTTTGCATTGGGTCACCCCAAATTCACCATCAAATCACATGTCTGTGGCCATAGCATGAACCACAAAAATCATACATCCACTGTTTCGTTCAGAATATTTTTTTGTTTTCCTCCTCTAAAAACGGTGCGTCTTATGGAGCCAAAAATACGGTAGTATTCAGATCTGTATTCAGATCAGTATTCAGAACTGCCTATCTTCAGTTTCTCCTTCTGCAGCTTCAGCCTCCTTAGATTTTCTGTAATCTGCCTCTCATCCAGGACGGGATACAATTTATAGTCTACACCCAGTAATCTCTACAGGAAAACTTTCTGAAGCCATGAATACCACTTCTCAAAGAAAAAGATTTCTCTCCAGAGTTTGATAAGCATTCACCTTTAACTTCTATACCTGTTCAATGCATATATGAAGATAGATGACAAGTTTTGGTGGTGCCAAAAGCATGGAGCCATCCAAATCAGTTCTGATTCCACTCCAGCTGCCCTTGACAGATGAGACAGCAAAGCCCTTTGCATGAGCAGTGGGATTGAAAAGAGTGAGAATTTATATCTTGTTTTTCCCATGCAGCACAAATCCTGCCGTTTCAGTGCTTAATGACAAGGATAGGGGCGCTTGTCCCTGATAGAGGTCAGTTGTTATATTTTATGGGGAGGGTTGTGTTCCTTAAGACCAACCATTCAAAGAAGTTACATAAAAACCTAAGAATTGTAAGTGAGAAGCAGAAAACTTAGTACTTGGTTGGTTGGTTGGTTGGTTGGTTGGTTGGTTGGTTGGTTGGATCATTACATTATCAAAATGTCCTTGAAGCATCCACATCTAATAAATAGATAAAAAGTAAATAAAACAACACACCATCAAATACATCATCCTGGGGCAAGCGACTTGTTCTGTCCACAATATGCAACATTTGCTGTTATTAAGTATGTATGCCCATTGCTGCAACTTGTCTTCAACTACTTTGAAATTTGCACGTGCCAAATCAGGATTTGGGTCTTAAAATGAACCCAATTCACCATATTTCAATTAATCTCAAATGTTGCCAAATTTATGCTTATGGGGGCTGATCTAGCGTGATCCTCTGCTACTTTCTGCAAAGCCATTTTATCCTCCCTCTTGAAACGCATGTCTAAACCACTCCATTCTTCAAGCCAGCCGGAGAGTGTGAGTTAGCTGTGGATGATGTGCCTTGGGGGGCTTCAGAGTCAACGATGTAGTAAAAATCGGGAGGCAACAAGAGGGGAGGAAAGCGCAGCCACCGTTTTGCAAAGGCGGGCAAGGCAGCTAGAACTACCCAGGCTTGCAAGGGGGAAAGGGAAAGGGGGACAAAGAGCGCAGCACGTTTCACAGCCACAGGACCCTGGATGAAATGCAGTTATGCAGCTGCATAAATGGCCATGCAATTTCCCTCTTGGCAATACAGTACATCAGTGTTCAGAATGTTCTTTTTATTTCTAAGTGTTCCACGTGAAGAGAAGTGAGCACTAGGAAAAGAACATAGGAACAAGAATGTAATGTTAGAGATTAGGAAGATTAGCACCTACCCAATACTTCAGTTCTCTGCTTTCCCCACCCTAGTCCACTCCACACACAAAAAAATCATTGGGGTGCTCCATTCCTTTCCTTTTCCACAAAAAGTTAGTAGCAGCACACGTGGTTCTAGATTTGCTTTCTTCCCTAGGGCTTGTGGCAAACTGAGCCATGAAATCATGGGTGTCTGCATTTACCTACATCTGGGTGTGGGATCCTAGGATCTAGACCAATGAACAGATTCTTTGTATGCATCAACCATCCAGATCAGGGTCACCTTTTTTCCACTTTCCCCGATAGGGACGCGGGTGGCGCTGTGGTCTAAACCACTGAGCCTCTTGGGCTTGCCAATCAGAAGGTTGGTGGTTCGAATCCCCGCTATGGGGTGACCTCCCATTGCTTTGTCCCAGCTCCTGCCAACCTAGCAGTTCAAAAGCACACCAGTGCAAGTAGATAAATTGGTACCGCCGCGACAGGAAGGTAAACAGCATTTCCGTGCACTCTGGCTTCCATCACTGTGTTCCATTGCACCAATACAGTGGTTGTTGTAACCCTCTGTCATCCCCTTCTCCTTGTGCCCTCCATCTTTCCAAACATCAGGGTCTTTTCCAGGGAGTCTTCTCTTCTCATGAGGTGGCCAAAGTATTGGAGCCTCAGCTTCAGGATCTGTCCTTCCAGTGAGCACTCAGGGCTGATTTCCTTCAGAATGGAGAGGTTTGATCTTCTTACAGTCCATGGGACTCTCAAGAGTCTCCTCCAGCACCAGAATTCAAAAGCATCAATTCTTTGGCGATCAGCCTTCTTTATAGTCCAGCTCTCACTTCCATACATCATTCCTGGGAAAACCATAGCTTTAACTATACGGACCTTTGTTGGCAAGGTGATGTCTCTGCTTTTTAAGACGCTGTCTAGGTTTGTCATTGCTTTTCTCTCAAGAAGCAGGCGTCTTTTAATTTCGTGGCTGCTGTCACCATCTGCAGTGATCATGGAGCCCAAGAAAGTAAAATCTCTCACTGCCTCCATTTCTTCCCCTGCTATTTGCCAGGAAGTGATGGGCCCAGTGGCCATGATCTTAGTTTTTTTGATGTTGAGCTTCAGACCATATTTTGCGCTCTCCTCTTTCATCCTCATCCTTTTACATTGCCCAGGTTTAATTCTGATAAGAGGAATTAGCTTCTTTGTAGACATCTTTCCAACTTCATTTATGGCTGAGGTGTCGCCTAACTCTTAACTCGGAGCCTGCTGTTGTGTGTATACCACTTCCAGATTATAAACAGAAAGAGCCAAAAATATTACTTTATTCTTTTTTTAAAAACTGTGATAAAGATGTGTTAACCGGTTTGGGATGCCTAGCCAATTGCCACCAACCCTGTGTGTCTCTGCGTCACCTGCTGGCTTGCCCTGCCCCTGCCCCTGAAATTTCTTCAGCAACAGCTCTTTTCCTGCTCTATAAACTTCACCTATTTTCTACTGTAAGTATTCAAGCAGATTCTTTTCCTAGAAGATTCAAGATGGGGGGCGAGCAACTGCTGACACCTGGAACTCAGCTATACAGCTGCAAATATAAGGTTTTAAGTGCATTATACAACTTTGACACTAGATGGCGATGGTGAGCTTATGGCAAATTCAATATATTTTCCAAAACGTTTTTTTAAAAAGCATTTTCATAGCGTTTTTTTTTTTATGTGTCTAGATTTCACCCTGGAATCAGGTGAGCATTCAGGAATGATATCGGCCAAGGCACTAGATTTGGCAACAGCTGGGCTGCAGGGGTTGCAAGAAGGAGGGATACAAGGTGCCATCAAACCATCTTAGAAACTCTACCAGGGATTTGTGTTGGGTTTACTCCTTAGCTGGTGAATGAACAGCTGGACTGAGTTCTGCAGGGCTTCACAGGTTGCATGGATAGATCAAGGGCCACGTGTGGCCCCTGGGCTGCCCACATGCAATGTCAAACCTGAAGCAGACCGGCCGTTTTACCACAGTGTTTACCTGGAAATGAGTTGCACTGACTGATGTGAGACTTACGCTCTGGCATTTATCTTTAGGATTGCGACTATCAAAGATACAAGCAAGCAGCCAACAGGTCATGCCACACTAATTTCACGCCCATTAGTATTTTACTGGAACGCTGAAATCCCATTCATGAAATACAGCTCTTCGTGGGATCATAAAAATTCATATTCCAAGTAAGAGTAAGTAAATCAGCTCACTGACAAGCCATACTAGGACAAGAGGACAGCACAACGGAGACCATTATGTTAAATCCATTTAGCAGCTGCGAGGGTAGCGCCATCAGGCAAAGGGTTATGGGAATGGGGGGGGAGAGAGATGCATAAACCAAAGTTAGAAGGGAATATACAACAGATGAGCTTAGAGAGAGGAAGGCAGCCTTAATTCATCTAGGGGTAGCTGACAAGAACAGATGGGGGTCTGACGGGAACTCTACATTCCGCAAGAGGGATGTGCTTTTTCCTCTTAAAAACGTATCAATTCTAGCTAGCTGACAATTCGGGGAAATATGGCAAGAGGGGCGGTTTCAGTGTGGGCAGACTTGGCTCTGAACTGCAAGGCACTCTGAAGAAATGAAAGAACATTCGAAGAGCAGTAAATAGGGTACTCCACTTCCAGAGCTCTGCTCCATGCTTGTCAATCATTTCCAAGTTCTTTTATTTTCTCCAGCCTCTGAACAATTGAATGACCCACAGTTCCTAAATTCACTTGAGGGAAGTGCGGTCAGATCCCAGGAATTCAGGAACAGCTAACTTATAGAATACAGTTACTATTTGGGCCAAAACACCAACTTTTTTCCGGCTGTCTGTAACTTATTTTTTCTTTGCTGACTCTGCTGTTGCTGTTTTTGTTCCGTTTTAGTATCTGGATTGAATGTGACGTTTTAACAACATTACTGTTGTGTTTGTGCTTTATATATGACATTTGCCTTACGAGCTGCTTTGGGATGGATATCATCTTTGTTCCTTCATTCTATCTACTTTAGTACATAGTTATTTGGATTCTACAAGGAGCCTCTGATGTAGAGAACAGAAAAGGCTGTCTTATACAAAGTCATACCATCAGTCCAACTAATTTACGGTAGTTTGCTCTAGCCAACCAAGTGTTGGCTCTCCAGGCTTTCAGAAATTAGCCTTTGCCAGACTGCAAGAAGATCAAACCTATCCATTCTTAAGGAAATCAGCCCTGAGTTTGACCATACTGCGGGAGGCAGTGGAAGACAGGAGTGCCGGGCGTGCTCTGGTCCATGGAGTCACGAAGAGTTGGACACGACTAAACGACTAAACAACAACAACAGGATTGCAGAATGCAAGAAACTCACAAGATAGTGCCTTGGAAGCAATTCCTCGATAGGAAGCTAGATGAGCTTGGGGAAAGTTTACATCTCAGTGGAAATCTACTTCCAGTCTTATAATCCCATCCGTGGGCAAATGGCTGAAGGGAAACAAATGGCAATGGGAGGGTTGTCCCATCCCATCCCATGCTTTACTCTAATCCCCCCCCCCCCATCCTCCTTCTCTCGAGGGAATTGGCATCATGCAACCCAGTTCCAATGCACAGGTCTCCTGCCGTCACATCTAATTTGCCCCTTTTTCAGACTGAAGTAAAGTTGGGATCAGGCCCCAGGCTTTGGACAGGTGTGTTTTCGCCCCCCCTGTTGGTGGAGACCCCTCAGAAAACCTTAAAGCCACATTGCAACATTAAATTACTGCAGACAGCTTGTGCAGTGAGTTAGAAGTGTAAGGGGGTCAGGGCTGAAAACAGGCAGATTCCCAGCAGCGAGACAGAGTGACTGAACTGAGGAATGCTATCCCCAGAGGGTGCCCCGGGGACCATGAATGCAGGTTGCGGGGTTCTTGGAATAAAGGAGGAGATGGTGCCAGCTCCATGGTTTAACTACCTCCTTGCTAGTGCTGGGAAAAGCAGTAAGAGCAGAAGCCGTATTTGAAGCAGTCTGTATGAATGAGCCCAGAGCCGCATGCAATTCCTCTTGCCAAAAAAGCACATACCCCACAAAGCCATGTTTTAGCACCAGCCTATTTGGGAGATAGGGACACGGGAGGCGCTGTGGGTTAAACCTAGGGCTTGCCGATCAGAAGGTCAGCGGTTCGAATCCCCGCAACGGGGTGAGCTCCCGTTGCGCGGTCCCTGCTCCTGCCAACCTAGCAGTTTGAAAGCACTTCAAAGTGCAAGTAGATCAATAGGTACCGCCCCGGCGGGAAGGTAAACAACATTTCTGTGTGCTGCTCTGGTTCGCCAGAAGCGGCTTAGTCATGCTGGCCACATGACCTGGAAGCTGTACACCGGCTCCCTCGGCCAATAAAGCAAGATGAGCGCCGCAACCCCAGAGTCGGCCACGACTGGACCTAATGGTCAGGGGTCCCTTTACCTTTACCTATTTGGGAAATGGGTACATCAGCAACAGCTTCTTTGGAAAAGTGACCCTGATGCTTAATCAACCTGTCAAGGAACTGCCATCGGCTCTGGGGCGAGAGGGGAAAAGCCGGGTGGATTACAGAGAGCCCCCAAAAATCGTGGGAAGCAGACCTCCTCAGCGGAGGAGAGTAACCACGCCTTCAGTGGAGAGGAGCTGCAGGGCTCGGGGGAGGCGAAGCGGTGCCAGGACACCTTACCTGGGCAAAGCGGGGAGGAGAGAGGTCCTCTGTTGCCCACGCCCTCCTTGCGCAGTAGGCTTCCACGCCGAGAGGGGAGGCGCAGACTGGGTGTCAAGAAACTACTCTGCTGGGGAAGGTTTAAGGACCGCCCACTCTCAGATTCTGCCAGTGATTGAGCGAGCTACAGAATAGTGGCACTCTGCGTGGTGAAGTTTTTTTTGGCATTAATAACAAGGCTTTACAGCCGACCAGGGAGACATTTGCCTGATTGCTCTCGAGCAACCCCCTGATACCATTACACAACCCTTTCCTCTTTAACCCTTTCCATTTATATACTCAGAAGTTTTTACTTGTTATTATTTTTTTTAACCGCCTTTCACTAAAGCAGTTTCAGCAAAAAAAAAAAGCAGTACGGTCGTACCATGGTTGTCAAACGGAATCCATTCCGGATGTCCGTTTGACTTCCAAAAACATTCAACAACCAAGGCGCGGCTTCCGATTGGCTGGAGCTTCCTGCAGCCAATCAGAAGCAGCCTCGGACATTTGGCTTCCGAACAACGTTCGCAAACTGGAACACTCACATCCAGCTTTGCGGTGTTTGGGAGGCAAAACATTCGATTCACAAGGCATTCAGGATTGAAGCAACGACTGCACAGCAGACATCATGCAAGCCAGATACCTTTACTATATATTTTCCAAAGTAGTTTACATACCTTTCAACATTTTCCCGATGAAAATAGGGATGTCGTATTCAATAACAACCACAGTAGCAGCAACAATTTTATTATTTATACCCCACCCAGCAGATCTGGGGAGAGTGTGAGGTGCACATGGGTATGGAGAGGAGAGTAGGGAATTCTGACATGCTTCACCAATGAAGTCATACACATGGCTGTCTAAAGGAGAGACCCTATAAGTTGTGGTACCTCGGCTTTCAAACGTAATCCGTTCCAGAAGACCTTTCAAGTTCTGAAACATTCGAAAACCAAAAACTCAATATGGAAGCCTCAATACTGAAAACTCAATACGGAAACCGCATGGCGTGTTCATCTTCCAAGGCGTGTTCGTAAACTGAAGCATTTACTTCTGGGTTTACGGTGTTTGAAAACCGAAATGTTCATCAACGGAGACGTTTGAAAACCGAGGTACAAGGTCCCTAGCTCCCCGCACTGCAAGGACTGCTGGACTAGCAAACAAGATCTGAAGCTTGCCTCCAAAATGTGTGTGTGTGATTTTTATTTTTATTTTTAGAGTTAGGTACATTTTAGTATGACAGATTTGTGAAACATGTACCTCTTCATCTTTAAACACATGAGCAAAAGACTAGGTTAAGCTGAATGTTTGCACTGAAATTGACTCACATTGACTCATTGCAAACATCGTTGCTAAATTTAACAATTATGGAACTAGCCCAAAAAAATAAAAATGAGTGCATCAATATTTCGGATTCTTTCCAAAGAATGTGTCATGCAAGGTTCTAATACAGCAGGCACATCCAACTTCCAAGAGACTGCGATCTACTCCCACTTTAAAAAAACTGCCAGTGATCTACCCATTAGTCCCTGGATCGACCAGGGACATCCTGCGATCGACCAGTAGATTGCGACCGGCCAGTTGGACAGGATGTATAATCTTTTTGAGGCTGAGGGCTGTGTTCCCCTTCTGGGCTGCCTTCCAGAGGGCACATGATACGCAATAAGTGTCCATTTTACCTCTGTGCGGTAGGTTAGCTTCTACACACAGCCCTCTCTATCCTCCAAGCAGGCAAGAAGCATTATCAGCGTTCAAGGTCACTTTCCAGTCTGGCAATAACAGGACTAGTGAGGCGTGTGGATTGGAGTAAATTCTGAGGACCAGGGGCATTTTGAATAGGTTTTCTTTTATGGTGCTGTAAGGTAAACGGCATTTCCATGCGCTGCTCTGGTTCGCCAGAAGCGGCTTAGTCATGCTGGCCACATGACCCATAATAATAATAATAATAATAATTTATTATTTGTACCCCGCCCATCTGGCTGGGTTTCCCCAGCCACTCTGGGCGGCTTCCATAGAAACAAAAAATACAGTAAAATATCACAGATTAAAAGCTTCCCTGAACAGGGCTGCCTTAAGATGCCTTCTAAATGTCAGGTAGTTATTTATCGCTTTGACATCTGATGGGAGGGCGTTCCACAGGGCGGGCGCCACTACCGAGAAGGCCCTCTGCCTGGTTCCCTGTAGCTTTGCCTCTCGCAATGAGGGAACCGCCAGAAGGCCCTCGGTGCTGGACCTCAGCGTCCGGGCAGAAGCTGTATGCCAGCTCCGTCGGCCAGTAAAGCGAAATGAGCGCCGCAACCCCAGAGTTGGCCACGACTGGACCTAATGGTCAGGGGTCCCTTTACCTTTACACCAGAGAGAGGGTAGGGTTGTCTTTACCTAATTCCCATTGCAGTGGTACCTCGGGTTACATACGCTTCAGGTTACAGACTCCGCTAACCCAGAAATAGTACCTCTGGTTAAGAACTTTGCTTCAGGATGAGAACAGAAATCGTGCTCTGGCGGCAGCAGGAGGCCCCATTAGCTAAAGTGGTGCTTCAGGTTAAGAACAGTTTCAGGTTAAGAACAGACCTCCAGAACGAATTAAGTTCTTAACCCGAGGTACCACTGTACCTGGTTTGTTTCCCTGCTCCGAACTCGAATTCACTGGTGCTGCATGTGCAATGGCTGCTTGAAATGGACACATCTCAGGTTTTCATTTTTATTATTAATATTTGATCAAGATAATTTCATTTACAAAAATACAAAATGAAAAAAGTAAATGAGAATGAAAAAAGAAAAATATACTGTTACATTCTCATACATTTATAAACAGATGTGTATATTCTTATTATTCTAATGCACATATAATTGTCACTAACCTAATATATTCTGCACACACTCATTCTAAATTTCATTGTATTTATCCAAAGGAAGTCTGTGTCTGTAAGCTGTCTATCCATATGTTGCCGATGTTGTCAAGCCATTTATTAAGGGGAATTGTATCTCTGTTCTTCCAATTCATCAGTAATTAGCAACCATTAGGGCGCATAGAATCCATTTTTGCTATCCTGTTGTTCACACCTCAGCTTAATCGTGGCTTCGGTTTTCTAATCAAATGGTAGCTAGTTTGAGGGGAAGTGCATGAAACAGAAGAATTTTCTACAAGATGTTTGAAGCGCATCCTGGAGCTTGCTTTGAGATCAAGAGATTTGTTTGCAAAATGGGTCAAGTACAGTGGTGCCCCGCAAGACGAATGCCTCGCAAGACAAAAAACTCGCTAGACGAAAGGGTTTTCCGTTTTTTGAGCTGCTTCGCAAGACGAATTTCCCTATGGGCTTGCTTCGCAAGACGAAAAACGAAAACGTCTTGCAAGTTTGTTTCCTTTTTCTTAACACCGTTAATACAGTTGCAACTTGACTTCGAGGAGCAACTCATAAAACGCGGTGTGGTAGCCTTTTTTGAAGTTTTTGAAGACTTTGGTGATTTTTGAAGCTTTTCCAAAACTTCTTTTAAACTTTTAAAACTTTTTGGGGGGGGGTTGGATTTTGGGTTGGGGTGTTTGGAATTCAAGGACTTGGTGTTGGGGAGGGGTTTGCAAGAATCTGGAAGCTTGTTTTTTTTTCTGCATTTTTATGATTTTCTGTGACCATTGGGCCACTCTGCTGTTTTTTTTAAAAAATTCTGGATTTGAATTTCTGTGTGGTGGGTGCCTGGGGGAACAGTTGAGGAGGGGTTTGCAAGAATCTGGAAGCTTGTGTGGTTTTTTTCTGCATTTTTATGATTTTCTGTGACCACTGGGCCACTCTGCTGTTTTTTTAAAAAAAATTCTGGATTTGAATTTCTGTGTGGTGGGTGGCTGGGGGAACAGTTGAGGAGGGGGTTCTTCAGCAAGAAGCAAAGAGTAGAAGAGGAACCTTCTTCGAGTTGTCCCCCAGAGTCTTAGAAAATGTACTGTACACTTTGTTGATTTTTAAATGTTTTTCTGTCATGTTTAGAAACTTATTGTTCCTTCAGTTTTTGAAATGCTCTTTACAGTATGTGTGACTTTAAAGAGCACTTAATAAACTCTTGTTGTACCAAATTTGGCTTTGTTTGGACTTTTTTGACCATAGGAACGCATTAATTGAATTTCAATGCATTCCTATGGGATTTCGTGCTTCGCAAGACGAAAAATTCGCTAGATGAAAAAACTCGCGGAACAAATTAATTTCGTCTTGCGAGGCACCACTGTAACTACTTTGTTTAGAATATGTGCTTGAATTACTTGAGGTTCGCTGCATTTCTGCACAAGGAACAGACCTTAGTCTCCCTGCGTTTTAAGATGTGAACAGGAACTTTCCCCCTGTGCTTGTGTGTGTTTTTAGGGAAGGGGTTAATGGTGATGTTGGCAGAGCAAAGCCACTTCAGAGCTAGTGAGGAGGTGGGGTTGCGGGCTTCACACACACACACCCCACGCTCCAGCCCCCGTGATGCTAGGGAATCCTCGGATGCCTCATCTCTGGGCCAGCCAATCGGCTGGCCCTGGGGGCGTGGCCTCGCACATTTAGGTCTGGCACGGCCGAGGGTCTCCCTCTTTCCTGCGCAGCAGCTAGCCAGGTTTTTCCCTTCCCTCCCACCCGTTAGGATAGGCTCTATGATGATGATATGGACTTTGGTCGGTCGCCGTCAAGGGGCCTGGTAGGAATTTTTCCATTTGGCAGATTGGTACCAGCCACTTGGTTTTCGCCTTGTAGCAATCCGTCACAATTCCCCGGTATTGGCAGTTAGGCATTGGTAGGGGTATGGATCTTTTGTTATGCAAATGAGGGGAGGAAGGAAGCGCCATCACCTTCCCCCAAAATAAAGGGTAGTCCGGTAAAGGATTCCGGGGGGCGTGGCCTTGTCTTAGGCCTATGGAGGTGTGGGCCCACGGCACACCCCCGAGCGGTAACTCTGGGGGGAGCTCCTAGTTGACGTGCCTCAGCAGGACTCCCCCTACTGGTGGTTAACCTTCACTGGTCTTCCATCCAGTGGGCTAAAGCCAGTTAATTGTTAGGACCAATGCCTAAGCCAATACCGCTCAATTCCTGTAATCAATAAAGTTGTGGCCTAATTTGACCCATTAACTCGAATTCTTGTGTCTCGTGTCTTTATTTCTGAGGGGGGAGGCGGGAACTCGCCACGCAACTTTCTCCATTTCTTCATATCCCCAATGTGTTTTTCACAAATAGGCTTTGGAGTAATGCTTTGGAGAACAAAAGAGATAATCAGGTGAAAGGAGCAAAAAGTCAAGTTATTGAAAACTTCATCTTCCATGTTGTGGAGAATCGTTCTCTAAAAGACAACCGGGTGCCCATAATCCCAGGTGAATAATATTTTTAATGCCTCCTGACCTCCTTTGTTTTGCTTGCTTTTAGTACAGCCTTTCAAAAATAGCAGGAACAAAATAAAAATCTGAATATTCATAGGAAACCTATGTGGACCCATGTCTATTGCGTGCTGGTGCCTAGAAACATGCCTGTTCTATCTAAAAGGGAAAATTCAAATGTCTGTTGAGTACACCCCGGCCCTTACGAACTCGGTGCACAGCACTGTGAAAGCATAAAGGCACCACATTGCCAAGAAGAAAATGAATCTGAAATATTTAAGCTTACATGCACCGGGCAAGAGAGGGAGCTGCAATAGGTCTGTACTTGGTGGTCTTCATAAATGACAGTCGTGACCCAGTTTTAGCTGGAACACTTCCCCAGTGGGCTCCCAGGGTCTGTGAGCCAGGGAACATTAGCAAGCGAGATGATGTTACCGAGATAACCCTTTTCCACTCGGAATACTGCTTGCATAATCAATCATGCCCCAGCTTCCCCAATACATTTCCCCATGTAAGCTCACGACTCGATCGCTGTGATTTTTCAAACGAGCTTTCTGTGGGCTGTAAATATCAATCTGCTTAACGAGATCATGAGCTCTACATCTGATGGAGCTGAGTAAACAGGGAGTGGGAAGGGAAAGGCTGGGCCTTTCAGCTCTTTTACGAGTTCGCCTTATTTTGGGGTTTTCGCGAGGGAGGAGAAACCCTAAAGTTAGAAGTAGCGGAAGAACTGCGCTATTGGCAACTGGGGGAAAAGCTGGCTGGCTGCTCTGTTGGAAAGGGATGCGGGTCTCTCCTGTGACCGGCGCCAGGCTAATACAAGCCATTGGGCCGGGGCTGATGGTGCTGCTCTCTGTAATTGGACCTGAGTGTGGAAAGGAACTGAACCCAGTTCGCAGCTTGGGTTGGGGATTAGATGGGAGCAGCTGGCTGCTGACTTCAGGACAATTCAGGAGCACATAGGCAGATTGAGGGAGGTCCAGACATCAATAACTTTTCCAGAATAGCGGGAAATGAAGGAAGGGCAGTAAAGGCCACCTTCTACCACCGGGGTGATGAACCTTTTTCAGCCTGTGATGGGCCGAACCAGAGACAAAAGTGGGTGAATCAACACCTGCTAATGTTACCGTTAAGTTGTGGGTGAACATATCAGACGACACAGCGATTCTTCAAACAGCTCTTGTTTATTCACAGGCCAGAACAGAACTGAACTGAAGGGTTCAGTCAGCCTGCTTATATAGAGCTCCAGTACAATGTAACTGTAACAACTTTCTGTCACTATCCAATCACTGAACGTCACTTTCAATCCCTTATTTGCATATGTGGACCTGAGTGAAAACTATCTACAGTATCCCCCTGCTGGCCCAGGGTGAGAACTTCAGTACATAACAGTTACCTTTGTGCAGCAGGCTAGTTTCTGCAAACACTCACAGACCCCACTGTCCTGCATCTAAGCAAGTGCCTTTTACTAGTTTGTGCTGGTCCCGTGGGTCAACCGAGAGGCGAGGTCCGAGTCCAGGCCGAGGCCGAAGGAGCAATATGGAGGCAGTCCGTCAAAGCTGAAGCTGGGTGCAGGGCAGGGAGTCCGGTGAGGTCAGGAGCTCAGGCAGAAGAGCAGGACAGGGTGCAGGCAGGAACAGGCTACCAACAATGTTGCTCCCGCAACTTGGGACTGGGGCTGGCTGGCTTTTATCTGCCCCGAGGCATAGGGCGGCCCCAATCCACAGGTGACTCGCCTCTCCCGGCCTAGAGGCGAGCACTCCTCCTGCGGGAACTTAGTTCCCTCCGCCTCTCTGCCCTGAGCCTCTGCAGCTCAGGGGAGGCTGGAGGGTTACCGGACCCAGAGGCAACCTCCACTTCCCCTGACGGGGCTGAGAGTGAAGCACCTGCAGGTAATGGGTCCTCCATCACCTCAGGAGCCAGAGCATACTCAGCTGATGCCTGCACCTGAGGACCCAGCACAGGTGAGGACCCTTCAGGCTCATGCCCCAGCCGTGGCTCAGCTGGTTCTGGAGGCAGGGAATCCTATGCAGGCTGGGATTCCTCAGGTTCAGCCTCTGAGTCCAACTCCCTGCCCTGCACCCAGCTTCAGCTACTACAGACTGCCTCCACATTGCACCTTTGACCACGGACCGGACTTGGACCTCGCCTCTCGGGTAACCCATAGGACCAGCACAGAGGCAGAGAAGAGTCAGGCTGATGAAGACACATGGACATCTCCTCTTCCAGCTGCAACCAGCTCCTGCCTGGTCTCCCAGAACCAGGAGAGAGATGAAGTGGACAGAGCCAAGACAGGCACAAAGAAGCCGTCTCAGATTGCTTGGGGGAAACCCTGGAGAGGAGGGGACTTGGGCAGTTGTGGGCAGTTCTGTTTCACCTTAGGCAGCAAAACAAGACAGGCCGCCCCTAACGGGGCAGACCATCATCATATTCTGCTGCTGCTGCAAGCATTTTACTGGCTACCAATCTGCTGGGAGGTTAAGCTCAAGGTGCTGGTGTTGGCATGCAAAGTCCTATATAGCTTGGGTGTAGGATATAGGCAAAACCTATTTGGTGTTTCACAACTTTCTGACTAGTTGCAGGACCTTAGCCAGACCTAGCAGAGTACACGCAGAATCCATGGAAGCAATTGGTGACTTGGCTGCAGACAGGATAGGCGAAGCAGGAACCAGGAACTTGTAGTTAGGTGTTTATTATATACAGTGGACTATTTACAGGAACAGAACACGGATCTTTAGCTAGCTCTCTCTGACACCACTTACAACTCCTACACTGACACAGAACTCTGAACACGAACACTGAACTCCTGAACTAACAGTTAGTAGGCCATTAATTATCACTCCCTTGAGATAGCTTGGCCAATCAGGGAGCAGTCTCCATGTCTCTGTTATCACCAGGCAGACTTACTCCTTCAGATTGCCTTCTGGCTGTCTGCCAAACCTTAATCGACTCTGTGTGAGTAGCTGTACGTACACAGTTTCCCAACATAGGATACCTAAAAGATTGTGTTGCCTCTTATATGCCCAATAAATTACTATGCTCTGCAGGGATGGTATATCTCCTGTAGATACCATTACCTTCAGAAGGTCTGTTCCATACAATGTGAGAATCTGCATTTAGTGTAGCAGGGCCTCCCCTTTGGAACTCCCTCCTGTGACATATCAGACAGGAACTATCTCTGTTGCCTTTTTGTCGCCTATTGAAAACCTTCCTTTTTCAACCAGCCTTTTAAGTGGGTATTTTTTATCCCATTCTGCATCTGTATTGGATATGAAATTGTTCTGGTACACGAAATTGTTTCAATTGGTTTTTTTATATATGAAATTGTGTTTTTTTATATTGCTGATGCTTTTATTGTCCTGGCACTTTGAAATGTTCCATAGGACAGGATTCATAAATGGAAGGAAATAAATAAAACCCATTCTGCTGAATTTTACGACCCCTTCTCAATTGCTGTTTGTTTTTATATTTATTGTTCTTTCTTTATATTTATTTATTTTTATCCGTTTGTTGTAGGCCATCCCAGAATTTTTACTGAGAGGCAGTACATAAATGTCTCAAACAAACAGGAAATGGGTAAGTTTGGGAAATCCTGGATGTACCTGTGTGACGAATAATGAAGACAAGTGAGTTATAGATTCATCCTAACTCATCTCCCCCACAACCCTAGAGGATTCATGCATTCATCTGAGTTTCCTAGGAGAAGGACCAGATCAGGGATGGGGAACCCGTGGTCCCCCAAATGTTGCTCCATTATAACTCCCATAATTCATGACCTTTGACCATACTGGCTGGGGCTGATGGAAGTTTGACTCAGTGGCTTAGCATTGGGGGCACAGGGGCAGTTGCCCCGGGCACAAAATGGTTAAGGTAAAGGTAAAGGTACCCCTGCCCGTACGGGCCAGTCGTGTCCGACTCTGGGGTTGTGCGCTCATCTCGCTTAAGAGACCGGGGGCCAGCGCTGTCCAGAGACACTTCCGGGTCACGTGGCCAGCGTGACGAAGCTGCTCTGGCGAGCCTGCACCAGCGCAGCACACAGAAACACCGTTTACCTTCCCGCTATAAAGCGGTACCTATTTATCTACTTGCACTTAAGGGTGCTTTTGAACTGGTAGGTGGGCAGGAGCTGGGACCGAACGACGGGAGCTCACCCCTCCGCGGGGATTCGAACCGCCGACCATACGATCGGCAAGTCCTAGGCACTGAGGTTTTACCCACAGTGCCACCCGCGTCCCTTACAAAATGGTTAGGGGCATGAAATTTCAACGCCTACCGCTGCCTCAATACTGCTGCACACTTCCAACACAGGGCTCAGTTGAAAACTGATCCACGTGAACCGGGGGGTGCCTTCTCCAGACAAAGGAATGACTCCGCAGCTACAATCTGCTGGGTGGTGCAGATGCCATTAGGCAGTTGAATGTGTATGTGTACTTCGTCCCTTTTCCCTCCCTCCCAAACACCACATACCTTTGCATGGACTCGGGTGCTGGCAACCCACGCTACGCCACTGGCTGGACTCCAACGCAATCTGGAGTGCCACAGATTCCCCATTCCTGGGCATGGATCCTTAGGACAGGAGCATTAGAAAGCTGCCTTGTTCCAAGTCAGGTCATTGGTCCACCTAGGCGCATCATGCTCAATTTCGCCTGGTCATTTTTGTACTCTAATTAACAGTGCTCAAAATGTTTTGAGGGAAGGAATGTGCTTCAAATGTCCTTTAGAGGTGAAGGGTGTATGGCGCTTTGGCTGGAAGCAACTCTATAAGTGTACATTAGGCGATAAAGCACATCCACCTCTCAGTGACCATCCTGCAACACAATAAAATCTGAGAAGTGGCCATTCAGAGTGCTTAGACCTTTTCAACCACTTTTGTAAGCATTTTTCCTGCACTGGACGATTTCAGCACTGAGCTGGTCCTGGCCTCCTTGAAAATATTGTCCTGTTTGTTCTGTACAATACTGTTCCATTGGCAGCCTTGAATGCCTGTGAGTATATACTGTATTTTTTGCTCTATAAGACTCACTTTTTCCCTCCTAAAAAGTAAGGGGAAATGTGTGTGCGTCTTATGGAGCGAATGCAGGCTGCGCAGCTATCCCAGAAGCCAGAACAGCAAGAGGGATTGCTTCTTTCACTGCGCAGCGATCCCTCTTGCTGTTCTGGCTTCTGAGATTCAGAATATTTTTTTTCTTGTTTTCTACCTCCAAAAACTAGGTGCATCTTGTGGTCTGGTGCGCCTTATAGAGCGAAAAATACAGGTAGTTATTCATACAACATTCTGCCTTTGGTTTCCTGCTGCTTTTCTAAATCGTTCCCCCATCTCTCTCCCCAGTTACAGAGGGGGAAAGCCCTATTTGTGTTGATACAGTGCACACAACTGCATTTCTATGTCTGTGTCACTGTGGCGTCCAGTTTAGGAGAGGTGCAAAATGAGAGTAGCTTGCCCACTTTCATGTTTTCTGTGAGTGTTTGAGGGAAGGGTAGCGACCTGCTGCTTAAAATCGACTCAAGAGACTATGAAGCCCTATCATGAGGCTCAGAGCCCACATGCTACATTTACAGCACAATCCTATACATGCTTACCCAGAGATATTCCTGCATTGCAGGGGGTTGGACTAGATGACCCTTGGGGTCTCTTCCAACTCTCCTATGATTCTAAGTAAGTCTTGCTGTCTCCCAGGGCAGTCAGTTTCCCAAAGTCTAGCTGTGTTCTGCTACTTCTTATTTGTAAACTTGCACATCGCTTTTTATAACGAAAGTCTCAAAGTGACTTAAAGGTAAAGGGACCCCTGACCATTAGGTCCAGTCATGGTCGACTCTGGGGTTGCGGTGCTCATCTCGCATGCACAACCGCCGAAACCCAGAGGTAACCCGTTGCAGTATTTCTGGGATTCAGCGGTCCGCAACCTGAAAAAATGCAACTTGAAGCGTCTGTAACCGGAGGTAGTAAAGGTAAAGGGACCCCTGACCATTAGGTCCATCCAGTCGTGGCCGACTCTGGGGTTTTGGCGCTCATCTCGCTTTATTGGCCGAGGGAGCCGGCATACAGCTTCCGGGTCATGTGGCCAGCATGACTAAGCCGCTTCTGGAGAACCAGAGCAGCGCACAGTAATGCCGTTTACCTTCCCACCGGAGTGGTACCTATTTATCTACTTGCACTTTGACATCCTTTCAAACTGCTAGGTTGGCAGGAGGTGGGACCGAACAATGGGAGCTCACCCCGTCACAGGGATTCGAACCTCCAGCCTTCTGATTGGCAAGTCCTAGGCTCTGTGGTTTAACCAACAGCGCCACCCACGTCCCACCAAAGTGACTTAACAGTAAGTTAAAATGGAAAGATGTCGTGAAACAGACAGAAACCATAAAGCCAGGTATAATGCATACTGCAAGTGTTCCTCACCAGCAAGGAAAAATACCCTCCTCCACTGTACTATAAGAAAATAGGCCATAAATTAAACCAAATCGAGATCCAAATGCCTGGGGCTGACAATTTTGGCAGCAGCCTCCTTGAAAATAGTATTTCACAACTGGGAGGGGAACACTGAAGAGGTTCATTATTTCGCTGCCACCCTCCCTCAGACAAGACACATAAGGAAATACAGTGGTACCTCGGGTTAAATACTTAATTTGTTCTGGAAGTCTGTTCTTAACCTGAAGCACCACTTTAGCTAATGGGGCCTCCTGCTGCTGCCGCGCCGCTGGAGCACGATTTCTGTTCTCATCCTGAAGCAAAGTTCTTAACCTGAAGCACTATTTCTGGGTTAGCGGAGTCTGTAACCTGAAGTGTATGTAACCTGAAGCGTATGTAAGCCGAGGTACCACTGTACCTCTGTTTCTGATGGATAACAGAAACAGGGTCATCTGGGTCACCAGAGAACCCCAATGGTCAGAATCAGAGTTATACAACCACACAACACAAAAGCCTGCCAGCAGCTACCTTTGCCTCAGAGGACCACACTGAGTCTCTGGTGCCGCCCCCAATCCTAAATCTGCAAGCCCCTTACCATTCCTGTCCAATTTTTAGCCTCTTCTGCATGCAGTGGGAGGATCAGCTTGCCCCTCCTTGCAGAGAGTAGATTTGGTTCAGGGCTGCTAGTCACAGACCCTGCAGTACTTCAGAATGTCCTCTAAGTTTATTTCTGTTTTTTAAAAGGGCCGTTCTCTACGGGTACCTGTTTCTCCTTGCTCTCTTTTGCTTGTGGCATCCCATAATCTGGAAGTGGCCACCGCGCTTGTGAGATTATGCCACTGCAAAATCACCCGGTGCCGAAAGCAACCTCGACATTTGCACAAAACAGGGCAGTGCAGTGTGCAAGGTTCAGAAGGGGAAATGAGTTGTTTCTGCTTCTTCGGACATAATGTGCTGCCAGAGTTAGCACAAAGCCTCTTTCGGGATACACAGCTGACCGTCGCAGCTGCGTACAAAACAATGCCTGTGTATAGAGTCTCCCTCGCAGATCCCACTGTATTAAAAACAAAAGAAAACACAGCATTTCCTCGTGTGGGTGAAGAGGCGATATGTTTGCAGCCTGCCATCAGGTTTTTCTTCTTATTCTCCGCTCTGTCGTAGCTAACACACTTAACAGACTTCCAGAGCGTCTGTGAGTGTTCATTAGGGCCATCGGTGGCTGGCAGCCCAGGGGCAAAGGATGCCTTGGCTGTTCGTCGCTGCTTAATCAAGCCATTTTTGCCCGAAGCCAACTTTGCATGGCAAAGGCAGATCCCAGGGAGGAATGGCACTCCAACCAAAATCCCCAGCATTCAGCTTAACTGTTCTTTGAACACGGTATCTCTCTTCAAGAAGAGATGTGAGTGGACAGGGAGAGGAATGTCCCTGGAGGTCTTCCCCTTCTGCTTCATTCATTCCGTGGCATAAAATAATGTCCTCGTTTCCTTCTCTCTCTTTCCCCCACCTTTATATGAAAGAGGAAAGGGACTGAATGGGCAACGTGGATGCATTTCCAGAGGTCGTTCAGAGGTCTCCAGCACCTGCTCGGACAAACGTTTCCTGTCTCAGCAGAGGAACCAAGTTAAGCTGGCCCTTGTCCTTATTCACTGTAATATTTTGCTCCAAGCCCTCCTGGCCTTTCCTTAACAAGGGAGACTTGACTAAATGAAACCAGAAGCCCCTGTTGCTTTGTTTTCACTGGTGGAGTCCTCTCCCTTCATCTCGGCAGCAGCAGCATAAGAATAGCCTTCTCGACAAAGCACTAAAACCCACGGCAGTCCTGTTTATGATGCATTATTGCTATGATTTATGACGTGTTAAAGGTAAAGGGACCCCTGACCATTAGGTCCAGTCGTGACCGACTCTGGGGTTGCAGCGCTCATTTCGCTTTATTGGCCAAGGGAGCCGGCGTACAGCTTCCGGGTCATGTGGCCAGCATGACTAAGCCGCTTCTGGCGAACCAGAGCAGCGCACGGAAACGCCGTTTACCTTCTCACCGGAGCAGTACCTATTTATCTACTTGCACTTTGACATGTTTTCGAACTGCTAGGTTGGCAGGAGCAGGGACTGAGCAACGGGAGCTCACCCTGTCGCAGGGATTCAAACCGCTGACCTTCTCACTGGGAAGTCCTAGGCTCTGTGGTTTAACCCACAGCACCACCTGCGTCCCTTTATGACACATTAGTCGCTTTATAAAAAGAAGTGTCTCAAAAAGACACAGCAAAATAACTGTTGTTGCGGGCATCTGTCTGTCTTGAGAGACAATGGTAAAAATGTGAAAGGTAAAGGACCCCCTGGACGGTTAAATCCAGTCAAAGGCAACTATGGGATTGCGGCACTCATCTCACTTTCAGGCCGAGGGAGCCGGTGTTTATCCACAGACAGCTTTCCGGGTCATGTGGCCAGCAGGACTAAACTGCTTCTGGCACAAAAGAACACCATGACAGAAGTCAGAGTGCACGGAAACGCCATTTACCTTCCCACCACAGCGGTACCTATTCATCTACTTGCACTGGTGTGCTTTTGAACTGTTAGGTTGACAGGAGCTGGGACAGGGCAACGGGAGCTCACCCCGTCACGTGGATTTGAACCGCCGGCCTTCGGATCAGCAAGCCCAAGAGACTCAGTGGTTTAGACCACAGCGCCACCCGCATCCCTAGAGATGATGGAGTGCACCTCCGGGGGTGAAGTCAAACTGCTGAAGAATCACAGCATCTGCTGTGGCTGCAGAGACTGGTAACTCATAACTGCTGCCTCCCATGTGGTTTTTGCTGTGCTAGCAGCACCAAAGTGACCTCTCCAGGGTCCAAGGCTGGGCAGTGCGTATGGAGTTCCTGGGCTGCCCAGATGACAAGACACACCCCCTCAGCCTTGTTGATGCAATTCAAAGGAAAGCAAAGCAATATGTTTGGCACTAGCTTGGCAGTGGCTGGAAGGAGATGTAAAAGGAACCATCCAACTGCCAGAGGGCCTCCACTCCAATTAGTGTAGGGTTTTCTTAGCCTTTTCTTCTCCTGAAGATGTCCTACAAGGCAGTGGGTACTGGTTTTTTCTCAGGGTTTATTCCCAAAGCCTTTTTCACAAATGAGTGTAGCCACATAGCAGCGAAGGTTCAGGATCAGAGATCACCTCCCAGAAAAATAATATACAGATTAAAAAAAAAACGGGCATTTGAATCCTGTCATTTCCATTTCAGGTGACTCTTCATAAAGAATCCAGCAGAAGTTTGGTATTCGCCTAAAAATGTGATTGACATTATCTGACAGGAAATGTGTTTTTCCGCCATGTGCACAGTGGGGAACTAGTATCCCTGTCACATTAAGTATGTATGTATTTTAGGCACCATATTTACCTCAGTGGTGGTGTGCTTGCTCTTGATTTCTTGAGGCGTCTCTGTGTGTGACTTACAACTGTACGGACATTTCTGTCATGGTACACCTGCAATGTCCGTGTTCTTCTTTGGGGAAGCTGGCAACTGGATAATATAAATCCAGCCTCGGCACATGAAAGTTGAGAGGGGCCAGTCCCCTCCTCACTTTTTCTTTAGCTGTTGTTGTCGTTTAGTCGTTTCGTTGTGTCTGACTCTTCGTGACCCCCTGGACCAGAGCACGCCAGGCACTCCTGTCTTCCACTGCCTCCCGCAGTTTGGTCAAACTCATGTTAGTAGCTTTGAGAACACTGTCCAGCCATCTCGTCCTCTGTCGTCCCCTTCTCCTTGTGCCCTCCATCTTTCCCAACATCAGGGTCTTTTCCAGGCAGTCTTCTCTTCTCATGAGGTGGCCAAAGTATTGGAGCCTCAGCTTCAGGATCTGTCCTTCCAGTGAGCACTCAGGGCTGATTGCCTTCAGAATGGAGAGGTTTGATCTTCTTGCAGTCCATGGGACTCTCAAGAGTCTCCTCCAGCACCATAATTCAAAAGCGTCAATTCTTTGGCAATCAGCTTTCTTTATGGTCCAGCTCTCACTTCCCTACATCACTACTGGGAAAACCATAGCTTTAACTATACGGACCTTTGTTGGCAAGGTGATGTCTCTGCTTTTTAAGATGCTATCTAGGTTTGTCATCGCTTTTCTCCCAAGAAGCAGGCGTCTATTAATTTTGTGACTGCTGTCACCATCTGCAGTGATCATGGAGCCCAATAAAGTAAAATCTCTCACTGCCTCCATTTCTTCCCCTTCTATTTGCCAGGAGGTGATGGGCTCAGTGGCCATGATCTTAGGTTTTTTTGATGTTGAGCTCCAGACCACATTTTGCGCTCTCCTCTTTCACCCTCATTAAAAGGTTCTTTAATTCTACATTGCTTCAAAAATTCGTTAAGCTAACATCCTCATTGACCTCTACGGTGGTCTCTTCTGGGGCTATTTTCTGAGGCTAGGCTTGCCAGATCCTAAACTAGCTACACAGCCTTTGAACCTGGGGGTGGGGGGTGGGAGGAAAGACCTTCTTTAGAGAGCCCTTCTTTAGTCCAGCAACATCAGACACAATGCCCAATTGGATGCATCCAGAATAAGATGTTGCCCAACGTCCTTCCCAAACTTCAGGCATTGGTAGCAATTATTATTTTTATTATCGCCATCCATTTCAGTGGTTAATTTCACTCTGCAGCATCGCTTTTTGCCTCAGCGCTCAGCCTTCAGATATATGGTGCAAATCCAGCAGAATCCGCAGGGATTCTGGCTTCTGCGAGCCTGACAATAATGTGAAACGTGTGACAGGTTCCAAATCTGAGATCTCTGCTGGAGGAACGGCGCCACGTTGGGGAATATCCCTCTTCAGCACAGTCCCACTTCCTTAATTTTTCACAAGCATCGCTGCATAGCTGTCAGATACAGAGAATGTCATCACAGGGCTTTTTAATAGCTTATACATTGAACTGCAAGTAAAATAAAAAGGCAAATGTAAGCTGAAAGCGAAGCGCTGCAGCCCCTGTCCCTCACTGTTGCCGCTGCAGAGATGGTCAAGACACACCTACATAAATACTGGCAGCTTATATGGGTTTTAATGATATGGCTCCTTCTCCGCAGCTCCACGTGTACGAGAAGTGCAGAGAACTTGCTGCACCTCTTAGCAGGACCAGAAAGCGTGATGATCTTTAACCAATGACAGAAAGTGATGGGTTATCTAGCAAATTCTGACAAGGTATGTGGCAGGGCCACTTGATTGCCAAAACATCAAAAGCCCATTCTTCTCTAAAAAGGTAAAGGGACCCCTGACCATTAGGTCCAGTTGTGGCCGACTCTGGGGTTGCAGCACTCATCTCGCTTTACTGGCCGAGGGAGCCGGCATACAGCTTCCGGGTCATGTGGCCAGCATGACTAAGCCGCTTCTGGCGAACCAGAGCAGCGCACGGAAACACCGCTTACCTTCCCGCTGGAGCGGTACCTATTTATCTACTTGCACTTTGATGTGCTTTCGAACTGCTAGGTTGGCAGGAGCAGGGACCGAGCAATGGGAGCTCACCCCATCACGGGGATTTGAACCACCAACCTTCTGATCGGCAAGTCCTAGGCTCTGTGGTTTAACCCACAGCGCCACCCACATCCCAATTCTTCTCTAGATCACCACTATTTCCAGAAGTAACAAAAGAAAGAAAGAAAGAAAGAAAGAAAGAAAGAAAGAAAGAAAGAAAGAAAGAAAACAGAACAGGAATTAACAAAAGATTTTTAAGCCTAGAAATTCCATCATGGCTAGTTGCCCGCTGATAGTCTTTATCCTCCATGCATTTTCCATCCAAGTATACAAGGTGGAAAGATGATAGCAATATCTTTTTAAAAAATAATAATTATACTTTTCAGATTTATACATTTCACTTATTTTACAATCATTTTGACATTTCAAAACTTGACTTCTTCCCCCCACTTTCTGCGGTTCCTTAAATTTATTTTTAATATCTTCTGCATAAGCAAATTAACTTAATTTGTTCATTTATTCATCTTCTTTAAATATATGCTCTTATGAAACTGCAGGTTATTACAATAATCCTGCCAATGTTTTGACAATTCTACCTGCAAATATTCAGTAAACCATTTCCATTCCTTTATAAAAAGTTTGTTATCTTGATTTCTTATTCTTCTGGCAAGTTTCGCCATCTCTGCATATTCCATAAGTTTTTGTATCCATTCTTCCTTTGCTGGGACTCCTTCTTCTTTCCATTTTTGGGCAAGTAACATTCTTGCCGCTGTACATGAATAAGTTTCTATACATTTTAGGTAGTTCTGTCCCTATAATTCCCACGAGAAAAGCTTCTTGGTTGTTTTTGTTACGAAAGTCACTTTAAACATCCTTTTCATTTCATTACATATCATTTCCCAGTAAGCCTTCACCTTACTAGCAATCTCACCTACTTTAGAGAGACATAGTTGGAGTTTATTTACTTATTACAGTTTTAGCCAGACTTTCCTCCACTGGGCTTAGCGTGGGAAATACGAATTGACCATATTCCTTGCCTTTCAAACCCAACTGCTCTGGGTAAATTGGGAGTCCTGCAATACGCTTGCACATTTAAAAAAAACACGACTCAAGTGACAACTGAATCAGAAGCGTGCAACACAAAAGGGGGACGCGGGTGGTGCTGTGGGTTAAACCACAGAGCCTAGGACTTGCCGATCAGAAGGTCGGCGGTTCGAATCCCTGCGAAGGGGTGAGCTCCCGTTGCTCGGTCCCTGCTCCTGCCAACCTAGCAGTTCGAAAGCACCTCAAAGTGCAAGTAGATAAATAGGTACCGCTCCGGTGGGAAGGTAAACAGCGTTTCCATGCGCTGCTCTGGTTTGCCAGAAGTGGCTTAGTCATGCTGGCCACATGACCCGGAAGCTGTACGCCGGCTCCCTCGGCCAATAAAGCGAGATGAGCGCCGCAACCCAAGAGTCGGTCACGACTGGACCTAATGGTTAGGGGTCCTTTACCTAACACAAGAGGAGGAAGAGAACTTCTTCCATCCCCTTGCTCTGGAAGGCGTCAAGAATCTGCGTCTCTACTGCCATAATTCCTGCCCATTTGTCATGCTGGCTGAGGCTGGAGTTGGGAGTTCCAACAATCCTTATGGGTTTCCCACCAACATTGGGTTGGCCACTGTGAGAATAGGATGCTGGCCTGGATGGACCATTGCCCTGGTCCAATGGGTTGTTCTTATGTCCTTAGCATCATCTGAAAGGCCACAGGTTATCCACATCTTCTACTAGGCAGGAACTGTTGGAAACAACGAGTGTGGCCTTTTCTTGTAAGTGGCACCCTGTGTCTGCTTGCCAAAAGTCTGACATATTCTGAAGCTCCAATGTTTTACTGCTTCTAATAATCACATACTGTTCTCTAGGGAACATTTCCTGTAAAATCCCTTCATCTCCCCCCTCCCCCCTCCATTAAAGATAAACAACCCAAATGTCACTGGAAAGAAAATCAATGTGTATAATTACTTCTGCTACTTAAATAGCAAGAAGCAAATGTGTGGAATCTGCAAAAAGTAACAAATATTTCCGAGCCTAAAAAGGAAAGGGCTATTAGCTGTTAAGCCTTAAAATAACCCGATCGATAAAAAGCCAAGTGCTATCCATTCACTTTTAGAAGGAGGCTGTCCACTTCACCTCCAACTGGCATAAATTTATTTCGGTAGTAGTTGCAGCCTGTACATTGGGCTTTGCAGCCCAGCACAAATCATACATCCTTTTCGAGGGGCTGGATATTTTTCATGCGTTATTGAACATGTGCATGTGGGGCACATGCTAAAATAAAGGTAAAGGTAAAGGGACCCCTGAACATTAGGTCCAGTCATGGCCGACTCTGGGGTTGTGGCGCTCATCTTGCTTTATTGGCCGAGGGAGCTGGCGTACAGCTTCCGGGTCATGTGGCCAGCATCACTAAGCCGCTTCTGGCGAACCAGAGCAGCGCACGGAAACGCTGTTTACCTTCCTGCCGGAGCAGTACCTATTTATCTACTTGCACTTTGACGTGCTTTCCAACTGCTAGGTTGGCAGGAGGAGGGACCGAGCAACGGGAGCTCACTCCGCCGTGGGGATTCGAACCGCCAACCTGATCGGCAAGTCCTAGGCTCTGTGGTTTAACCCACAGCGCCACCCACGTCCCATGCTAAAATAGTGATGGATAAAAAGAGGCAAATATGCATTTTGAAAGCAGGCCAAGTGAGTAGGAAAAAGATGTACCAGGAAGTCAGCAATGAAAAATGCAACGAACATGCAGTGGTACCTTGGTTCTTGAAGGGCTTAATTGTAGAATAAATCGGCTCCTGAACACTGCAAACCCAGAAGTAAGCATTCTGGTTTGTGAACGTTTTCCAGAAGCCAAATATCCGATGTGGCTTCTACTTGAGTGCAGGAGGCTCCTGCAGCCAATTGGAAGCCGCGACAGTTTTGGGTGTCGAATGAACTCCCGGAACAGATTAAGTTCGACAGCCAAGGTACCACTGTATAGCTCTACCAGTGCAATCCTGTGTGTGTTTACTTGGAAGCAAACCCCACTGATTTCAAATAACAAAAGCGTGCATAGGATCGCAGCCTAAAAATACCTGTCTGCACATCAAATGGCCCTGAGAGCTAATGAATGCACTTCTTGAAATGTATAGCTTGCAGAATTTTAAGACATTTGGGTTTCTCAACCCCCGCTCAATGTTTGAAGTGGGACTCACAGATCTCACCTTCCGAAGATCTATGCACGTCGAAAGGTCACCCAAAGCCCACCACAGCTGCACAGTTTGAGGAAATGTACACAGACAATCCATATTTTTTTACAGTTTGGCTTGTGCTGACTGCCTAATTAGGCAAGGGGGAGATCAACGAACCTCAGTAGACAGTGGAAAGATTTTTAAATGGGCAGTTTTCGAGACATACCTTCTCCGCCATGTGTCCTGGCCTTATTGCTTAAGCTACTTCCAGGATTAGTTACTTTCTACAAATTAGCAGACGGGTACTTCGGCCCACAGCCCTGTTAAATCAGAGACATTTGGATTTTGGAAGCATTTGTTCAGCAAAAGATACGAACTAAGTCTGACTCCAGCACTCAGTGGAGCTGTCTGTAATGCCAGAAATAGGACCATGCACTGATATGTATACCTACTGGGCGGAGCAAGTGTGGTGAAGTGGTTCAAATGTCAGACTGGGAGACCTGGGTTCAAATCCCCACTCAGCTATGAAGTTCACTGGGTGATTTGAACGCTTTGGGGATTTGAATGCTTTGAGTTATTGAGGAAAGGAGTAGACTCACAGGTGAGAGACCACCAGGGCAGAATTGGCCGAGTTGAAGAACGCAGGTAGAACCTTCATAATGGCATACTAAACAAAATAACAGTAATACAGTGGTACCTCGGAAGTCGAACAAAATCCGTTCGGCTTCCAAAACGTTCGAAAACCAAGGCACAGCTCCTGCAGCCAATCGGAAGCCGCAGAAGCCCCGCCGGACGTTCGGCTTCCAAAAGAACGTTCGAAAACCGGAACGGTCACTTCCGGGTTTCGATCGTTTGGGAGCCAAAACGTCCAAGTTCCAAGGCGTTTGACAACCAAGGTACGACTGCAAAGCCAAAAATGGCTCAGGACTGCGTTGCATCTCCCCATATGAACAAACCCAGACTCTGCAATCATCACCTGAAGCCCTTCTTTGTGTGCTTCCTCCACGAAAGGTCCGGAGGGTGGCAACATGAGAACATGCCTTCTCTGTGGTGGCTCCCTGTTTGTGAAATGCTCTCCCTAGGGAGACTCGCCTGGCACCTTCGTTACATATCTTTAGGCTCCATGCAAAAACATTCCTCTTCTCCTTCGGGCTAACTAAACAACCGGTGACCTTATAAACTGTGTTGCCGGGGGTTTGGTTTTCATTTGTTACCATGTTGTGTATTTTTGTGTTTTTATGTTGCAAACCGCCCTGTGATCCTTGAAAGAAGGGCAGTATAGAAATTTAATTAAGAAGAATTGACAGAGCGCATCTTAAAAAGCCACCCCAATCTGCAGCTGCACATTGCAGGGAAAGTTCAATAATGGACAAGATGTCTTTAAGAGCAACTCATCTGCTTTTACTGTGTGGTGGGGGATAAGTGTTCAGACCCCTGGGCTCTCACTTGTGGGGTGCCTCAGGGTTCTGTCCTCTCCCCCATGCTTTATAACATGAAGCCGCAGGGAGAGATCATCAGGGGGTCTGGACTGGGTGTCCATCAATATGAAGATGATACCCAGCTCTACCTCTCTTTCAAATCAGAACCAGTGAAGGCGGTGAAGGTCCTGTGTGAGTGCCTGGAGGCGGTTGGAGGATGGATGGTGGCTGAGGTTGAATCCTGATAAGACAGAAGTACTGTTTTGGGGGGACAGGAGGCGGGCGGGTGTGGAGGACTCCCTGGTTCTGAATGGGGTAACTGCGCCCCTGAAGGACCAGGTGCGCAGCCTGGGAGCCATTTTGGAGTCACAGCTGTCCATAGAGGCACAGGTCAATTCTGTATCCAGGGCAGCTGTCTACCAACTCCACCTGGTACGCAGGCTGAGACCCTACCTGCCTGCGGACTGTCTCGCCAGAGCGGTGCATGCTCTAGTTATCTCCCGCTTGGACTACTGCAACACGCTCTACGTGGGGCTACCTTTGAAGGTGACCCAGAAACTACAACTAATATTTTGGCAGTGCTGCCTAGAAACTGCTTCCATTCCAGTTCCAGCTGCTCAGGGGAGGAAGGAGCTGTTGCCTGGCAACGGCCTGTGAGAAAACTTGAAGACAGTTCCCATCTTGCTCTGAGTGAGATCCAGGCGGTTGGAGGATGGATGGTGGCTAATGGATTGAGGTTGAATCCTGACAAGACAGAAGTACTGTTTTTGGGGGACAGGGGGCAGGCTGGTGTGGAGGACTCCCTGGTCCTGAATGGGGTAACTGTGCCCCTGAAGGACCAGGTGCACAGCCTGGGAGTCATTCTGGACTCACATCTGTCCATGGAGGCACAGGTCAATTCTGTGTCCAGGGCAGCTGTCTACCAACTCCACCTGGTACGCAGGCTGAGACCCTACCTGCCTGCGGACTGTCTCACCAGAGCGGTGCATGCTCTAGTTATCTCCCGCTTGGACTACTGCAACACGCTCTATGTGGGGCTACCTTTGAAGGTGACCCGGAAACTACAACTAATCCAGAATGCGGCAGCTAGACTGATGACTGGGAGTGCCCGCCGAGACCACATAACACCGGTCTTGAAGGATCTACATTGGTTCCCAGTACGTTTCAGAGCACAATTCAAAGTTTTGGTGCCGACCTTTAAAGCCCTAAATGGCCTTGGCCCCATAGACCTGAAGGAGCGTCTCCACCCCCATCGTTCTGCCTGGACGCTGAGGTCTGGCTCCAAGGGCCTTCTGGCGGTTCCCTAACTGCGAGAAGCAAAGCTACACGGAACCAGGAGGAGGGCCTTCTCGGTAGTGGCACCCACCCTGTGGAACACCCTCCCACCAGATGTCAAAAAGATTAACAACTACCTGACATTTAGAAGACATCTGAAGGCAGCCCTATTCAGGGAAGTTTTTAATGTGTGACATTTTAATGTATTTTTAATCTTTGTTGGAAGCCGTCCAGAGTCAGATGGGCGGGATACAAATAATAAATTATTATTATTATTATTATTATTATTATTATTATTATTATTATTATTACCGATCTTCTCACCTGAGGAACTGCCTGACAAACAGCCAAGGAGGAGCCCGCAGAACATAGTTTGAAAAATAGTTTGAGCTAGATGAGTTTTTGGGGAGTAGAAACCTTTCTACACAATCCACCGTTCAGTCCCCTTTACTCTCGGGTTCCAGCTGGAAGATCAAAATCAAGTGTTGGACTAACCGAAGAATGTTTTTTAACAACGGAACTACGGACAAAAACCAGAAAGTTGGAACTGGCTTCGAAAATACACAGGAAAAAGACAACAGTTAAAGAAAGCATCTTGAACATTTTGAGAAAAATCTTCTTTCACCAGAAGTTGCCTTTCCAAATAAGAAAAAGAGTAGGATACACTTGCCCTCTTAATACTCACATTCTAAAAATATTTCTATTGACGTGTCTAAGGCAGCAGACTTGCTCAAACCAACTCCATGCGCTGGCTGAACTCCTTTGTAAAGACCATTTCCCCGTCAGAGAGTTGTTTTGAAATGCGGGGCTCTTCTTTTCGCAGGTGACGACTGCAGGGACACCTTAAACCTGCTTCTTATGGCGATTTCCAGAAATAAAACACACCATCAACTGCAAATACAAAGCTAGTCTTCGCTCTGTAACGAGCGCATGGGCTTACTCACCACCTAAGGGACTGCACAAAGCCAAAAGGTTTGTTCAGTGATTTATTCTGCGCAACGTCCCCAAATTTACCAGCGAACGTCTCAGCAAGGCTAGGGTAAAGTCTTCATTTCAGCTGCTGGACCAGGCTATTTATAGAGCTGAGGACTTCCTTAAAATAGCCGTCGTCTTCCCCTTCCTTTTGTTCGTCCGCCGCCAGCACTTCGTATTCTTGGCGAAGGAGGGTCAGTGTATGGCTGAGGCTGTGATCTGCTTTGTAGCTGTCCCTGCAGGAAGCTAGCAGCACATGCACGGTCTTCAAAACCTTCTCCCTGGCATCGTGCTCTGGCATCCTCAGGAGGTTAGGAATTATCCCGCACCAGCCTTGTTCGACAATGGCTGGGAACAAGATCACTTGGCTGTACTGCTGGGCTCTCTCCCGGAACTGGTCGTCGTCATCTGGCGAGTCCTTGAGCGACAGCTGCGATAAAGTTCCTTAAAATTATTATCCTGCACTTTCATTTATTTTATTTTGGTAATAACTTTTTGTTAATTTTTCAAAAGCTTAACATATATACTTCAATACAGTGGTACCTCTGGTTACGTACTTAATTCGTTCCGGAGGTCCGTTCTTAACCCGAAACTGTTCTTAACCTGAAGCACCACTTTAGCTAATGGGGCCTCCCGCTGCCGCCGCGCAATTTCTGTTCTCATCCTGAAGCAAAGTTCTTAACCCAAGGTACTATTTCTGGGTTAGCGGAGTCTGTTGGGATACTGCCAGGGAGACGGAGGCATCAGGCAGGCCCCCAGTCATCTCCAGACGATCACTGGTCTCCCGTGGAACAGCATCAGTCAATTAGCAACACAAGCCTCAGAGACATTCCAAGACCCGTGCGCACCCTGTCAGCAGAGTCTCCACAATGAAAGATGCAGAAAAGAGAGCATATTTAGAGATTTATTCAACGTAGTTCAGAAAAAAGGAAAAACATGACTGCTTGCCTCCGTGTCCAGGAAAGCAGCCAGGATACAAAAGCTACACACAACGGAAGTTCCCAGCAGACAGTGCTGGGAGTAAACAGGCATGTGATACACAACAATCATGCCTGACCCTTTTAAGGTGGAATGGAACTATATCCTAACATCCTCCCCCTTTCCATGTAACCTGCAGTCCCTGTGGTTCAACCCAATTTCAACTTCTGTACATAAACCTTAAGTTGTTCTCTGTTAACAACCTTAGACAATAGAGCTGCAGGAATTTAATTTCCTGGCATGTAGGACACCTGAATGAGTCTGTAACCTGAAGCGTATGTAACCCGAGGTACCACTGTACATAAAATTCATCTTTTTCCAACTTCCCACTCCATTTTATGTGGTGTTTTAATTTCTCTTCCCACCCTCCTTCTGCACAATATCTTCAATGCTGTATTCTCTCATTTCTTCTGTTGCTCCTATTTCAAATCCCGCTCGTGAATTCATCATATTTATATAACATTTCTTTAAACAGTCCGAAAAAGGCTTCCATTCTTCAACAAAACAGTCATCGTCAAGTTCTCTTATTTATTTCAACCACCTTGGACGCTGCTTCGCCTTGCAAATGTGCTAGCGGTTTTATCACCAGGCCTTTTGCTTTTTTGAAATCCAATTTGCAAACATCCACGATGTGGATGCCTAGTCTCCTGTAGCCCTTAAAGGAAAGGAAAGGAGAAGCTCCTCTAAGGATTGAAATCAACCAGACCAGAAGCTGGCCGCAACCTGGGCTGGATCTAGACACATCAAAGAAGCGTTTCAGTTAAACGCGTTGTGAACTGTGCATGAGAAATTGGGTTGGCAAAAACTCCACAGCGCCATCTGGTGTCACAGTGCTATAATGCATATACAACGCATATAAAGCGCTTTTTCTTTGCTAGTGTAGCCGAGTCCCTAGTCTGATCTATTTCATCCTTCTGTTGCTTCCACGAGGAAGCGGCAGCAGTTACCGTATTTTTCGCTCCATAAGACACACTTTTTTCCTCTTAAAACCTAAGGGGAAATGTCTGTGTGTCTTATGGAGCGAATCTGTGGTCCCTGGGTTCCCCAGGGCTGGCGGTGAGGGAAGCTCGGCTTTCCCCACCGCCAGCCCCACAAGCCTTTCCGTTGCTCCCTGACCTGCTCTTTGGGTTGAGCAGCTCTGGGGTAGCCCACGAAGCCTCCACAGGGCAGCGGGGAGCCTTCATCCCGCTGCCCTGGGGAGGCTTCGCGCGGCTATCCCTGGCTTTTGTGGGAGGTGGAGGAAGGGACAGAGTGAGGCTCTCTCACTTCCCCCACCTCCCGCAAAAGCCCCCAAGAGCCGCATTTCCCCCCCCTTGAATTCCCCCCCCCCAAAAGTAGGTGCGCCTTATGGTCGGGTGCGCCTTATAGAGCGAAAAATACGGTAGGTGTGAAGAAAAAGTAGGAAACAGGCTTTTCCCACACAGGGAGCTCCCCCCAACCCCCCAAAAAACCATTATGCTGTACAATTATCGAGTTCCCCCTGCTAGATGAGGGCTACCGCAGTGGTAGTCAAAGGGGAAATTGCTCTTCTTCTTCCACAGGAATAATCAATGTGGACGCAGCCAAGAAGCTGAGCTCCAGAGGCAAGACTCACGGATTGGCACGGCCAGCCGGCCAGCCACGTGCTGTAAAAGGGCTGCTTACAGCACGGTACTGCGAGACACAAAACTCAGGGAGTTGGGGTGCTGTATTTTTTTTTAAGCATTCCTGCGCTTTTTTTTTTTACTTGGTAGCCTCCTGTGGTAATTGCTATATATGTGCTTCATTAATTAGATCTTAATTGCAAGGATCTCCTAGCTACTATATTATCATTAAGGAAGATTGCTCTTCTCAACCCATCGAAACAGAGTCAAATCAGCCAAATTATAGGGGAATGCGCCCTGGGAACATGCCATGCTCCCCCGCATCTTGGGCTGCGCTAAAGACTTCCTGAGGTGCCTCGCTGTAACCTGCACGTTGGGAATAGCCCAACACAGGCAGAATGCCACAGTCGTGTTTGCAGCAGCTGCAGAAAACAGGGTGCTAGATGATGAAATGGGTGCATAAGCCAAAAGGACAAGCAGAACAGCAGCAATGCATTCTGCAAAGCCAGGTGGCCATTCAGGCCCGAGAGACTCAAGGTGTGGCAAAAGCGAACTCACTCAGATGCCCTTTGCAAGACTTGCGAACTCTGCCACCCAACCCCACCCTCCTGGCCTTTTCCTACTTGCTATATCATGAACGAAGCTCTACCTCTCTATCAAATCAGAACCAGTGAAGGCGGTGAAGGTCCTGGAGGAGGTGGGAGGATGGATGGCAGCTAACAGATTGAGGTTGAATCCTGACAAGACAGAAGTACTGTTTTGGGGGGGACAAGGGGCGGGTGGGTGTCGAGGCCTTCTTGGTGGTGACACCTGCCCTGCGGAACGCCCTCCCACCAGATGTCAAGGAAATAAACAACTATCTGGCTTTTAGAAGACATTTGAAGGCAGCCCTGTTTAGGGAAGCTTTTAATGTTTGGTGTTTTGTTCTGTTTTTAGTCCTCTGTTGGGAGCTGACCAGAGTGGCTGGGGAAACCGAGACGGAAGGGCGGGGTATAAATAAAATTATTATTACAGTGGTACCTCAGGATGCGAGCGGGATCCATTCCGGAGCCCTGTTCGCATCCTGAATAGAACGTAAGATGCAACGGCGCGTCTGTGCGTGCGCGGGTTGTGTTTTGCCACTTCCACGCATGCGCGTGACATCATTTTGAACATCTGTGCATGTGTGAGCGGCGCAACCCGAAAGTAACGTGCTCCGTTACTTCCGGGTTGCCATGGAGCACAACCAAAAGCGCTCAACCTGAAGCACATTGAACCTGAGGTATGACTGTATTATTATTATTATTATTATTATTATTATTATTATTATTATTATTGAGCCAAGCCAATGGCTTTTGAGGAAGTAGGTCGTGCCCAAGCTCATCTGCAATGGGTTAAACAACATAGGCAGGTTCAACTGCACCTTGAGATGCAGTTTTCATCTCCTTCCATCATCAGCTGAGGAACTGGATGAAACTTCCAGCAGGTGATATCAGCCATGCACTAAATTAGGAGTGGAGAACCTTCTGTCCTCCATAAGTCATTGCTCTACAGCTGATCTCCCATCGTTCTGACCTTTGCACCATGCTGGCCAAGGGCAGTGCAGGTTGGGGAGTCGAACTTCATATTTGGAGGGCCACAGGGTTCCCCCATCTGTCCACTAAACAAACCTATCTACGAAAATGTCACACTAGGTAAAGGTAAAGGGACCCCAGACTATTAGGTCCAGTCATGACCGACTCTAGGGTTGTGGCGCTCATCTCGCTTTATTGGCTGAGGGAGCTGGTGTACAGCTTCCGGGTCATGTGGCCAGCATGACTAAGCCGCTTCTGGCAAACCAGAGCAGCGCACGGAAACGCCGTTTACCTTCCCGCCGGAGCGGTACCTATTTATCTACTTGCACTTTGATGTGCTTTCGAACTGCTAGGTTGGCAGGAGCAGGGACTGAGCAACGGGAGCTCACCCCGTTGCAGGGATTCAAACCGCCGACCTTCTGATCGGCAGGTCCTATGCTCTGTGGTTTAACCCACAGTGCCACCCGCGTCCCTAAATGTCACACTACTGAGCTGTAGCAAAAGGAAGTATTCAATAAACAGAATAATGCCTTCAGAGGATGGCCTCTAATTTGTAACTTGCTGCATCGCGGCATGCCAAAAGCAATCGTCCACGGCTTTTGCAAAGTTTTCCCTGTAAAGAGATTCTGGGCAATGATGAGTCATCGATACAGAGCAAGATAATTGCCTTTTCCAGAGGAGACACACGAGGTTTGAGCAAGCAGATTTGGAGCTGAAACTCTGGAAGACTTAGTTTGAATTTCTGTCTTTGGACGAATTAGCCAGGCAGCAGGAAGCCAGCCACCTTCTTGCAGGGGGACAGTAATAATGCCCTAACTTGCAGGATTTCTATAAGGGGTGTTAGGTGAATCATTTTTAAAATGGATGAGAGCTGGGGAGACTCTAGCAAGTTGCCACCTGATGCTGTCGTGGTGTCAGTGACTGACAGGTGAACAGCCACCTGCCAATGGAAGGAGGTCACACTTATTCGACTCCACCGTTCCAGTTATTCTACTCCTGTAGTGATGAAAATACAGCTCTCACTCTCTCTCTCTCTTCCCCCACCCCACCCCCCGCTAAAAGGAGGGTTTGGATGAATTTCTCCTTCCAGGGACACCTGACTCGTCCCCGCTGTTATTGTATTTTAGTGTTCTGTTGGAAGCCGCCCAGAGTGGCTGGGGAAACCCAGCCAGATGGGCAGGGTATAAATAAATACCTGAAGAAGAAGAAGAGTTTGGATTTGATATCCCACTTTATCACTACCTGAAGGTGTCTCAAAGCGGCTAACATTCTCCTTTCCCTTCCTCCCCCACAACAAACACCCTGTGAGGTGAGTGGGGCTGAGAGACTTCAGAGAAGTGTGACTGGCCCAAGGTCACCCAGCAGCTGCATGTGGAGGAGCGGAGACGCGAACCCGGTTCCCCAGATTACGAGACTACCGCTCTTAACCACTACACCTGGGGACCGCCTCTCCCGGTATGCCCCACGGAGAGCCTCAAGGTCCATAAATAGCAACACCCTAGAGGTCCCGGGCCCTAAGGAAGTTAGATTAGCTTCAACCAGAGCCAGGGCCTTTTCAACTCTGGCTCCGGTCTGGTGGAACGCTCTGCCTCATGAGACCAGGGCCCTGCAGGATCTGATTTCTTTCCGCAGGGCCTGTAAGACAGAGTTGTTCCGCCTGACCTTTGGCTTGGAGCCAATTTGATTCCCTCCCCCTCTTTCTTTTTCCTTTTTTCTTTCTCCTCCTGTGATGAGGCTGCATTTTAATATTTTAATGTTTCAATATTTTAATGTTGTATTTTAATCTCGTTTTTAAGTTGTATTCGTTCAACTTATTTTTATTATTGCTTGTTAGCCACCCTGAGCCCAGCCTTGGCTGGGGAAGGCGGGGTATAAATAAAAATTATTATTATTATTATTACTCCCGCTAATCTGTGCCGCACAGCAGCTCCGCTTACCTTTTCCACGACTAAGTCATAGAGAAGTGTCACAATGCGGATGTGCAACATCTCCGTCCCTTTCTCTGTGCAGAGATGCCGAAGCACTTGAAGGCCTCCAAGCTTGAGGAACTGCTGCTGAGCGTAGGGAAACTGCCGCAGCATGGACGACAAAGCAAAGAGAGCCTGGGAAGAAACACAACAAGGGCGTTGGCGACGCTTCTGGTCTGCCAAAAGCTTTCCCGCACAACTCCTCCGGCACGTGCCCCCCGACACCTCCTTTGCCCCTAATAAACAATTTGTCTATACAGTGGTACCTCGAGTTAAGTACAGTGGTGCCCCGCAAGACGAATGCCTCGCAAGACGGAAAACCCGCTAGACGAAAGGGTTTTCCGTTTTTGAGTTGCTTCGCAGGACGAATTTCCCTATGGGCTTGCTTCGCAAGACGAAAATGTCTTGCGAGTCTTGAGATTTTTTTTCTCGCTTTTCCCCCCCTTTATCTAAGCCGCTAAGCCTTTAATAGCCTTTTAGCAGCTAATCCGCTAATCCGCTAAGCCTTTAATAGCTGCTAAACCGCTAATAGCGCTAATCCGCTAAGCCGCTAATAGGGTTGCTTCGCAAGACGAAAAAACCGCTAGACGAAGACACTCGCGGAACGGATTAATTTCGTCTTGCGAGGCACCACTGTACCATTCATTCCAGAGGTCTGTTCTTAACCTGAAACTGTTCTTAACCTGAAGCACCACTTTAGCTAATGGGGCCTCCCGCTGCCACCACGCTGCTGGAGCACGATTTCTGTTCTCAACCTGTTCTTAACCCGAGGTAATATTTCTGGGTTAGCGGAGTCTGTAACCTGAAGTGTATGTAACCCGAGGTACCACTGTATTTTCATCACGGTTTCGCTTTGGGGAATTCGTAGAGCCAGAGTCTGAAGGAATCCACTAAAGAGGTTTTCGCTCCGGGACACGGCCTCAAAGATTATAATAACAGTCATTTATAAATAACAATACTTTTTGGTTTCTGAAAATGCCCAGGAACCTGGCATTCCCTACTGGCTTCACAATATTTTGCAGACTTTCACAGACCCCCACCCCCTACGCAGACCGAGTAGAAAACAGGCTCTCTTCCCTCGCACAGCTATCTCTTCTCCATCACCAATGCTAGGTTTTCTTCTTTCCTTCCTTCCTTTTCTCTTATTATAAAAATCTTTCAATAAATTATTATTATTATTACTACTACAGTGGTACCTCGGGTTAAGAACTTAATTCGTTCTGGAGGTCCGTTCTTAACCTGAATTGTTCTTTTTTTAAAAAATAATTTTTATTGATTTTCCAATAAAAAACCATCCAATTGAATATCCAATCATAATACAGTGGTGCCTCGCAAGACGAAATTAATTCGTTCTGCGAGTTTTTTCGTCTTGCGAAGCAGGGTTTTAATGGTATTAACAGTTTTAAGAAAAAGGAAACAAACTCGCAAGACGTTTTCCTCTTGCGAAGCAAGCCCATAGGGAAATTCGTCTTGCGAAGCAACTCAAAAAACGAAAAACTCTTTCGTCTTGCGAGTTTTTCGTCTTGCGAGGCATTCGTCTTGCGAGGTACCACTGTACTTCAATGAAAATAAAAAACTACAATAAAATAAAATAAAAAAATTATAGTCCAAATTGTATTTATTAATTTCTCGGAGTTCCCCACGGTCTGGATCTCTGAAGCATATCTCCACATCTTAGTCCTGCTTCTCCTAACCTGAAACTGTTCTTAACCTGAGACACCACTTTAGCTAACGTGGCCTTCCGCTGTCGCCGCGCAATTTCTGTTCTCATCCTGAAGCAAAGTTCTTAACCCGAGATACTATTTCTGGGTTAGCAGAGTCTGTAACCTGAAGCGTATGTAACCTGAAGCATCTATAACCTGAGGTACCACTGTACTAGTAGTAGTAGTTGTAGTAGTAGAATACAAGTTCTGCCTCTTCCCATTTTTATGAAGCTACATAGAAGGGGGGCACTTTTAAAAGCTAGAAGAAGCCAAGTGGAAGGAAGGGACTTTGATCAGATGGAAGAGCAGGGAAACTTTAGGCGTTCTGAGCTGCGTAGCATGAGGCTGGGGCTGGCTGGAGAGACACAGAGCCTTTCCACATGTTTCAATTAGCAGCCATAGGAGAGATCCCAATAAAGCTCTCTGGATAGAATTTTATTTAGACACAATTTCAGGGTGACATTTCGGATGGAAACCGCATACAACCCGAGGACTGCGGAACTCCTTTGGCTCTTCTGCATGTATTATAAAACGTGGAAGATGGTGCCCTCTGGTTAGAGTCCCAGAAAATCAGAGCTCCCGGCTTGCCCTCGACAGCCAATGTTAAACGTCTTCCCGTGCTCTTTCTAGGAAGAAATGAGCACGCAGGGTCCTGTCCCCTCCAGTTCAGCTTCTTCATCTATTACTTTCTCTCCAGCAATTTAGCGGGTGCTTCTTCTTCTTCCTCCTCCTCCTCTTCTTTATCTAGGCTGCAGCAAAGCTAGGCTGTGATGTTTCAATTCCCACTGCACCGCAAATCAGTGGGAAGTAAATCTCAATCATGTTCTCGCTGTACTGGAATTTTGAGGGGTGTTAAGGGATGCGGATGGCGCTGTGGGTTAAACCACAGAGCCTAGGACTTGCTGATCGGAAGGTTGGCGGTTCGAATCCCTGCGACGGGATGAGCTCCCGTTGCTTGGTCCCTGCTCCTGCCAACCTAGCAGTTCAAAAGCACATCAAAGTGCATGTAGATAAATAGGTACCACTCCAGTGGGAACGTAAACGGCGTTTCCGTGCGCTGCTCTGGTTCGCCAGAAGTGGCTTAGTCATGCTGGCCACATGACCCGGAAGCTGTACGCTGGCTCCCTAGGCCTGTAAAGCGAGATGAGCGCCGCAACCCCAGAGTCGGTCGCGACTGGACCTAAAGGTCAGGGGTCCCTTTACCTTTACCTTTAAGCACTGCGCCCTGGGTTAAATGCTAATGCAAGGCACAGTCCCGACGAGTGCTGATCCAATCTTCCTTTTGTTCAGAGCAGGGATAGGAAGAAATTCTGTGTGGAGGGTGGACAGGTAGCGTCAGGTCTGCCAGTTCCTCACTCAAACTGCTGCCTCATAAAAAGGAGCGCCCCTTTGCAGACTACACACAGTCGCTAGCAGCCCTTTTATTATTATTTGGTTTTGCTGGAGGACGTATACCTCACGGAAAACCTACAAATCTGACTTCCTAGCGAGACATCTTGCAACGTCCTCCCTTTCTGGCCACGTCTCGCCCTCTCTTGTGGCCCTTACTAGCGATTCCCCTTTCGCTTTTACAATTCTTCAGAGCTGTTTTCCCACAAAGTCACGTGTCAATCACCCCTTGCTATTTTCTCCAGCAGCTCTGTGTGTTTGTGTGTTGGGGCGAGGAAGGACACAGTCACAGACAATCAGGTGACCCCTCCTTACCAGGGCTGCTTGCCTGCAATGGAGACAGTCCAAAGCATTGACACAGAAATACTCTGCAGGATCTTAGCGCGTGCCAAGGGGCTTGAGACACCTGGATAGGTTAATTGGGCTGGCCTGAAGTCCTTGGGGTTAAAATCCCCATGCCTCCTCAGGACCCAGCAAGAGTTAGAGCCAATCCTTTTACAGCAGCCTGTCTCCAAGGCAAGCTTGCAGTAGGATGTGAGCTATGGCTTATTAATGAGCCTTCCTATGTAGCTTCTTTAGGGGGCTGTGAAGAAGAAGAAGAAGAAGAAGAAGAAGAAGAAGAAGAAGAAGAAGAAGAAGAAGAAGAGTAGTAGTTTGGATTTGATATCCCGCTTTATCCCTGGAGTCTCAAAGCGGCTAACAATCTCCTTTCCCTTCCTCCCCCACAACAAACACTCTGTGAGGTGAGTGGGGCTGAGAGACTTCAGAGAAGTGTGACTGGCCCAAGGTCACCCAGCAGCTGCATGTGGAGGAGCGGGGAATCGAACCCGGTTCACCAGATTACAAGTCTACCGCTCTTAACCACTACACCACACTGGCTCTCAGGGGTCAAACCATCACAAGAGGTATTGAGCAAGTACAGTGGTACCTCGGGTTAAGAACTTAATTCGTTCTGGAGGTCCGTTCTTAATCTGAAACTGTTCTTAACCTGAGGTACCACTTTAGCTAATGGGGCCTCCTGCTGCCGGAGCACGATTTCTGTTCTTATCCTGAAGCAAAGTTCTTAACCCGAGGTACTATTTCTGGGTTAGTGGAGTCTGTAACCTGAAGCATCTGTAACCTGAAGCGTCTGTAACCCGAGGTACCGCTGTACTTTGCAACTTGGGAGAACCAGTCAGCAGTGAGCATGGTGTGAATATTTATCTTTATTTGTGTGTCTGTTGCATTTCAATCCCGCCCTTTTCTTCAAGGAGCTCAAGGTGGCACTACATGGTGTGGCGTTTGCCCTCCTAGGTGTGTGACATCATACTGGGTTCATAAGGAAAGGGTTAACTAATTGTAAAATGACTAACCAATGGGAACCCAAGGGGAGGAGTTAGGAGTTAGAGTTGTTGAGAAGTCAGTCTGGAGTTAGAGAAGAGGCAGAGAGGATAAGTCTGTGGGTTGGCTAGTCTGATGTGAGAGAGGGAGAGAATCTGTTAAGAGGAGTCAGTCAAACAGTAGAGATAATCAGTCAGAAGGTATCAGGAAGGTATAGGCCGGCAAAGAAACTAAAGTTAAGAAAATGACAGGAATATTATCTGAGAAACCATAAACTTGTTAAGGCTTATAAAATAAACTTGTTTATTTGGTTCACTTTTAACAACTGTCTGGACTCAGTGTTTTACCCGAGAGTAACAGGTTGGTGGCAGCGGGGAAGCGAGCACAGTGGTGGCACAGGGATCAATAGACCGTTAAACGTCCGGGGACCCTGTGTGATCCCCACAAAAGGTTCTTCCCTTCTTCGTTTAATCCCCACAAGAACCACGTGAGGCAGATTAGTCTGAGAGGCAGTGACTGGCCCAAAGTCACCCAGTGAGTTCCATGGATGAGTGGGGATTTGAACCCTGGTCTCCAGAGGTCTGACACTCCAACCACTGTAGCACATTGGTTCTCGAAGCAATTTGCAGAACAAGCCCTCTAGTGCAGTAAAATGGAGGTGGTGGAGGAGGAGGAGGAGGTGGAGAAGAAGAAGAAGAAGAAGAAGATGAAGATGAAGATGAAGAAGAGGAAGAAGAAGAAGAAGAGGAAGAAGAAGAGGAGGAGGAGGAGGAGGAAGAAGAAGAAGAAGAAGAAGAAGAAGAAATAATTCCAAACACAAACACACACCCCTCTACTATGTGGATGCTGCTAAACACCTGAGATGGAGACAAACATTAGAAACAAAACAAAAAACCCGACAATATACTACAAGAACGTAACTTTGGTGGACTGAACGAGGACGTTCTCCACTCTCTGCCTTCCTTCCCTCCAGGAGACGGTTAGAACACTTTGTCAGATTAACAATACACTCAGTGCAGCTTTCAGGAACATGCCGTAAATATATTTCAGCTTTATATAAGGGTCTGCATCTAGTGAGGGAATCTCCCCCGGGAAGCATTTCACTGTTACATGAACCTATCCATCAGTCTCTTGTACCTTTTTTTGTTTCCCTGTGGCAAGCACACATCCAGAGAAACTGGGGGTTCTAAACACGGGGAGAAGGGAGACCTATCCCAGGGCAGCCTTTGTAACATTCTTGGCAGTGCAGCCCTGAATACAGTAGAGCCTCACGAATTAATACAAGGCGATACCTATTTACTCTGCTGTTGCAAAAGGGTCTCTGAATTAAACGCAGAGGCTCGGAGGTTTATGGGGGAACATTTGTGGCTGGCAACAACAACTGTAACTCTGCTGGATAAGATAAGGGTAACTGGATCTCATGCACCAGGGAATAAATTGATCGCTGAAGAAGCAGCAAAGCACCGACCCTCTCGGGCCCATCAGTCCTGAACATTTAGCTGGGGGCTTTATCAGGCCTTGCCCCTTACAAAAGCATCCGATATTGGTCACTGCTGGAGGCAGATTACTGAACTGCATGAAGCAATTATCTCATCCCCTGAATGTCTACTCCGATGTTCGTTAGCCTCCGAAATTCAAGCCTGCCAGTGGGCTGAGTTAAGTCTCCTTCCTCAAAGTCTGTACCGTACAGGGCAATCTGCCCCGCAGCGCTCTAGAAAACAGACCACGCAATGAGAGCGCCTTCCCTTTCAAAGAGCCTCGGTGCTGCGGTCGCAATCACAAAAAGCCAATCCTAGCAAATGGCAATGTAATCCAGGAATGAGCATGCAATTGTGCTTCCTTTATAATTCCCAGAGAATAGCCATGCTCGAATTATTGTTGTTGTTGTTATTAATATTGCAGCAGAGAATAAATTCAATTAGCACAACGTAAGAACTAAAGACAACTGGAATACAGTGGTACCTCGAGGTTACAGACGCTTCAGGTTACAGACTCTGCTAACCCAGAAATAGTACCTCGGGTTAAGAACTTTGCTTCAGGATGAGAACAGAAATCGTGCTCCGGCAGTGCCGCGGCAGCAGTAGGCCCCATTAGCTAAAGTGGTGCTTCAGGTTAAGAACAGTTTCAGGCTAAGAACAGACCTCCAGAACAAATTAAGTTCTTAACCCAAGGCACCACTGTACATAAAGACCCTTGCACATGATGGCTATACATTGACTCCAGTTAACAGACGCAGCCTGCCCTCCCTACATTCTTATGAAATGTTGGACTTTCACCCAATTGTAGAGTTGGAAGAGACCTCGAGGGCCAGTGTGGTGTAGTGGTTAAGAGCGGTGGACTCGTAATCTGGTGAATCGGGTTCGCTTCCCCGCTCCTCCACATGCAGCTGCTGGGTGACCTTGGGCTAGTCACACTTCTCTGAAGTCTCTCAGCCCCACTCACCTCACAGGGTGTTTGTTGTGGGGGAGGAAGGGAAAGGAGAATGTGAGCCGCTTTGAGACTCCTTTGGGTAGTGATAAAGCGGGATATCAAATCCAAACTCTTCTTCTTCTCCTCCTCTAGTCCAACCCCCTGCAATTGCAGGAATATGCAGCTGTTCCCATACCAGGATCAAACCCGCAGCCTTGATTGCCGTGAAAAATTAATTTGAAATAATCAGGTGCCCAGTTTTGCCAGTAGGAGGTGGAACCTAGATGTACTTGCTTTTCCTTATCTTGGGATCCTATTCAGATTAGAGGACAGAGGAGAACCCAACAAAAAGTGTGTGGAAGGGGGAACGTGTTAATATAATATATCTCTAATATATCTCTAGGCCACACATACTCCCATCTCACTGTTTCCTGCTCTCTCAAAGCTAATTTTATTTCAAAATACAGCATTGGAGCTCTGGGGCATGCTTTAGATTGTAGCTGACTGAGAATTTGGTTCACGGTGGAATAGGAAGGACATTTTTTTCAGATCCCACAAGGAGAAAAATGTGCTCGGACCTACACACGTGACATACAAAAGGCGGCAGAGGATAACCAACTTCCTGAGTAAATTTGCAATCCTGATAAGGTTGCAAATAGTCCTGCAAAACCCATCTTCTACAAGCACCCAACACTGAACTAATTCAGCACGAAAATATATATAATATAGTATTTTCCCTCCATAGTGTCATTTTCAATCTAACATATGCTGGGAACCACTGGGACAGATGCCTCTCTAAGTGGTCTGATACTATAGCTGTGCAAAAGCACGTCAGATAACCGGCCCTCTCAAATTAAGTGAGATTATCAAGTCTGGAAATGATTAGGTCTGGCTATTGCAGGAGGAAGATTGCAGCCTAAGGAGCTAAACTTAGCTGTCCAGTGAAGGGATGCAACCATTTTTAATTTGAGGGGTGACTCTTGTTCGGTGCATTGGCCTGATCTGTTTGCACAGCCAAAACACAACCTAGCCTTAGGTCTACGTACGTCCACCTACAGAGGTCTACAGGCGTTCTCGTACAAAATGCAATTATCCAAGCTGCTCCTGAAAGACAGCCAAGCACATATTGCTCTCCCCTTACCTTTTTCTTCACAGCCAGGGGCTGATCTGTGGCCAAAATCACCAGCAGTTTTTGCAAAGCGCCTCCCTCAATCGCAGCGACTTGTATTTTGGGGTTGCTGGGAAGAGAAATGGAACTCATTAGGCTCAGAGATACTTCGGTGTCCTGTAAATTTTGCTGCAATCCAACTTCTACAAAAGACAATTGCAGGGCAGGTAAAGATACTGCAAGGTTTTAAATGAAGCCCTTGAGTCCTATTGCTGTCATTCTAAAGCGTCCATTTTTATTTTGCCTCACAAGGCGCCACCTGCTGACTGAAAATGCAAGCAGCTCTAGTTCATTTCTCACACGGAGTATATACCGTATATTTTGCTCTATAGGACTCACTTTTTCCCTCCTAAAAAGTAAGGGGAAATGTGTGTGCGTCTTATCCCAGAAGCCAGAACAGCAAGAGGGATTGCTGCTTTAACTGCATAGCGATCCCTCTTGCTGTTCTGGCTTCTGAGATTCAGATTTTTTTTTTCTTGTTTTCCTCCTCCAAATACAGTGGTGCCTCGCAAGACGAAATTAATCCGTTCCGCGAGAGTCTTCGTCTAGCGGTTTTTTCGTCTTGCGAAGCAACCCTATTAGCGGCTTAACGGATTAGCGCTATTAGCGGTTTAGCGGCTATTAAAGGCTTAAAGGCTTAGGGATTAGCTGCTAAAAGGCTATTAAAGGCTATTAAAGGCTTAGCAGATTAGATAAAGGGGGAAGCGAAAAAAAAATCTCTAGACTCGCAAGACATTTTCGTCTTGCGAAGCAAGCCCATAGGGAAATTCGTCCTGCGAAGCAACTCAAAAACGGAAAACCCTTTCGTCTAGCGGGTTTCCCGTCTTGCGAGGCATTCGTCTTGCGGGGCACCACTGTACTAGGTGCGTCTGGTGGTCTGGTGCGTCTTATAGAGCGAAAAATACGGTATTTACCTGTGTGGAATACGCACGTCTGCAGAAATAAACAGGAACCCCACCAAACAAAAACAACGAAGTTACTTGCCAGCTGTTGCATGCTCAATAGCGAAGGGATCATCTTGCCTTAATAGGATTTCATCAGACAATTTGGTCATCTTAGCATCACAGCGCAAGAAAGACGTTCTTATGTTTCCCTCCTGGTCAGAATGGCTAAAGACCAAAAGGGTGCGTCTGGTTTACACCTCCGTAGTTACAAGGGAGGATGTGTAACATCTGCAAGAGGCTAGAGGAGGAGCACGACAATCTTGAGGCTTCCTCCTCTCCATTTTCCCATCCAAATCGTTGCACGGGACAAAGGGTGTGTCCATTTGGAAACTCCCAAGTCCGGAGCATGTGAGCTCGCAATGCCGCCACATGCAACTTCTGCAACATCTTGTGTGCTGGGAATACAAAACCATGTCCCCCGTTCACACGGGAACACTCAACGTGGAGCATCAAGACTTTACGAGGTTAATTCATTCGAAATAATAGGTAAGGTAAAAAAAAGGTAAAGGACCCCTGGACAGTGAAGTCCAGTCAAAGGCGACTATGGGGTTGCGGCGCTCATCTCCCTTTCAGGCCAAGGGAGCCGGCGTTTGTCCACAGACAGCTTTCCGGGTCCTGTGGCCAGCAGGACTAAACCGCTTCTGGCGCAACGGGACACTGTGACGGAAACGAGCTCACGGAAACGTCGTTTACCTTCCCGCCATAGCAGTACCTATTTATCTACTCACACTGGTGTGCTTTCGAACGGCTAGGTTGGCAGGAGCTGGGACAGAGCAACGGGAGCTCACCCTGTCACGGAGATTTGAACCGCTGACCTTCTGATCGGCAGGCCCAAGAGGCTCAGTGGTTTATACCACAACGCCACCCAGGTCCGTTTTATTTCATTTTAAATAATAACTGCAGATGGGAATTAGGTAATGAACTGAAATAAGCCGAAAATAAAGGAACAATGAATTGTGACGAAGGGGATATGCAACAGGTAGAAAGTATGCTATATAATGCAGCAGGAAAGGGCAGGAATGGAAACCCCTGGGAAGAAGGGCGGGAAGTCAGCTTATAAAAATTCTTTTGAATTTGTATTGAATTTGAAGTTGAATTGTTAAAAAAATCTTTGAAACACAATCAAAATTAATTGGGGGGGAAAGGAGACTTTGCTAGGTTATTTTAAATGTCAAAATAAGAGGTGCCACACTAAGTATCAAATTTGTTCTTGCTGGAAGTCAGATCATGCAAGAACCCCTTTTGTTTGTTGCATTTATGCCCACTTTCCCCCCTCCTCATTTAATCCCCACGACAACCCTGTGAGGTAGGTCAGGCGCTGAGAGTCAATGACTGGTCCAAGGTCATGCAGGGACCTTCATGGAGAGATCTGAACCTTCATACCAAAGTCCCAGGTTGACACTCTAACCACTACGCCACGCTGCCTCAAAAAGCTTCCGCTCTGAGCAATGGCCTCTTGGGAAGAGGAGGATTTAGGCAACAAAATGCAGCGTGGGCATGAATGGATGAAGGCAAGTCAACAGAAGAACAGGACAAGATTGCAGTTAGATTGAGAAACAACCAGGCCCTTAGACCAGTGTCTTTGCTGAGGTCTCAGTAAGAAAGAAGGGAAGTATTTTTGTAATGCTGGAAACAGAAAAGCGATATCATGTGACAGAAAGAGAAGGATCAAGGAGTGGAGAGAAATCAAGCTTTCTGTTCATGATAGGCAACATTCTTAATTGATAAGGAGAATGGAGAGTCTTTCTTCCTTTTAGTCAGGGGTAGGCAAAACGAAGATCATGGCCACTGGGCCCATCACCTCCTGGCAAATAGAAGGGGAAGAAATGGAGGCAGTGAGAGATTTTACTTTCTTGGGCTCCATGATCACTGCAGACGGTGACAGCAGTCACGAAATTAAAAGACACCTGCTTCTTGGGAGAAAAGCTATGACAAACCTAGACCGCATCTTAAAAATCAGAGACATCACCTTGCCAACAAAGGTCCGTATAGTTAAAGCGATGGTTTTCCCAGTAGTGATGTATGGAAGTGAGAGCTGGACCATAAAGAAGGCTGATCGCCAAAAAATTGATGCTTTTGAATTCTGGTGCTGGAGGAGACTCTTGAGAGTCCCATGGACTGCAAGAAGATCAAACCGATCCATTCTGAAGGAAATCAGCCCTGAGTGCTCACCGGAAGAACAGATCCTGAAGCTGAGGCTCCGATACTTTGGCCACTTCATGAGAAGAGAAGACTCCCTGGGAAAGACCCTGATATTGGGAAAGATGGAGGGCACAAGGAGAAGGGGCGACAGAGTACGAGATGGTGGGACAGTGTTCTCGAAGCTACAAACATGAGTCTGACCAAACTGCGGGAGACACTGGAAGACAGGAGTGCCTGGTGTGCTCTGGTCCATGGGGTCACGAAGAGTCGGACACGACTAAACGAGTAAACAATCACAACAGGCAACCTAAGGTCTGTGGGCCAGATGCGGCCCAATCACCTTCTCAATCCGGCACATAGACGGTCCAGGAATCAGCATGTTTTTACATGAGTAGAATGTGTCCTTTTATTTAAAATGCATCTCTGGGTTATTTGTGGGGCCGCCTGGTGTTTTTACATGACTAGAATGTGTGCTTTTATTTCAAATGCATCTCTGCGTTATTTGTGGGGCATAGGAATTCGTTCATTTATTTATTTTTTCAAAAGATAGTCCGGCCCCCCACAAGGTCTGAGGGACGGTGGACCGGCCCATGGCTGAAAACGGTTGCTGACCCCTGCTTTTAGTAGTGTTTCTTGTAGGCTTTATGTAAACTTCCATTGCGAGCAAAGGCATAAGGACCTCGTTGAATATGAAATAATGGTTATGCACCTTTGGGCTTGCAGTGAACTGCAATGAACATTTCCAGTTCTTATCGAGGCGAAAGGCTTTGGAAGAAAGAGGCATCTGAAAAAATGGCAGCGGGAAGGAAACAAGCCTTTTAATGTAAGCAAGAAGTGCCTGCTACCGCATGAGCTTAATACGCAAGAAACATTTCAGGACCGTAAGCGGCAGATGGATGTTGGAAAACCACTGTATAATCAAGCAATGCAACTGGAAGTGAAATATGACTAGCGTAACTTGAACCAGTGGAAATGAGATGGAGGCCGTAAGGGGCACATGAGGCATTTGGGCTGAGGCTTTAAGTGTCACAGCAACTTGTTCATAAAACACTCCGCCACAGATTGCTGCTTCAGCGAGGGAATCTCTCCCCCTACCCCAGAGTTTCATTTTTACAGATTATTCCATTAATCTGCTCACTTAAATGTCACATCTGTTCCTTAATATTTTTAATTCAAGCTCATTTTCCACCTCTCCTTGGCTCTTCTGTTTCGATTAACTTGACGATTTATTTAAACACTTATTATCCGGGGCTGCATAATCTTATTCTCAGATCAGTCTTTCAGCTCGGAGAGAATAGGTGCTTCCTCCACAAAAGTCAAGGTGCACCCAGTCATATGCCGTTTCCCTCGAGGACCGAGAGAGGAAAAAATGGGCTGAATTCTCTGGAGATCAGTTGGCATTGCAATTCTTCCCTATCACACAACTTTCAGACTTCGCCTTTATTCCACGGAGCTAAATGCATCTTAAAAAGCAGAGACATCACCAACAAAGGTCCGTATAGTAAAAGCTATGGTTTTCCCAGTAGTGATGTATGAAAGTGAGAGCTGGACCATAAAGAAGGCTGATCGCCAAAGAATTGATGCTTTTGAATTATGGTGCTGGAGGAGACTCTTGAGAGTCCCATGGACTGCAAGAAGATTAAACCTATCCATTCTGAAGGAAATCAGCCCTGAGTGCTCACTGGAAGGACAGATCGTGACGCTGAGGCTCCAATACTTTGGCCACCTCATTAGAAGAAAAGACTCCCTGGAAAAGACCCAGATGTTGGGAAAGATGGAGGGCACAAGGTGAAGGGGACGACAGAGGACGAGATGGTGGGACAGTGTTCTCGAAGCTACCAGCATGAGTTTGACCAAACTGCGGGAGGCAGTGGAAGACAGGAGTGCCTGGCGTGCTCTGGTCCAGGGGGTCACGAAGAGTCGGAAACGACTAAACGACTAAACAACAAAACCAAAATGAAGTCTCAGACCTGTTTTGCTTCATCAAAACTGCAGCAGCAGTATGAGCCTTCAGATCATGCAAAACTACCCGTCTCTAGAAGATCCAGGGCTCTTCCAAAGCAGTTCCTCTGTTCTGAATGCCGCATTAATGGACAAACGATACACGATGAGTGATAGTCAATGTTAGTCATGATCAGAGTAGATCCATTGAAATCAACAGGCTTAAGTTACTTGTGCAATGGGATTTCAATGGGTCTACTCAGAGCATGACTAGCAGCGGCTATCACCCCCATGTTATGTGCTTAATTTGCCTATTGGGAAAGTGCCTTTCACAACCCTCAGACTCAACTGGGTCCACTGGGAGCCATTTGAAACAGAAGTAGCATGATTTTCAATAAGCATGTTACCATTTGTCAAATTTCCTTCTTAATCGGGCCAACTGGACGCGGGTGGCGCTGTGGGTTAAACCACAGAGCCTAGGACTTGCCGATCAGAAGGTCGGCAGTTCGAATCCCCGCGAGCTCCCGTTGCTCGGTCCCTGCTCCTGCCAACCTAGCAGTTTGAAAGCACGTCAAAGTGCAAGTAGATAAGTAGGTACTGCTCCGGTGGGAAGGTAAACGGCGTTTCCGTGCACTGCTCTGTTTCACCATAAGCGGCTTAATCATGCTGGCCACATGACCCGGAAGCTGTACGCCGACTCCCTCGGCCAGTAAAGCGAGATGAGCGCCACAACCCCAGAGTCAGCCATGACTGGACCTAATGGTCAGGGGTCCCTTTAAGGTCCTCCTGACCTGGACCGTAATGTGTGGCAGAGAAACAAAAGACCCTACCCTGTGATTTCACAACAGGCCCATGTGTTAGGATTAGACTGACAGATACTGCTATTTAACTGTCAAATTGAAATAGGTTTAGGAGAGATGAAATCATATCCAAAAAAGTGCTGAATTTGCTTCCCTCCCTGTAACCTCTTGCCAGTGATATTATACATATGGTCTTTTATACGTGAAACACTTGATCCATATAAATGCACTCAGCTGCAAGAATATTTAAGTCTCCTTCGCGCAATCAGACAAAACACGCCCCAGCTCAGTTCTATCCTTCGCATAATGCACTTGCAACCCTGACTCAACAACCCTCATTTTTAATGATGTTTTGTATTGTGTTTTTAATGTGTTATCCTACTAGCACTCAGAAATGCAAACAGGATTTCGGGTCCCCAGTATACTGTCTGGGAATCAGGCCCCTGCATCCCCTCACCCCAAATCAACCTATCGACAAGATCTGCTGCTTATGTACTTATATATTCACTTAACTCTAGCCTACTTCACAGGGTTTCCGCAAATATAAAAGGGGGAGGATCACGTACATAACCTTGTGCTCCTAGGTGGAAAATATACAAATATACGTCGCACAGTATAGATATATACACACACACAACACTCTGACAACCTCAAGAAACAAAAAATAATCCTTGTGTAAAAGCACAGTCAAATAGGAATTTTAATTATAGGATTTATTTACAATTATTTGCTGCTTTGTGAGGGCACACTTCTAAGTCCCAGTTACGGGTGGTCAACATTCCTTCCTCTGACTGCTAAGCAACCGCGATTAAGCATCCTTAGCAATGGTGCTGCCTGCTGAGCCAACACCTTAAAGCTGCCTCTGTGTTTTGTTTTCTAACTTTCTTTAGGAGTGTCTGATTGACTTATTTTTTTAAGAAAGCTAAGTGTCTGGAGTCCCTGCTAGCTTGGGGCCTGGTACATGTGCACCCCCCTTTACCCCCCCCAATCGGCAGCCCTGCTAGCACTTAACTGTTGGAGGTATGCGATGGGGGCAGGGAATTATGATTGCTGGTGTTGCTATTTGTATTTGATCAATTTAAGCCGATTTTTCTTAAGAGCTGGTCCAGCACAGGAGAGGGTTCCCTACTCCTACTCTGTTGTCTATTAAAAAGTTGGAAACATGCACCGAATACTGCAAGTGGCACTACAATCCCCATCATCCCTCACTACTGGTCCTGCCAGCGAGGGATGATGAGAGTTGTAGTCCAAAGCCACTTCCGCCCTTCGGAGGAGGTGGAGTTGTGGGCTTCATGGCCCCACCATGCGTGCGGCGGCTGGAACCCAGCCCCCGCACGATTGGGGGGATTCCCAGCTGCGTCACCTCCTGACCAGCCAATCGGCTGGCTCTGGGGGTGTGGCCTGCCTTATTTAAAGCAGGACGTGGCCGGGGATCTCCCTTTTTGCCGCCTGCCAGCTTTTCCCACCCTATAAGGTTTTCGTTCTTTGACCTTGCTATGGACCTTGGTTGGTCGCCGTTGAGGGGTCTGGTAGGAATTTTTCCACTTGACAAACTGGCACCAGCCACTTGGCTTTCGCCTACCTCGCAACAAATCATCACAGTTTTCTTGGTATTGACGGTTAGGCATTGGTATTGTTCTATAGATGGAAGAGGGGAGGTAGCGCCATCACCTGCCCCGCGTATTGAAGGGTAGTCCGATAAAGGATTCTGGGGGGCGTGGCCCTGTCTGAAGCCTAGGGAGGTGAAGCCTAAGGCATTCCCCCTATCGGTGACGCCGGGGGAGTTCCTAGTTGATGTGAATCGGCAGGACTCCCCCTACTGGTGGTTAACCCTTTCCGGACTTCAAGAGGATGGGCTGAAGTCGGATATACAGTGGCACCTCGGGTTAAGTACTTAATTCGTTCCAGAGGTCTGTTCTTAACCTGAAACTGTTCTTAACCTGAAGCACCACTTTAGCTAATAGGGCCTCCCGCTGCCGCCACGCTGCCAGAGCACAATTTCTGTTCTCATCCTGAAGCAAAGTTCTTAACCCGAGGTATTATTTCAGGGTTAGCGGAGTCTGTAACCTGAAGCGTCTGTAACCTGAAGTGTATGTAACCCGAGGTACCACTGTAATAGGTTAGGACCAATGCCTAAGCCAATACTGCTCATCACCTGTAACCAATAAAGTTGTGGCCTTATCTAGCCCATTAACCTTAATAATTGTGTCATGTGTCATTATTTGCACTGGGGGGGGCGGGAACTCGCCACGCAAACTAGAGCTGGAGACTGTAGTTTGGGAAACACTAGATTAGAAGAACTCCCCACCCCAGCCTGCCCGGCTTCAGCATCAAACCTGAACAATGGCCGCTTTTAGGTGCCCCCTCCTACTGCTGCAGCAAACCCGCCACCCTAACTCAACAACGGCGCGCCTGCGGCCTACTCTGCCATTCACCTCAGGTCTTCCTCCCCATCTCAACACGCATTTTGAGTGATTGCACCTCCTTCCCAGAAACCCTCCAGCCTTCAGACGCCGCCTGCACTTATTTCTACCCGAGTTTTACAAATGGGCTGTAGAAATGAAATACTGCCGACATTTTCCGGCCTCGGAATCGTTTTGTGAATGGGATAATAATGAGCGTGTTTGATCGAATGTAGAGGAGGAGGAGGAGGGTTATGGCTCTTATGAGTATAGCAGGACGGCCAGCTGAGCACAGCATGCGTTTGATCCTTCTCCCTTCTCCACGCCCCCCCCCAGCAAGGTGTGATGCGGCCTGTTTGTAAAGTAGTTCCTTTTGTTCTCCGCCAAGCATGGCTCTCTCCTGGTACGGAGGCCTGCCCCCGGCAACTGTTGCCATGGTTTTTACACTTCAGTGCATCGGTGAGGGGAGGCTGCGCCGTGCAGCAGCTGTTATTTACGTGGCAGCGGCTATGAAAAATGGTCAAGGAAGCCAGGAGCCCCCACCATTTTTCGCGTTGGATCCTGCTGCCTCCTCCTGATCCGCGCCAAATTAAAAGTCGATGTGCACAGGGGAGTCGACGTTTCCTAAGAGGGAAGGGAAGCCTTTGCCCGAAGGGAATGCATATTAGAAGCAATGCTTTTCAGGGAAAACCCACTTTTTGGACAATCCATCCCCCCCCATACAGTACCATATTTTTTGCTCTATAAGACACACCAGACCACAAGACGCACCTAGTTTTTGGAGGAGGAAAACAAGAAAAAAAATATTCTGAATCTCAGAAGCCAGAACAGCAAGAGGGATCGCTGCGCAGTGAAACCAACAATCCCTCTTGCTGTTCTGGCTTCTGGGATAGCTGCGCAGCCTGCATTCACTCCATAAGACGCACACACATTTCCCCTTACTTTTTAGGAGGGAAAAAGTGAGTCTTATAGAGCAAAAAATATGGTATATACAGTGCTATTTTTCTAGCAAAAGAGGTGCCGGAACTCACCATGAACGCCTCCCTTGTTCTCTTAGAATAGGGACGCGGGTGGTGCTGTGGTCTAAACCACCGAGACTCTTGGGCTTGCCCATCGGAAGGTTGGCGGTTCGAATCCCCATGACGGGGATTTTTACGTTTTACCTTTCTCTTAGAATGGCAATAGCGCCCACCTGAGAGGTGCCAGAACTATCTGAGAAGAAGGCCAAGGTTCACAAGAGACCCATTAAAACATGACTCCATGCCAGCCTCAAATAGGAGGGCGTAAGAAGAGAAGAGAAACCAGGCCAGGCCAAGCTAAGTGCCTTAGCACCACCGAAGTGGTCTCCCCAGGACGCAAAACATGTTTAGGGGTACTCTCATTTGGACTCAAGAAAATCACCATTTTATAGTTCAAATTGGGGAAAATAAATACTTTCATCAGCAAAACACCACACATACACATTCCACACTGCTTCACACATTAAACGCCCGCTTCCCTCTGAGACTCAGGAAACGCCGGGAAAGGAAATGAAGCCACCATCGGGGGTAGCAACGGAACTAACAATTCACCATGCTAGAGAAGAAACTAATTTTTTTTTTTAAAAAAGCAACCAGTTTCTTCTCCCGTTAGATTCACAAAATGTTTAGGGGTATGCGTACCCCTGCGTCCCCCCAGAAAAAAAGCACTGGCAGTGTGTATGGAGGTCCTGGGCTGTCCAGATGACAAGACCCCCCTCTCGGCCTCACTGATGTGGCCCAAAGGAAAGCAGACCAAGACATTTGGCACCAACTTGGCTGCAGGACTTGTCAGATGGAAGGGAGTTAGGGACTCCATTCCAGACTTGTGTAGGGTTTATTCTTTAGCCTTTTCTTCTCCTGAAGACATCGCTGAAGGCAGCGGAGGTTTAGAGTCAGAGTTTTCCTTCTCTTTGATGGGCTCTGTCAGGAGTGCGTGCAGGAGCCAGGCCCTGTAACCAGTAGGGCTTCACAGGACTGGGGCCTTCCTAAGTTTGTTCTGGAGAGGGAAGACGCGGTCGCACAGGTGTGGTCGCTTGGTAACTCACTGCACCTGGTGGCTAGAGCCGGGCAGGGATATAAGGTCAGCATTTCCATTCAACTCTTTGCCACAGCAACACGCTTCCTGCCTTGCTGTGTTTGGCTTCGTGACTCCCTGCTTCTTGACCCTCGGACCCTTGACTTCGTGACTCCTTGTGTGCTGGTCCCGGGGGGGGTTACCGTGAGGTGTGGTCAGAGTCCGGTCCTGGGTCGAGGGTCTGGAGACTGTCCACCAAGGGCGAAGCGGAGTCCAAAGCAAGAAGCCGGGCGTGGTTGGGAACTCTGGAAGAACAGGTCTGGGTGCTGACAGAAACAGGTTTCCAATGACGTTGCTCCCGCAACCTGGGAATGGGCTGACTGGCCTTTATCTCCTCTGGGGCCTAGGGCGGTCCCGGCTCACAGGTGACTCGCCTCTCCTGGCCTTAGAAAGGCGAGCACTCCTCCTGATAGAACTTAGTTCCCTCCGCCTCTCTGCCCTGAGCCTCTGCAGCTCAGGAGAGGCCGGAGGGTTGCTGGACCCAGAGGCAGCTCATCTTCCCCTGACAGGGCTGGGAGAGGAGCACCTGCAGGCAATGGGTCCTCATTCACCTCCGGAGCCAGAGCGGATTCAACTGGTGTCTGCTCCTGAGGATCCGGCAGAGGTGCGGGCCCTTCAGATTCAGGGCCCTGCCCCGGCTCAGCCGGCCCTGGAGGCGGGGGCTCCTGTGCAGGCTGGGATTCCTCCAGTTCAGCCTCTGAATCAGATTCCCAGGCCATCACACACCTTGCTTCTTGACCCTCAGACCCTTGACTTCGTGACTCCCTGCTTCCTGACCCTCGAACCCCTGGCTTCTGGACTCTCGTTCCTGCTCCCACCCTGCCATCTTGCCGCCGGTCCCAACGTCCTCAGCCAGGACTTCGATTGCCCATAGACCGGACCGTGACAGGCTCCCTTTCCTGCTTGACAAGCCCCACCTGCCCCTCACTTCCCTTTATTTACAGTTCTGTACAAAGAAATGCAGATCCCGGATGTGTTGCAGGATCTCTCCGCCCCACAGAAGGCAGGCCGCATACACTGAGCTGTTTAACCCTGTAGGTTCTCCTCACAACAGCATGTGCAGAAACCGCCTTCTTGACTAGTGGTCTCTTCCGCTCAATCCTCCAGAGCCTGTCTTCGAATGAGGGAGAAGCCCCTAACTCACTGAGAGTTTGAGACCCATCGGCTCACCTGGTTTAGCCGGCCAGTCAAAGCCGTTTCCCGGGGTGTGGCCACTGCTACACACTGACAGCTTAAAGGACCCATAAGTGAGAGCAGAGGGCAGGCTGGGGACTGAAGGTGGACAAATGGCAACGTGTTCCCCACCGGAGGTACAGCCTCCAACGCCCCATATACCATAATACATTGGTTAAACCTTTAAGGTGCCACAAAGCTCCTTGCTGCTTTTGCTTCGGAAAACAGCTACTCCTCTAGAAATGGTAATGAAAAATAAGCACTTGTTAAGCGGCTACATGAATTGGAATACTCTATGGATAGCTAAAGAAAACAACCAGTACCTTTTCTTTAAATTTTAAGGTGCATAAAAAGGCTCACTCCCACATAGATGAGTCACAGTGAGGCTCTTATTCTCCTGCAAATTCATGGCAGAGCCAGGAAGATGAAGGAAGCAACTCCTTGCTATAGATCCCGAATAGGTAAAGGTAAAGGGACCCCTGACCATTAGGTCCAGTCGTGGCCGACTCTGGGGTTGCGGCGCTCATCTCGCTTTATTGGCCAAGGGAGCCAGTGTACAGCTTCCGGGTCATGTGGCCAGCATGACTAAGCCGCTTCTGGCGAACCAGAGCAACGCACAGAAACGCCGTTTACCTTCCTGCCGGAGCAGTACCTATTTATCTACTTGCACTTTGATGTGCTTTTGAACTGCTAGGTTGGCAGGAGCAGGGACCGAGCAACGGGAGCTCACCCCGTTGCGGGGATTCGAACCACCGAACTTTTAATCGGCAAGTCCTAGGCTCTGTGGTTTAACCCACAGCGCCACCGGCGTCCCTTTATATCCCAACTAAAAAGGGGCAATTCCAGCCGGGGGATTCAACATTCGGATAGTCTGTGGGCTTTAAACCGCAGATCTAATTCCTGTGATGGAAACAGTTGAGGCTGTACCTGGAAACCAACGAGACAATGCTTGACAAGACACAAGACAAGTGTGGAGAATGACGGGGCACGACTCAGGAGCAGAGCATGCGGAAGGGACCATTTTCAATCTTTTCTCCAGTTAAAAACATTGCAGGCAACAGAGCCAGCAAAGGTCTCTTGGTCCAAGGCATGGGTAGGCAAACTAAGGCCCGGGGGCCGGATCTGGCCCAATGGCCTTCTAAATCCGGCTCGCGGATGGTCCGGGAATCAGTATGTTTTTACATGAGTAGAATGTGCGCTTTTATTTAAAATGCATCTCTGGATTATTTGTTGGGCCTGCCTGGTGTTTTTACATGAGTAGAATGTGCCCTTTTATTTAAAATGCATCTCTGGGTTATTTGTGGGACATAGGAATTCGTTCATTTTTATTTTTATTTAGTCTGGCCCCCCACGAGGTCTGAGGGACAGTGGACCGGCCCCCTGCTGAAAAAGTTTGCTGACCCCTGGACTCCAAGGCCTTGGGACAGTCCCCGTCCACCACAGAAAACACAATGCTGGGCTAGATGGACCAATGAAAGTTCATCGGCAAATTTGCTTTCAAGGCAAGACGCCACCAGAAGTGCCGCGAAAGAGAGAAACCGGTTTCAAGCACAGCCAAGTTATTTTCTTTGTTGTTCTGCTGTTGTCACCTCTGCTGCTGCCATTCAGCTGATCACTCTAGGGGTGGCTTTTCCCACCACGGCCAACGTGCTGCGTCTTGAACAACAAAGCTACATGACACATCCCAAACTTCCTCCTCCAAGAACGGCATAATAACCAGCTTTTATTCGCTTGTTTAGGGCACCGGTTGTCTGCTTTTTTCTTTCATGATAACCACACACTAAGCGCAACACGGTTTTAATAATACACACAGCCTCTAGAAATCTGGATTCAGGCATTCAAAGAAAAATCCATGCAGTGATAGAGAACCTTCACTAGTTTTTCAAAAAACACAACCACGTCAATATTATTTGGACTTATTTGGCTTCTACAGAGGCTTATTACTGTTGCTATAATTCAAACACATTATGAGGAAGGCAAAGGAAAAATGGGCAAATATCGATGCTGTGGGGAAAACAGTGCTGGAACCACACAGCAAGAACTGGGACCGGCCCAACCTTGAGGCAAGGTGAGGCAATTGCCTCAGGCGGCAAGATCCTGGCCTTTGGCTTAGAATCAGTTTGATTCCCTCCCCCTCTTTCTTTTTCCTTTCTCCTCCTGTGAAGAGGCTGCATGCTAATGTTTTAATGTTGTATTTTAATCTTGTTTTTTAAATTGTATTTTAATCAACTTGTTTTTATTATTGGTTGTTAGCCACCCTGTGCGCGGTCTTGGCTGGGGAGGGCAGGGTATAAATAACATTTATTATTATTATTATTATTATTATTATTATTATTAAGATCCACTGGACCATAAAGAAGGCTGATTGCCGAAGAATTGATGCTTTTGAATTATGGTGCTGGAGGAGACTCTTGAGAGTCCCATGGACTGCAAGAAGATCAAACCTTTCCATTCTGAAGGAAATCAGCCCTGAGTGCTCACTGGGAGGACAGATCCTGAAGCTGAGGCTCCAAGACTTTGGCCACCTCATGAGAAGAGAAGACTCCCTGGAAAAGACCCTGATGCTGGGAAAGATGGAGGGCACAAGGAGAAGGGGACGACAGAGGACGAGATGGTGGGCCAGTGTTCTCGAAGCTACCAGCATGAGATTGACCAAACTGCGGGAGGCAGTGGAAGACAGGAGTGCCTGGCATGCTCTGGTCCATGGGGTCACGAAGAGTCAGACACGACTAAACAACATTAAGATCCACAGGGGCAGCAGATCCCAATGTCAGTCTTTCTTCTCTCCCCTCCACCCTTGTTCCTGCTGTAGATCTTCCCTAGGAGAGAGGGGGGAACACCATTTTGGGGTCAACACCAGGTTCCAAAATGTATTGGGCCTGCCCTGGCCAGAACCATGAATTCACATGGATTGAATAATGGAGCAGAAAACAGTTTCATGGATTCAGTCCTCTACACTGAAGAGCCCACAATGTGGCTTACATTTGCCATTACTTTGGGTACATGACATGAATTTCAGCCATTTTCTAGGCAGTTCACAAAGGCTGCAACCCTATACATGCAATTACCTGGTAATAAGTCCCACCGAACTCAGCAGGACTTATTTCCAAGTAGATTTATGCATAAGAGTACGCTGTAAATCAATAAGGCTTGCGTTTCTTTCCACTGCCCAGTACTTAATTTCTCTATTGATTTTTTTTTAAAAAAAGCATTTCTGGCAGGTGTGAAGGTTGTTTGGTAGCCAAAAGAATTTCAGCAGCACGGAAAATTTTCCTTATACCATAAAAAGCGCTAATGAAGTCCCAAGCCGAAAGCAGAGGATTCTGGAACAAAAAGCTTCAAATGAAATTTAAGAATAAAATGGACTGGAAGTGTCTTAATATTGCCTTTGACGGCATTACCTTGCAATAGAATGCAAGCTAGCCTCTCAGACACGTAATGCCACAATTACTGATGATATTTAGTAAGTGGGAGCTTATCGGTGGCTAATATATAACAGATCCTAAAGGGCTCAGGTAGAAGGTCAACAACACTCATAACCACTTTGACCCATGGCTTACGTGCCACTACAGTGTGGAGCAACAGCAATCTATTCCCACCAATTGGTATCAATGGGCACATTTGTCATTCATTTATTCATCTAAACACATTTATTCAAAAGCTACAATACAGCTTTGTCCACTGCCATAATGCCACAGAGCAATCACGCCAATCCTCAATCCCTCATCACGCCAAATACCCTCGATAGGAACCCAGCTACTGACGTTTAGACGTTTTCAATTCATATATCCCCTCCACTCTGCAATGAGGACGGCATTAAAATATCCCGTTCTGTGCTAAGAGATGGAAATGAGAAACGGTTCCTACCAAGGAGGACTGGCAGACAAAACAGATGGACTATGCGGAAATGGCGGAACATACTGGAAGAAAGGGACACAGGTGGTGCTGTGGGTTAAACCACAGAGCCTAGGACTCAGAAGGTTGGCGGTTTGAATCCACGCGATGGGGTGAGCTTCTGTTGCTCGGTCCCTGCTCCTGCCAACCTAGCAGTTCAAAAGCACGTCAAGTGCAAGTATATAAATAGGTAGTGCTCTGGCGGGAAGGTAAACGGCGTTTCCGTGCGCTGCTCTGGTTCGCCAGAAGCGGCTTAGTCATGCTGGCCACATGACCCGGAAGCTGTACACCGGCTCCCTCGGCCAATAAAGCGAGATGAGCGCCGCAACCCCAGAGTCGGTCACAACTGGACCTAATGGTCAAGGGTCCCTTTACCTTCACCTTTACTGGAAGAATGAGAAACCAAGAAGAAAAAGAAGAAGAAAAACATTAAATAAAGAATGGGGGAAATTTATAGACTATTTGAAAAACTATTGCAAACAACTTAATTCATCAGCAGGATTAATATGAATCGAGCAGTGGTGTGTGTGTGTGTGTTAATTCTGTTTACTGATTACTCCTTAGACTTCGTGTGTGTGTGTGTGTTTGTGTGTAGAGTCTAAGGAGTAATCAATAAACAGAATTAATTGGGATATGCAGTAGTAAAGGTGAAAGTATAAGAAACCACTGAGGGGGAGGAGGGAAGTCGAATCAATTAGATGTATTTTAGTATATGTGTATTTGTGTGATTATTGTAAAATGAAAAGTAAAATCATAGAAAGACGCACACGCTGTTCTTCTTCAATAAAAGAGGGGAAAAAAGAGACCAAACTGGAACACGTTCTACTATCCATGCTACATCACCATAAACTAAAGGAGTCCTATGGCAATTTTAAAATCTTAGTGGACGCGAGACATTCTAAAGCTGAAGTGGTTCAGTACTTCGCTTTGAGAAGGATAAACCCGAAAGGTGCATATATGACCTGCAACAGGACTTTGCCCTCTCTGGAAATCTTATTCAAGCAACGCTTCTCTGCGTTGGTACAGCATACGTTATCATTCGGCGTTAGGTTTCTGAAGGGCCTTGAATCCTTTCAGCAAGACATTTATTTTTATTTTCATTTTTAAAGTGAATCACCATCTGATTACCATAGTCTCTGCTCCAGCATCTTGTTTCTTTGCTGTGAAAAATAGCTGGCATCCTGGAAACCTCTACCTGAACAACTGAACAAAGTCACTCCTTTCTGCTTAGTCACACTGAAGCCACTGGGCACCTGTTTGGTCAATTTTAAGACCAGTAAGTAGCCTTGCCCAGTAACCACAGGGCATCTTTAATCGTTTCTGAAATTACTAATTCTGACATTGAGGAGCACCAAGCAGTTGCCCACGCAGCACAGTGGCCAAATATGTGCCCACTCTGTCTAATGAGGTCTGCCGCATTCTTTCTCAACTGCATCAAGCAGTTGGTCCCTTACCTTTCCCGCCCCGACCTGGTCACAGTGATCCATGCGACGGTCACCTCCAGGCTTGACTACTGTAATTCACTCTATGCGGGGCTGCCCTTGAAGCTGTCCCAGAAACTCCAGCGGGTGCAGAATGCTGCAGCGAGGCTCCTGACGGGGTCTCTGCCATGGGAGTATATTCACCCAGTGCTTTTCCAGCTGCACTGGCTCACGGTGGAGTATCGCGTCAGATTTAAGTTGCTGGTTTTGACCTTTAAAGCCCTTCACGGTCTAGGACCCTCGTACCTACAGGACCGCCTCTCCCGGTATGCCCCACAGAGGACCTTAAGGTCCATAAATAGCAACATCCTAGAGGTCCCGGGCCCTAAGGAAGTTAGATTAGCCTCAACCAGAGCCAGGGCCTTTTCAACACTGGCTCCAGCCTTGTGGAACACTCTGTCTCATGAGACCAGGGCCCTGCAGGATCTGATTTCTTTCCGCCCAGGCCTGTAAGACAGAGTTGTTCCACCTGGCCTTTGGCTTGGAGCCAATTTGATTCCCTCCCCCCGCTTTCTTTTTCCTCCTGTGATGAGGCTGCATTTTAATGTTTAAATGTTGTATTTTAATCTTGTTTTTAAGTTGTATTCATTCAACTTGTTTTTATTATTGCTTGTTAGCCGCCCTGAGCCCAGCCTTGGCTGGGGAGGGCGGGGTATAAATAAAATTTATTATTATTATTATTGTAACCACACAGATACTCACCTGGACAGTGCAGCTCCCAGGACGAAGGACGCATATTCCTTCACCAACGGCTCCGTGCTGTTCAGCCCATTAATCAAAAGCTGGAGGCCACCAATGGAAAGCAAATCTTTTGCATTGTCCACCTATAAAATATGTTGTTCCACATTCAAGCAACGATTTGTGCATTTACACGTAAGGGTGGGTGTTGATTTTTCTATTCAGAATTTACACACGAAGTACAACAATCACGATCAAAACCTGTTCCATTCACTTAAAAAAGATTAAAGGCAAAGCAAAAACCTCTTGCCTTGAATCGTATGATGCCGTCTCGCTACAGGAACATCATGTTCAAATTCTGAAGATACAATAATACAAGATACAAAGGGATCCAGAGTGTTGCTTTGCAGAATAGCTCCTTTCATTTACTGAAAGGATCAATACCCAGCAATATCTACCACCAAGGAAAGGGTGGGAGGTGATTTTTGCCCATTCCCCTGCAACCCCCCACACTTCTAAAGGGTCTCTCAACTAGAAGCTGTGGGGGGGAGCAGGGAGCAACAAAAAAACCCACCTCTACACTACCATTCCTCCAGCAGAAGTTTCCTGTGAGCAGAGTTCCACTCAAAGGAACTCTGGACCCAATCCTGTCACAACCATCAAATACAGAAGGAATCACTGAAAACCAAAACATGATTAGCTTACTGAAAGCTTCCCTGGACAATACTCTTAACTGAAAGGAACGACGCTATCAAACAAAGATGAAAATTTATTTCTCTAGGAGACCATAGTTGGGAGTCTGAGGAGTTCTGTGTCTCTTACCAATACAAAATGTTTTATATTTTAATTTAACAGGCAGGGTTAGAGAGTCAGAAATACTCGGGGACTGGCAATAAGCATTTGTATTATTGACTAGAAACTCATCAACCAGAACAAATGAGGTGGAAAGAGGACTTGAGATATTGATCGTAAGATGACTGAGCCAACAGTGTGAGACGCTAACTATGGCTGGCCATTTTAGCCATGACAAATTCCGGCAGGCCTGTCTCAGAAGAACAGGAAGGGAGCAGTACTTTTCTCACATAGCACAGGAGAGGCCATATATGAACCACTGGGTCCAGATTGCTCAGGTTCAAGAAGGTTGCATTCCAGCTATACAAAGTGCAAAGGAACAGAACTAAAATGATAGCTGGAGTTGAGAATTTATCATGAACCGAGAATTTGGGTCAGTTCAGCATAGGAAAGGTCGACGGCAGGCTAGCAGTCTACAAAACCTACAAGAGGAATGAATGCACAAGGGAAATTTAAGCTAGGTTATGGCCTAGGCATGGGAAGCGGGTGGCGCTGTGGGTTAAACCACGGAGCCTAGGACTTGCCAATCAGAAGGTCGGCGGTTCGAATCCCCGCAACGGGGTGAGCTCCCATTGCTCAGTCCCTGCTCCTGCCAACCTAGCAGTTCAAAAGCACGTCAAAGTGCAAGTAGATAAATAGGGAAGGTAAATGGCGGGAAGGTAAATGGCGCTTCCGTGCGCTGCTCTGGTTCGCCAGAAGCGGCTTCGTCATGCTGGCCACATGACCCGGAAGCTGTATGCTGGCTCCCTCAGCCAATAAAGCAAGATGAGCGCCACAACCCCAGAGTCGGCCACGACTGGACCTAATGGTCAGGGGTCCCTTTGCCTTTACCTATGGCCTAGGCTAGGGTACAAGAATCAACAGAACCCTCTTTTGGTTTCCCTTTTCAAATTCCTCATATATTCTGCCTAATGCACAGCAGCGAAAATTCACTTTGCATTCTGCTCTCGGGGAAATTCTTGCAGCACCACCAGCATTAACTCATACATGTTTACCTAGATTTAAGGCCCATAGATTTTAGTGCAATTTGCTTTTGACTAAGCGCGCTTAGGACTGCAGTCCTAAATGAACACTGTTCTGGAACACTTTCCTTTTGGGCAAACAAGGAACCCATGATTAATTTATAAAAGGACGGATGCCAAAGCTCAGAGCAGCCTAAAAGCTGTACCATGTAAGCCAAAAGCGTCTCCTCGAGCCTAGGAGAATCCAGTGGCAACGTCACTTTCCACATTACTTTATGCGTCCCAGGTGATAAGCCCTGGCACTCAAAAACAACCAAATGACAACAATGAATTCTGGCATGCCCTGGCACAAATTAAAGACTCTTCATTGTTGCGTTCAATGAAGACTTGGCATCTAAAAATGTCGCGTTCCAAATGTTTACAATCCACTTACACAATTTCACACACAACAGTGTTTACACCCAAACACACACAACTGTGTTCATCTGTCTAGGTAAAATGCCTTGTGTGAAGAAGCTGGGTGCCACAATTCTGCAACATCTGGTATCTATTTTTACGATTCCATGTTCCCGGAACATTGCACACCAGCTGCCAATGTTTATTTTAAAAAATCTTCTTACCTGATGAACGTAGTATTCGAGATCATGAAGTGCTGTTATTTTCTCCTCCAGCGTCGAAGTGGAACTGTTGAATTTGTTGATTAATTTAAACATAATTTCAAAGTCTGTTTCTAGTTGCAGGTTAAGCTCTCTGAACTCTTCCTTAAGTTTTTCAATGGGACGGAATCTTCTCCTGACATCTTCCTGATGAGCCTTGGAATCAAGGGGAAAACAAACCGAAATAGCACACACCAAAATTAAAACACCGCCAAAGTTAATTACAGTGGTGCCTCGCAAGACGAAATTAATTCGTTCTGCGAGTTTTTTCGTCTTGCGAATTTTTCGTCTTGCGAAGCACGGTTTCCCATAGGAATGCATTGAAAATCCAAAAGGAAACAAACTTGCAAGACGTTTCGTCTTGCGAAGCAAGCCCATAGGGAAATTCGTCTTGCGAAGCAACTCAAAAAACGAAAAACTCTTTCGTCTTGCGAGTTTTTCGTCTTGCGAGGCATTCGTCTTGCGAGGTACCACTGTATTTTGTTTGTGTTTAGGTATACATGAGTAACCTCTGTTAATTCAGCAAAAAACAAGGGGCCATGTATAATTTTATGCATGCTGAAGATGCAACTAGATATTCTAAGGGACAAAACAAGATGGAAGATATGTGACTGGATCTTAGGTAAAGGTAAAAGGACCCCTGACCATTAGGTCCAGTCGTGGCCGACTCTGGGGTTGCGGCGCTCATCTCGCTTCATTGGCCGACGGAGCCAGCGTACAGCTTCTGGGTCATGTGGCCAGCATGACTAAGCCACTTCTGGCGAACCAGAGCAGCACACGGAAACGCCGTTTACCTTCCCGCCGGAGCGGTACCTATTTATCTACTTGCACTTGGACGTGCTTTCAAACTGCTAGGTTGGCAGGAGCAGGGACCAAGCAACGGGAGCTCATCCCATCGCGGGGATTCGAACCGCCGACCTTCTGATCAGCAAGCCCTAGGCTCTGTGGTTTAACCCACAGCGCCACCCGCATCCCTGACTGGATCTTATGGTTGTTTTAAACATAAAAGCAGCTGTGGGGAGGCAGGTTGCATTAATTTTTCTGACCTCCCACTGCTTCCTATTGCTCTCTCCAAAGCTGCGCTTAGACCCTGTGGTCTACACCTTGCTCACAGGAGCTGAGCTGTGGTATTGCACAAGTCTCATCTGTTGCACTGCTCACATACGAGTAGACCGTGACTTAAATATTCAGCAGCACCTGCAACAGGTGATATTAAACATATGAATTAGTTTTAGGACAGGAGCCTCAAGAGGCGCAAAATGACTTTCTCCAAGTTCAAAGTCAAGCAGCTGCCAGAATGCAGTGAAAAGACAAGAACTGTGATTTGCAAACAGCAAGCAACAGTCCTCATTATTTACTAATTATGTTTTCTTTAGATTCTATTTGCGGCTCTTACAAGATAGTTAATTTAAAATGCTTAACAGATTAGGTTACCCAACAGACATCAGAAAGGGAAATTAGGTGCTCTCCTGTGAAATCTCGTCAGTCACACACAGCTCCTGGAAATCAAACCCGACAAGATGTCTTTTCCCTAAAAGCCAGCTGGGACTTCCTACAAACTTTCACGCACAAGGGGCTGGAGACTATTCCCAATACATTTTTAACTGACAATTTCCAGCAACGTCATCTTTAACCCTAAGCATTCGGGGAATAATTGGGCTTCATATTAATGAGTATTAATGGGCCAAGGCGGAGGGGCTGCATAACAGCTTCTGAGTTTTTGCTGATTTAAGAGCCTCTTCCTAAAATGAAAAAAATATAAGGTTCAAGAGCAAAAAACCCTTCCATGAGCCTAAAATACCGTATTTTTCGCACCATAACACTCACTTTTTCCCTCCTAGAAAGTAAGGGGAAATGTCTGTGCGTGTTATGGAGGGAATGCCTACGGATGGCGGGGGAACTGCTGCAGTCGTGAGCAGAGGATCCATGGTTCCCCTTCCTTCCCTCCTCCGTGGCTCGCTTTGAAACAGCAAAGCGGGAGAAGAGCCGCTGAGTGGGGAGGAGAGAGGGACAGAGAGCCTGCTTGCTTTAAAGGAGCAAAGCGGGAGAGGAGAGGAGCCGCATAAACGAGTGTAAGCGGCTCCTGTCCGGTTGGCTCCTTTAAAGCAAGCAGGCTCTCTGTCCCTCTCTCCTCCCCACTCGCTAAATAGCAGCAAAGATTTTTCAAGCAGGCTCTCTGTCTCTCTCTCCTCCCCACTCGCTAAATACCGCATTTTTTGCTCTATAAGACTCACTTTTTCCCTTCTAAAAAGTAACGGGAAATGTGTGTGCGTCTTATGGAGCGAATGCAGGCTGCTCAGCTATCCCAGAAGCCAGAACAGCAAGAGGGATCGCTGCTTTCGCTGTGCAGCAATCCCTCTTGCTGTTCTGGCTTCTGGGATTCAGAATATTCATTTTCTTGTTTTCCTCCTCCAAAAACTAGGTGCGTCTTGTGGTCTGGTGCGTCTTATAGAGCAAAAAATACGGTAACAGCAAAGTTTTTTCAAGCAGGCTCTCTGTCTCTCTCTCCTCCCCACTCCTCTTATAAGAGCCTTCTCCTCTTATACCCCTCTTCTGCATTATTAACAGCATCCTTCTCCACCCACCCCACGCGTGTTCCTTGTCCCTTGAGTGCTTTTCCTTCCCTCCCCACTTAAAACATGGTTACAAAGCACGGATCCACACAGATCCTCAGGATTTTTGCACTGGGTCACCCCAAATTCACCATCAGATCACATAGCATGTCCATGGCTACAGCTTGCACCAAAAAAACCACGCACCCACTGTTGCCTGGGGCCGCAGTGGTGCAAAAACGTGGTTACAAAGCACGGATCCACATGGATCCTCAGGATTTTTGCATTGGGCTACCCCAAACTCACCGTCAGATCACATGTCTGTGGCCACAGCATGAACCACAAAAATCATACATCCACTGTTTCGTTTAGAATATTTTTTTTCTTGTTTTTCTCCTCTAAAAACTATATGCGTGTTATGGTTGGGAGCGTGTTATAGAGCGAAAAATATGGTACCTTTCGACATCCCAGCCAGGCCAGGCCCCAAAGCATTGAAAAATGATAATGATTTCCTAAGGAACCTACTCTTAATTGGCAGTCATGGATCATTTTGCTAATGTTTTGTAGCAAGGGAACTGAAAATTATCCTCCATTCCCTAAGGCCGGGGGTGGGGTGGGATTTTTGGCATTCCCAAACATCAGCAATCAGCAACTAAAACGCCCATCTTCCATGGCCATTGGCCATGCTGGCTGGAGCAGTTGCGAGTGAGGAGTCTCAACATCTTTTTCCATGTGTGGTGGACTTTCGGGAAATGATACATAATGAATTGAAGAAGATGGTGAAGAAGAAGTCATTCCCCCAAAAAGCCTGAAGCATTTCTTTGGGGAATAATAGGCACAGGGGTCTCCCAAAAATTGGTTAAACTATTTAGGTTTGCTCCTACCGCAGCCAGAATTCTTGTATGCACAGAAATGGAAAGAAGTTCCATCAAAAGAGGGGTGGATTTTGAAATTATTGAACAATGTGGAGAAGGCAAAAATAAGAGACAAAGAATAAGTAAAGAATGGAGACCCTTTTTGGATTATCTGAGGAAAATATTATAGTAAAATGAAATCGCGGGCAGGACTTGAAATATAAGCAAAGGAATGAGAATGATAAAGGAATGTAATGTAGGATATATGTTTTAGAGAAATACTACATTCATGGCAGATTTGAATAGAATTGATTTGAATAGAAACATCATGGAAGTAAGAATGGGAAGTCAAAAACCTTAAGGGAATATTGTACAGTGGTACCTCAGGTTAAGTACTTAATTCGTTCCGGAGGTCCGTTCTTAACCTGAAACTGTTCTTAACCTGAAGCACCACTTTAGCCAATGGGGCCTCCTGCTGCTGCCGCACCGCCAGAGCCCAATTTCTGTTCTTATCCTGAAGCAAAGTTCTTAACCTGAAGCACTATTTCTGGGTTAGCGGAGTCTGTAACCTGAAGCGTATGTAACCTGAAGCGTATGTAACCTGAGGCACCACTGTATTGAAATTGAATTGGTTAAATTGTTTGAGAGCTAATAAAAAAATATGAAAAAAAGAGTCTCAACAACATCTGGAGGAACAGAGGTTAACGACTTCTGCTCTAGGTTGTTAAGTAGGGTTTGTACCAACACCTGACCAATGAGGAATTTGTCAGCAAATGGCAGAAAACCATGGCTAGAAAAGCCACCTCTATTGGTCTGTCACCACCCCAACTGTATTACCTGGGTTATGAAGGCGCCCTAAAGACGTTAAAGCAAAGATTATGGGATAATGCACACAGTGACTTGCGATCTCGATCACACGCAGTCTGTAGTCCACTGGCAGTAGGAGTACAATATGGGCATGTCTTTAAGTTAACATCTTACATTAAAAACCTAACAGTACCAAGTTATCAAAGGCTTTTCACCAAAGCCAGACTAAACGTCTTTTCCTTCTGCAGTGTTAGATGGCAGGTTGAGAGGAGTTCCCTACCAGGACAGACTTTGCTCGTGTGCTCAAGACATCGATTCCATAAACATATTTTGTTGCACTGTGCAAAATATGAGCAAGCCAGGGCTGAACTGATATTACCCTTGCTGGTACCTTTCCTGGGAAAATCAGAGGCTCACTATGTCAGGTTCCTATTGGAAGACCGGACAAATGCTAGAACATTAGCAGTGGCAAAGTTTTTATCGGCAGTTGCAATGATCCCTATATTCTGAACGAAATGCTTGTTTAACCTGGAGGTAGGCTATCTGAATTGTGTATTGCTTTGTAACGATTTGTTGGGTCTCTGAACCGTAGTAAAGGTTGATGATGATGATGATGATTTGAATAGAAACATCATGGAAGTAAGAATGGGAAGTCAAAAACCTTAAGGGAATATCGTATTGAAATTGAATTGGTTAAATTGTTTGAGAGCTAATTTAAAAAATATGAAAAAAAGAGTCTCAACAACATCTGGAGGAACAGAGGTTAACGACTTCTGCACTAGGTTGTTTAGTACCTCCCTCAGTTTACGAAGTCTAATAGGCTGAACTTGGAGGCAGCCTATCAAAATGATGAAAAAAACCAGGACCTCTTGCCATGCAAACTGGAGTATTCCATCACTCAGAACTGGTTTTCTGGCAAATCATGGATAATTACTAGAAAGGTTAGGATATTAGACCAAGTAAAACAATGTCAAGGGACGCGGGTGGCGCTGTGGGTTAAACCACAGAGCCTAGGACTTGCCGATCAGAAGGTCGGTGGTTCAAATCCCCATGACGGGGTGAGCTCCCGTTGCTCGGTCCCTGCTCCTGCCAACCTAGCAGTTCGAAAGCACGTCAAAGTGCAAGTAGATAAATAGGTACCACTCCAGCGGGAAATGGTGTTTCCGTGCCCTGCTCTGGTTCGCCAGAAGCAGCTTAGTCATGCTGGCCACATGACCCGGAAGCTGTACGTCGGCTCCCTCGGCCAATAAAGCGAGATGAGCGCTGCAACCCCAGAATCGGTCACGACTGGCCCTAATGGTCAGGGGTCCCTTTTTAAAACAACGTCATCACTGTCTCTCTTAAGACCACTCTTATGATTTGCCTCAAGTGCAGTGTTAGAATCTCACGATACACAAGCTAGGTGCCAAATGGCTCTTTAAACCAAGGTTACAGTCACCAAAACAGAATATCTAGTTTATTTATTTAGTTTATTTATTTATTGTATACCGCCCTATAAGCGGAGGTCTCAGGGTGTTGCTGTTTGGGGGCAAGGTAGCTCTAAAGTCTTATTTTTCAAATAATGGACTGACCGTGATTGATATCAGTTAAACATCTGCACCAGAGTCCCACCGGCACCTTGGCAGGGAAGCTGTAGCTTCAATGAGGGAAATGGAAAGCTCCAGTGAGAAAGCAGAGCGTTTCCTGTTGCGGTTTGCTGGATGCTGCCCAAGCTTCTCTTCTTTCCCCCCTAAATCCTCTTCAATCCGTTCAGTTTTGTACACATTGCTTCCATCTGAAAGACAGCTGGATACAGCTATAGGTTACCATCAAAGTGTTAAGTTCTCCTAATTGGCAGCTTACGCTGTCGTAGAAATTATTGAATTTATGGAACGGAAACCAAAATGTGTGTGAGAAGATCTGAGCAAGTGAAAGCGGTGTTTGCAAGAGAACCATGGGAGAAGGGCTGAACGAACATGTAAAGGTAAAGGTAAAGGGAGCCCTGACCATTAGGTCCAGTCGTGGCCGACTCTGGGGTTGCGGCGCTCATCTCGCTTTATTGGCCGAGGGAGCCGACGTACAGCTTCCGGTTCATGTGGCCAGCATGACTAAGCCGCTTCTGGCGAACCAGAGCAGCGCACGGAAACGCCGCTTACCTTCCCGCCGGAGCGGTACCTATTTATCTACTTGCACTGGTGTGCTTTCGAACTGCTAGGTTGGCAGGAGCAATGGGAGCTCACCCCGTCACGGGGATTCGAACCGCCGAGCTTCTGATCGGCAAGTCCTAGGCTCTGTGGTTTAACCCACAGCGCCACCCGTGTCCCAAACGATCATGTACGCGTGAGCTATTCCTACAACCGTCAAGGACAAGGGAAGAAAGGAAAGATAAGATAGTTGCTATGTCGTGTGAGTAAATCAATATAAGCTAGTAGAAGAAAGCACTGTTGCCTATGGACAATATATAAGTATATAAATGCTTCTGCTTCTTCGTATTTGGTGTGTCATCCCTCAACCACTTGCTGGCTGAGGTTGTGTCGCGCTGGCCTTGCAAGAAACAGAAACGTCCTGTTTGAGTTTGGATTTTATTGGCCATCCAGGCTGAATCCACAGGGTATTGGGTTACTGAAGCCCAATATTTCCCCAATTACACCACAGATTTTCACAAAACCAAAGCCAGGTAATGCATCTAAATGTGGAAGCCGGACTTGTTCATCAAAGTGAGAGGGACATTTGCTCCCCTCCATACCACACCTCGCTAGAAAAAAGAGACAGCTGTAAAACACCCTTGCTGCTACAAGATTTAATCTCTGCAACAAAAACAAAAAACTCTACACTTGCACTATATAAAACCCTAGGTAAAGGTAAAGGGACCCCTGACCATTAGGTCCAGTCATGACCAACTCTGGGGTTGTGGTGCTCATCTCGCTTTATTGGCCGAGGGAGCCGGTGTACAGCTTCCGGGTCATGTGGCCAGCCTGACTAAGCCGCTTCTGGCGAACCAGAGCAGCGCACAGAAACACCGTTTACCTTCCTGACAGAGCGGTACCTATTTATCTACTTGCACTTTGACGTGCTTTCGAACTGCTAGGTTGGCAGGAGCAGGGACCGAACAACGGGAGCTCACCCCGTCGCGGGGATTCGAATCGCTGACCTTCTGATCAGCAAGTCCTAGGCTCTGTGGTTTAACCCGCGTCCTTTCATATAAAACCCTACTCAACAGGAAAAAATATGATTTAGAATATGAAAGACAAAAATGGAGTGAAGAGTTAGGGGTACAGATAACAAATGATACATGGGAGTCAAGTATAAAAACAGAAATAGCCTCTATGGATCTAAGACTAAGACTTATTCAACAGAAAATAATATTCAGAGTCCACTGGACTCCAGCAAAACTATACCAGAAGAAAATAACAAGTGCAGACAACTGCTGGAGATGTGGGAGTAAAAATGCGAACTAAGTACATATGATGATTAACTGCCCGATGAGAAGATCATTTTGGTGCGAGGTGAGGATATTTATAGCAAGAGTAATAAAAAGAAATTGTTATTTAGGGGGATTGAATTGAATTCTGAATTATATTCCGGAAACATGGGAGATTTCAAGGGGTCAAAAAAAAATGGATGTACAGTGCTATATTAGAAGTAAAAAAACTT